AGGAAAATTGGATGGTTCTACCCACCCAATGGAACTCTCGGAGGGTATTAAGAACCATGGTAAAAATTTCGACAATTTTTATTTACGGGTGAAAACAGTAAAAAAAATTCAAAAATTGAAGACTAATATCCACGCATTTTGAGAAATTTAGGAGGTTTTAGGGCCCGATGTCAAAATGTTTTGAAAATTATAGGGGATACCTCGGGTCATATAACTCCGTTTGGAACCATTTATGATCATTATATGTTGTCATAAATGTTCGTGGCAGGCTTAAAATTAATGAAATCGGTGCAAGTTGTAAACCAGTAAATTGGTTGTTTAAAGGAAAATTGGATAGTTAAATCAACTCAATTGGACTCCCGGAGGGTATTAGTAACCATGGTAAAAATTTCGGCAATTTTTATTTATGGGCGAAAAAAAGTCAAAAAGTTCAAAAATTGAAGGCTAATATCCACGTTTTTTGAGAAATTTTGGAGGTTTCAGCCCGGTGTCAAAAAGTCTTGAAATTTTTTGGGATACGTCTCGGGGTCATATAATGCCATTTTAGAACCATATATGATCAATATTTTTTGTCATAAAAGTTCGTAGTAGGCTTGAGTTAATGAAAGCAGTGTAAGTTATAAACCGGTAAATTGGTCGTTTAAAGGAAAATTGGATGCTTCTACCCACCCAATGGGACTCCCGGAGGATATTAGGAACCATGGTAAAATTTCGGCAATTTTTATTTCTGGGCGAAAAAGTTAAAAAATTCCAAAATTGAAGACTTAATATCCACGATTTTTGAGAAATTTAAGAGGTTTTAGGGCCTGGTGTCAAAAAGTTTTGAAAATTCTAGGTGATTTATCTCGGGTCATATAATTCCATTTGGAACCATTTATGATCATTATATGTTGTCATAAATGTTCGTGGCAGGCTTAAATTAATGAAATCGGTGCAAGTTGTAAACCGGTAAATTGGCCGTTTAAAGGAAAATTGGATAGTTAAATCCACGCAATTGGACTCCCGGAGGGTATTAGTAACCATGGTAAAAATTCTGGCAATTTTTATTTATGGGGAAAAAAAGTCAAAAAGTTCCAAAATTGAAGGCTAATATTCACGTTTTTTGAGAAATTATGGAAGTTTCGGGGCCCGGTGTCAAAAAGTCTTGAAATTTTAGGGGATACATCTCGGGGTCATATAATACCGTTTGGAACCATAGTTGATCATTAATTGTTGTCATAAAAGTTCGTAGTAGGCTTGAGTTAATGAAATCAGTGTAAGTTATAAACCGGTAAATTGGTTGTTTAAAGGAAAATTAGATGGTTCTACCCACCCAACGGGACTCCCGGAGGGTATAAGGAACCATGAAAAAAAGTCAAAAAATTCAAAAAATTGAAGGCTAATATCCACGTTTTTTGAGAAATTTTGGAGGTTTCGGGGCCCGATGTCGAAAAGTCTTGAAATTTTGGGAGATACGTCTCAGGGTCATATAATGCCGTTTGGAACCATATATGATCATTATTTGTCGTCATTAATGTTCGTAGTAGGCTTGAGTTAATGAAATCAGTGTAAGTTGTAAATTGGTAAATTGATCGTTTAAAGGAAAATTGGATGCTTCTACCCACCCAATGGGACTCCCGGAGGATATTAGGATCCATGGTAAAAATTTCGGTCAAAAAATTCCAAAATTAAAGACTATCCACGCATTTTGAGAAATTTAGGACGTTTTGGGGCCCGGTGTCAATAAGTTTTGAAAATTCTAGGGGATACATCTCGGGTCATATAGTTTCGTTTGGAACCATTTATGATCATTATATGTTGTCATATATGTTCGTGGCAGACTTAAATTAATGAAATTGCTGCAAGTTGTAAACCGGTAAATTGGCCGTTTAAAGGAAAATTGGATAGTTAAATCCACCCAATTGGACTCCCGAAGGGTATTAGTAACCATGGTAAAAATTTCAGCAATTTTTATTTCTGGGCGGAAAAAAGTCAAAAAGTTCAAAAATTGAAGGTTAATATCCACGTTTTTTGAGAAATTTTTGACGTTTCGGGGCCCGGTGTCAAAAAGTCTTGAAATTTTTTGGGATACATCTCGAGGTCATATAATTCCATTTGGAACCATATATGATCATTATTTTTTGTCATAAAAGTTCGTAGTAGGCTTGAGTTAATGAAATCAGTGTAAGTTATAAACCGGTAAATTGGTCGTTTAAAGGAAAATTGGATGGTTATACCCACCCAATGGGACTCCCGGAGGGTATAAGGAACCATGGTAAAAATTTCGGCAATTTTTATTTTCGGGCGAAAAAAAAGTCAAAAAATTCCAAAATTGATGACTAATATCCACGTTTTTTGAGAAATTTTGGAGGTTTCGGGGCCCGGTGTCGAAAAGTCTTGAAATTTTAGAGGATACATCTCAGGGTCATATAATGGGGTTTGGAACCTTATATGATCATTATTTGTCGTCATAAATGTTCATAGTAGGCTTGAGTTAATGAAATCGGTGTACGTTGTAAACCGGTAAATTGGCCGTTTAAAGGAAAATTGGATGGTTCTACCCACCCAATGGGACTCCCGGAGGGTATTAGGAACCATGGGAAAAATTTCGGCAATTTTTAATTCCGGGCGAAAACAGTAAAAAAAATTCAAAAATTAAAGACTAATATCCACGTTTTTTGAGAAATTTTGGAGGTTTCGATGCCCGGTGTCGAAAAGTCTTGAAATTTCAGGGGATATATCTCCGGTCTTATAATTCCGTTTGGAACCATTTATGGTCATTATATGTTGTCAGAAATGTTCGTGGCAGGCTTAAATTAATGAAATCGGTGCAAGTTGTAAACCGGTAAATTGGCCGTTTAAAGGAAAATTGGATAGTTAAATCCACCCAATTGGACTCCTGGAGGGTATTAGTAACCATGGTAAAAATTTCGGCAATTTTTATTTCCGGGCGAAAAAAAGTCAAAAAATTCAAAAATTGAAAACTAATATCCACGTTTTTTGAGAAATTTTGAAGGTTTTGGGCCCGGTATCGAAAAACCTTAAGATCATAGGGAATTTATCTCGGGGTCATATAATGCCGTTTGGAATCATATTTAATCATTATATGTTGCCATAAATGTTCGTGGTAAGATTGAGTTAATGAATTCGGTGCAAGTTGTAAACTGATAAATTGGTCGTTTTTAAAGACAAATTGGATGGTTCCAGCCCCCCAATTGTACTCCTAGAGGGTATTAGAGACCATGATAATCATTTCGGCAATTTTTATTTCCGGCCGAAAAAGTCATGTCGTTTGGAACCATATATGATCATTATATGTTGTCATGAATATTCGTGGTAAGCTTGAGTTAATGAAATCGGTGTTAGTTGTAACCGGTAAATTGTCCGTTTAAAGACAAATTGGATGGTTCCACCCACCCGATTGGACTCCCGGAGGGTATTAGGGACTATGGTAAATATTTCAGCAATTTTTATTTACAGGCGAAAAAAAGTCAAAAAAATTCCAAAAGTCAAAAAAAATTCCAAAAGTGAAGTCTAAAATCCACGCTTTTTGAGAATTTTTAGAGTGTTCGGGGCCAGGTGTCGATTTTTTTTTTTGAAATTCTAGGGATTACATTTCGGGGTCAAATAATGTCGTTTGGTGAGTTTGGAACCATATATGATCATTATTTGTTGTCATAAATGTTCGAGGTAGGTTTTAATTATTGAAATCGGTGCAAGTTGTAAACCGGTAAATTGGTTGTTTAAAGGCAAATTAGATGGTTCCACCCACCTAATTGGACTCCCGAAGGGTATTAGGGACCATGGTAAACATTTCGACAATTTTTTTATCCGGGCGAAAAAAGTCAAAAAATTCTAAAATTGAAGGCTATATCCACGTTTTTTGAGAAACTTCGAATGTTTCGGGGTACGGTGTCGAAAAGCATTGAGATTTTAGGGGATACATCTCGGGGTCTCATAATGCTGTTTGGAACCATATATGATCATTATATGTTGTCATAAATGTTCGTGGTAGGTAAGAGTTAATGAAATCGGTGCAAATTGTAAATCGGTAAATTGGTCATTTAAAGGTAAATTGGATGGTTCCACCCAACTAATTGGACTCTCACAGGGTATTAGAGAGCATGGTTAACATTTTGACAATTTTTATTTTCGGGTTAAAAAAAATCAAAAAATTTCAAAATTAAAGGTTATATTCACGTTTTTTTTGAGAAATCATAAATGGAGTACCAAAAGGTTGACAATGATGACATTTTCGATCATGAAAGGAAACGAGTTCAATATTGACTATGGAAATTAATTTCCTTTTGATATTACTTGAGATTAGGTTAATTTTGCTTTCAAGGTTATCTAAGGCATAACTTTGACCATTCTAAGAAAATTAGTCATGGGTTTGGCGTCACCTTTGATCTCTTGAACGGTTGAGCCCTTATTACAGTAAACTACTACGTATCTAATTAAGAACTTGTCCTTCCAATATAATTTCGGTTTAGAAAATTGAATTATGCAATAAATTCCATGTTAACTAATGATGTTGACCAGAAATTAACATTAATTTAAACAATAATCAACCAACTACCATGGTCCTATTTTCCAGGCTAATTTCTCTAATTATCACAAACTAGAGTACTATACAAATTGCAAATCCTGACAAACTGAGCTTAGAGCATAGACTGTAGACAGCCTGAAAAATGGGTAATACACTAATACAGTACATTCCTATAAAGTCACGTTAGTATTCCATATCGTGGTCCGTGATTTTTAAGGACATATTGGCATGGTACCAAACATTATTGTTATCCACTGTACAAAAAAAATGTCATCATTAACAAAATTTAAGTAAATACGACAAGATAGTTAAATACTTGAATTGTTTACTCCACACATTTATTTAAGAAATCACGTCAATTATTTTGAATTCTTTGTTTACAATAAGATAGATATACACACGTGATAAACTTTTGAACTTTAACTCGATAAATTTAAAAATGACAAATTCAAATAATTTTAGACAAGCCATATTACAAATGTACTCGGAGTTTATATAGAAGAGGAGTTTTAATTGTTTGTAAGGCCGGAGTAATTTAACTTGAGCTAAATAAAAAAGAAGGGAAAGCGTATAGCTCAAACTTGAGTTAAAGTACTAGAAACATTGAAAATAGAGGTTTAATTATGTTCACAGTAGCATGGACTGCCTGTGTACCAAAACTTTAGGTTAGGCACCCTGAAAATTGCTTAATACCTTCTAACATTCCCTGTTACCTTCACTTACTAGCCAAATAGTTTAATTCTATTACAGTAATACTCTTCAATGGAGGGTGGTGAGCTAATTATACCTAAACTATTCTCATACCGAAAATATTTTCTTCACTTTCTTCATCTTCCTCCGGCATATGGGGCATGTACCTGCCTCTTCAGCTATCCTGCAAATTTGATCTCCAAAGTTTATTACTTTACAAAACAACAAAGCTGATTAAAACTTTATAAGCAAGGCCATGTCAAATAATAATGGAAACAAATCCGAGTGTTTTTAGGTGGACCGTGTTCTTTTTACCTGATTTTAATTGTAAAAACTGATTCATTTATTGTTTTGATTGTATACTTGAATAGTTGAATGTATGAAATTACTAATTTTAACTGATTATAACTGATTTTTCCTAGCTAGAATATGTACATATTCTGTAGTAGCTTAGTTATATCATAAGTTGAAGAGAATGAGGCCTTGGATTATGAAGCATAAGTCGATAACTAAAATTAAACTTGCCTTGATCCACAGCTGAAACAAGCAGCACAATGTCCACAAGGCAGGAAGAAAGAGTCCCTAGGAGCATCAAAGCATATAGCACATAAACGACGAGTATTATGGCTATGATGAACCTCTCTTCCTATTGAGACTTCCCCTTCAAGGGAGTCTTCTGAAATCATCTTCTCTTCAATACCCTGATCCTCATCGCTGGGGATTGAGTCATAAGATGATCCCCAATTTGAGTGATCATTGTTCTTATGGGAAAGCAGTGGCTGTCTTCTGTCAGCTACACTTTCGCTCACTTGGTTTCCAGTTTCATCTTCGGTGTTAGATTGAAAATGGTAAAGGTATCTGAATAATATTAAAATGAGTGCTGCAACTATACCTGCATTTCATTATTAATGATCCATCATTCATATGTATGTAAATTTGTACACTAGCATGCACAAATATAATCAATTGTACAGCGGCGTATTCCTTAAAAGGGTATTGAGATGCCAAAATCTTACATGATCCACCACAATATGTGACCCATTGTGGTCCAAAAGAAACTTGGACATACCAATCATTATCATTCTTAACCTGGATGGAAGCAATTAGGAAAGATGAGTAACAATAGTGTTTTCAAGCACTTGTGTATTAATATAGGGGCAAAATTATAGCAGTAACATCACACTTCAGTTTTAGGCCGTCTAAAAAAAGAGGGGTTCACTTTAGTTGCACAGTGAAAAGGACCTGTACACCTACTCACCAGTGCATTAAATGGATGCATAATCTGGTTGTATATGAAGAATTTAAAATTTTGAGGATAGCTCAAGTGATTATTGATTTAAGGGGGACTCGAGTTTGGGCTAATTGATGAAGTTTACCTGTCCTGGATCTGGAGATGTTAGGACAGCCGCATTAGGCTTCAGAAGGATAAGCTTGAAGCTGCAATCGCGATCTCTTAACAAGCACTTGAAATGGGCATCAGTAGTATTGTACAGAAGAGACATTATGGTAAAGTTCAAGTAAACCTGTTAAATGTAACTAGTCAGTGTCAATTATACTCAAATAACAAGCCAAGTAGCTAGCAGATACCACGGTCTGAAGTATATTTTATCCACTTCGTAGGTGTAACAAAATTTCTGTACTATCAGACAATTTGATGAGTGAGATCATAATTTTATAGTAATAAGCATGATCACCTCTGCTGTCTCCAGGTTCAAGTTACCAACTGCTACAAAGTAGGTATCTGACTCTTTGATGTCTATGGCAATATTACCACTTCCTGCACATGAGAATAAATTAGAAGTTATCTAAGATAGGAAAGTAATTAACGTTAAATTTATTCAATGATTTTCACCATACCATAGATTATGTGCCAAGACAAGGTTGTATTAGGATAGGAAGGAGAACTTATCCACTCTAGTAGACTTCCTCTACCTGCAGGTTATAAAGAAGTAAACCAGATCAGCTGAAACATCTAATCAACTGGGTGTTACCACTCGAAAACTCTTTTAAGTGTTAAGAGTTAACCCTTGAACATTTTGTCATGTGCTCATAGAGTCATAGTAGGATGCATCAGCTTGAGATCACAGGATACAGCTACTACAAAAATTATGTTGCAATATTGAGATATCATGTACCTCGAGCAATTACAAAAAACAAGGAGGCAGAGCCGGGGACTTTGACATCATAGGATACATCAACTCTAGATCCAGCATTCAGGTAATAAGCCCACTCCTGCATGACAATATGAACCTCAATGCCTTCAAGCTAAAAATAGACAAAGAAAAGTTAGAAAAACAACTCATGATTGAGTGGAGAACCTACCTTGTGATAATCAGGCTCTATAAACACAGTGTAATTTTGTGACCAAGTGGTTTCAACATCAAGTGAAGGTAACTCATGGAAGCCGTAAAGCATTGGCCCAGCTGTTTGATCATCTATTTGTTGTGCCTATATGTTAGACAAAAATCAGTAATTGATTTGTTACAATACAACCTATGGTACTCAAAATCCAATACTTAGCTAGTGTCAGACAAGAGTATATACGCATCCAAGTTTCAAACTCATTATTAGATTAAAACTACGATTTTTGGTACAAAATGAAGTGTCATGTGTCCATACCTATGTCAAAGTGTAAGAGTATCGACACCCATACTTAAGGTGCAATGAAAAGTCTTTGAGAAACACGGATTTATAGAATAACATATGGAGAAGAAACCCAATCTATGATCTATATAAAGGGAAAATAACCTTAATGGAATGCACAAAGAATGGATTGGTTTTGATCAAGAATGAGCAATTTAGCCCCAGTTGTAAGTTGAATGATCCATAAAACCCAAGAATCAGAATCATAGATGCTGCTGGTTGGAAAATTCAAAGATTTAAGCAAACCCCAAGTGAAAATTATTAGCTTTCAATTGTTAGAACAAACCATAAATAATATTTTTAAAAATAAAAAAATTTAGTGACAGTAATTAAGTGACTAACCAAGGAACCAGAAAGTGAGTAGCACAATTAAACAAGACCAAGCATCATTTCTAGCATCATCTGAACCCGAACTGATGAAAGTTATGTGAAACCACTGGAAAACAAGACTTGGCTGCCAATGCCAAAGCCGCGGCCTATCGAGAGGCTGCTGCTGCTGATCTTGTTCATTGTGCACCTCTGTTTGCTCTGATTCTTCTAGCAGTAAAGCAGGGGATGCAGAAGAAGAAGGAGCATGATCATGATTAATTGGTGACAATGTTGAATATGTTGTAATGTATTCTTGTTCTTCCATTTTATGGAAAAATCAGATAATTGTTTTGGATTCATAGGGTTCATTTACTAAGGTGAAGGTACAAAGTAGAGAAGATTGTCAGTCTTCATTTGATACTTACCCTTCTTATTCCTAAGAATAGTAGTTGGTGACTGTTAGTTGAAATTTTCACAAGTCACATCACTTTTATGTAATTCATGGTAACATGCAAAATTTCTTCTTTTTATTCTTATGTCAAATATATTTGGATTAGAAAAAAAATGAATAATTCATTCAATTACATACAAAATTGTACTCTTTATACTAGTTCAAATTATACCATTTTTGTGACATGTCAAAATGTCAAATAATTTCTAAGGAATGAAGAGAGTAATATTTACTCAATATAATAAACCTTATTAAACCATTCCTACATTCGAAGTACTCGATCCTGGTGGTTTAAACGAAATATACTCCATTTGATGCTTCAAACAGTCATACATATACACAAGTACAATTTACATACATACATCATACATGTATATATTACAGTAAGTAATGGAATTGGAAATGATTAACAACACCAATGAAAATGGACTTCATAGACCTTAATAGGACTCTGGGATACCACCAAGTTGGCTATGTAAATATTCATCTCTTGCAACTCTTCAATGGAACATAATATCAAAATAGCCACATTGATAACCAAACTCAATCTCAAGACTTTATAAACCTATTGATAGGCTTGTTATGGTTTCTAACCAACTTATATGACCTCTGGGGATACCCCACACCTTCACTTCAATTTTGGAAAAATCTCACTGTAAGCGCTTAGTGTAGGAGTCCATTTAGGTGATTGGCAACACCACTTTTCCTTTACATTGTCAATTTACCCATTTATAACTTATGCCTAGGTGCCTCCCTTATTTTGCTTCAAAAAAAAAAAGGTGCCTCCCTTATTAACTCAAGGCCACCACTGCCATAGCGCCACGTGACTTTATATAACAGACTAGTGACTATATATGATTTTAAACAATATTATATGACCCCGAGATGCATCTCCAACAATCCTGTGATTTTTCTATAACTAATCCCAAAACTTCTGAAATTGGTCCGATTTCGTGTATAGCCTTCAATTTTGGACTTTTCCAACCCAAAATGAAAAGGGGTCGGGGTTCTTCTCATGGATACCACATCATCTCATGAGGCTATTTGAGTGGTTGGAACCATCTACTTTGCCTTTAAATCATCATTTTAGCCATTTACATACACCGATACACGCTTCCCTTAATTAACTCAGGCCACCACAAGTCGCCTTTATATGACCGATTGGTAGTCATACATGGTTCCAAACAACATTAATGACCCTTGGACACATCCTTTATAATCCCAATATTTTTTGACACCAAGTCCTGAAACTTTTAAAATTGGTCCAAAAGCGTGGATTATAGCCTTCGGTTTTGGATAATTTTTTACTTTTTTGGACTCGAGAAGGAAAGAAGTTGGGTGTTATACATGGACCACACAACACCTCAAGAAGCCATTTGGGTCAATCGAATCCTCTATTTTGCCTTTAAATCGTCAATTTACTTATTTATGTACACATCTCCCTTAATTTGGGGCCACCACAAGCTTTTTATATGAAAGACTAGTGATTATATTTGGTTCCAAACAACATCGAATGAATTGGAAGAGTATCCCTTATAATATCAAGAATTTTGGATACCAAGTTTTGAAATCTTTGAAACAGCCCAAATGTGTGGATTATAGCCTTTAGTTTTGGACTATTTTGAACTTTTTCGGACCCGTAAAGGAAAGAGGTCGAGGTGGATCCTATGGACCCCACAACACCTCGAGAGGTCATTTGAGTGGTTAGAACCTTCTATTTTGCCTTTAAAACTATCCATATGACTTTTTTATGCACCTCTAGTTATTAACTAAAAAGCCACCATATGCCTTGATGTGACTAAATAATGGTCGTATATAACTCAAAACAACATAATACAACTCTACATTGCATCCTCTATGATCCCAAAAACTCTAAAATTGCAAAATAGAACAGGATAAGATAGAGCAGAATAGCTCAGAAGAACAGGGCCTTAATATTATTTCGTGTATCATATAACCTAACCTTTAAATTTGGTGTCAGGAGAACAAAGTACTTGCATATCCTATCCTTTTGCTTCAGGTGGATTTGTAATATTCTACTTCACATCCAAAGGAAGAGCTAGATGCCTACATGAAGGATAAGACGGTACTATATGATGATTCTAACGTGGACACGTGTCTTGTGCATGTGAATTATTTTTTCAACGCGGCGTTTTAAACTCTCCAAACGACACGTTTTAGGCTTGGATATTTTGTTGTACTAGTAGTCATTATTGTGGGTGGGAGAGAGCACAACAAGAACCGAACCACAATTGAAGAATACAAGTGATAAGAAAAAAGATGGGATCAGAGACGTTCGTAGAAGTGATTCTTGCAATTCTGCTACCCCCCCTTGGTGTCTTTCTCCGTTATGGCATCGCGGTTAGTCTCGCTTTTACTCACCGTTTTTTTTTTACATGCATCACTTTGACTATTACACTTTCGTTGATAAGTTGTACTCCGTATTAATAATATAAATAAATACAAAATAATTAGTCAATTCAGTGGGATCTTGTTAATTATGCCTTAGATTTATACTCTCATACTAACAATTATTATATGAGATATTAATAGTTCAAATTATGCATTTACAAGCCAGTATCAACAATTGATGATATAAATGATTCAAATAATGCATTAACAAGAAAGAATTAAACTTAAGTTGTAAGATGATAAAAACAATACCAAAATCTGAAATTGAATCTTATATCATTTTATCACAATTATAGAATTTGATTATAATTCTATGTTTGTCATTTGCAGGTTGAATTCTGGATATGTTTGTTATTGACAATATTGGGCTACATACCGGGAATTATATATGCTCTTTATGTTCTAGTTGCTTAAAATATGTATTAAGAAACTACTCCTGCTACCGGTGTACTTGGTTTTTGTAATTGTACGATACAGTGTACTCTTTCAAGCTATTTGTCACTCTGTATCTTGATTTTTTCCCTTTCTGTGTGTAAAGTTATGTGATTTTACCTTTCTATAATATTCCTATTTCAAATGTCATATACTTGTTACAACTTATTGATCCTCAAAGATGCAGTTTTTGTTGTGGTTCTTGGAACAACATTATACTACCCGGCCAAAATTACTTGCAACTTTGAAATATTTTAAATCTCACAAATAATACCCCAGAGTTGCGAGTAATTTGGATCGGAGGTAGTATTACTACGTAGTATAATTAACAAAAATATGGAGTAAGAAATAAAAATGGTTGATATGGAAGGGAGCAGTTGGTTAAAAGTGGTTCAGAAAATGACATACTTGTATTAGTTTTCATTTACACTTTGTTTGGATACGAAGAAATGGAAGGAAAAGAAGAGAAAAGAAATGGAAGGGGACAAAATCTCTTGTTTGGGTAAAAGATTGGGGGAAGGAAGGGGAAGGAGAGGGATGATCTATTTTCCCTCTCTCTATAATAACCATAATCTCTCCAAAATTGGAGAGATTTGGAGGGAAAATGAAGCTCACCTCCTCCTCCCTTTCTTTTCCCTTCCTTTCCCTTCCTCCATTCTCCCTCCCCTTCTTTTCTTTCCTTCTTTGCTATCCAAATAAAGCGTAAGTGTAGTGTTACTGTGTTAGTGTGAGCGTGTTCCGGGCGCGTGCGTGTGTGTTAAAGATGAGAAAATTGCAGAATAACATAGTTGAAATCTACAGATAGATGCCCGGAGATGTCTGGAGATCAGAGTTTTGATTGTAAACTTTAGGTTCTTTAAAATGAGCTTAGCTCTTACATGAAACTACTAGAATTGGGCGTGGAAGATTGAGCAAAATTAAAATCCAATGTAATCTCTAATATCTTCTAAACAGTAGTTAGCCGAATTGGCCAAGTCGTAGGAGGGCCTAATCTCAAGATGCACGACGGTTCTCATAATAATGAATCAAGATTGCATTAGAAAAGAATCGATTTACCTAATTACAGGAGTTGTGGGGCTCATAGCCTTTATCCAAAAGGGTCATTATAAAGAAGAAGAATGCAGCAGCAGCATCTGCATCACAAGTTTCGCGTAAAAGAGTACATAAGTACAGGGCCAAAGCACAAGCATCAGGCAGAATACAAAATTTTGGATTTGACAAGGACAAGAAAAGGCATCTGTCTGCCAAGAAACTGAGTTAAAAGCTCCATGAGACGGTACTTAAAATAGCTGATCAGATAGTATCTTAAGAATATTAGAACATGTAAAAAGACAGGCTAAATTATTGGACTAGATCCAAATTACAGTGAGGGTCGCACCATGTTTATGTTATTATGTTGTCATCTCAGTTGTTCACATCTTCAACAAGTTGATCAAGCAGTATAAATGTAGGCAAGAGCTTTCTCTCCTGACAAACCGTCTCCAACATAAGCAACCATGAGTTTGGCTCCGGTCTAAAACCAGCTTCTAACAGCTCCGACAATGCAGTAACAGCATCATCTGCCCGTCCAGCCTCACACATACGAACCAATAGTTCATTTGAAGTTGTATAATGAGGCACGAAACACCTGCCAAGCATCAAACTCAATAGCCAGGCAGCCTTTTCTAATTCACCAACTCTGCACAGAACATTCAATGTGATTCTGTAACTAGCTTTGTCTAAGAAGACACCTTCATAAGGTAGCATTTCAAGCATCTGAAGAGCTTCCTTGAACCTCTGTTGCCTACTTAGAACTTCAATGACAATTCTGTAAGTTATAGCATCAGGTTTGCAGCCTACTTCTCTCATTTCCTTGAGCAATAGCAATGCTTCCTCAAGTCTCCCTTCCCTGCCGAAGAAGTTAATCAAAGTAGTATAGCCAATCGTGTCAAGCTTTATACCTAAAGCCTTCATCTCCTCAAACATTTCCATGGCTTCTTGTATTCTTCCATCCTTGCATAATCCGTTCATAAGAGCAGAGTAATTAAACACATTTGGGGCGCATCCATTATTCCTCATGAACTCTATTACCTTCTTCGCTTGATCAACCTTACCACCTCGGCAGAAACCATTGATCAGGATATTGTAAGTTAAGGCATCAGGGACAATCTGATCCTTGGATATCATCTCTTCAAATTGATCAAATGCTTCCTTAAGTTTTCCACTCCGACATAGACCATCCATCAGTGTTGTATACGTGATCACATTGGGATAAGACGCTTTGCTTTCTTCATCTCCTCCACAACCTCAATGGCTGACTCAAGGTTCCCATGCCTGCAATGATACTTGACCAAGATGTTATAAATACAAGTATTTGGCTTCATCCTATGATTTTTCTTGGCATTTAACAAAAACTTTCGTGCCAAATCCATCTGGTTCGACTCCACAAGGAGATTAAGACAAGTGCTCACAGCATTAGGTGAAGGCCGATCCCTAACATAAGGCCGGATCAAATCAAACATCTCAACCACCTTTTCATGCATACCACACTTGGAGTAATGCTTCATAAGATTAGTAAAAATACCCTCATGAAACCTGCACGCCGGTTCATACATCATTTGTCGAAGAAGAGCATCAATGCCATTAAATTTCCTCGCCTTAGCAAGCTTATTAAGAATAGTAGCATAAGTAGCATTGTTATGATTAAACCCCCTTTGCTCCGAAACCTTGTTGAATATCTCCAAAGCACGTTGAGGATCATTCTCACGTTTGATCAAGTCTATTGCCCGTTCATGAGAGATATACCGCGATTTCTTGTAAGACTCTTGCTCAGGTGGGGGTGGAGGGTCTGACTTTACAGGGTTTGTTTTAGGATAGTGAAGAGGAGAAATCCATGGTAATGATGATGATGAGAAACAACGTGATTTTGGTATTGAAATTTTCATCTTACACTTTCAAAAAAGTCTCATTTCTCTCATAAGCAAATCAACAAACACCTTATCTGCATTCCCAAAATCCCCATTAAAACTTGTATTTGAATCTTCTTCTACAAATAATTATACTCAATCTACCCAGAAAAATGTCACTCAAATTACAGAATTAAGAACAACAAAAGATTGAAGGTGGGTACCACCGATTTCCAGCCAATGAGCAAAGAACAGAGGAAATTTTTTTGCTGATTTTAATTTCAAAGTGGGAAAATAACTTCTCCATTTAAAACAAATACTTTCGGGTCGGGTTAAAGTAGTTGGGTCGGGTGAAATCTCCCATCCAATAGAAATGGTCCAAACACCTAAATAGCACACTTGTCATATTCTAATTGGCTGATCTTATCATTTTCTTTTTTCTTTAAATTATAAAATCACAAATAAAAGAAAATTACAGTCAGTTCATCACACAGGAAAGCGAGAGAAGAAAGATGGCAAGAATGAATTCGATCACCATTGCTCTTCTATGGAGTTGTGTTCTTTTCGGAACCCTAACTCAAATTCAGGTACAATTTTTCAACTTTTTTATTTGATCTATTTTTTAGTAATTTTTGCAGTTTTTTTTTTCTTTTCCCGTTGATCGATTGAGTTTGATTTCTAGGGTTTAAGGCATATGAATTTCTGGATCATCTTGATTAATCTTAAAATAATTTAGGTTAATTTTTTTGGTATTACAATTTTTGTAATTTTTTGGGGAATTAATTCAGGCTAAGAAGAAATCATCGGAAGATCTGAAGGAAGTGACAAACAAAGTGTTCTTTGATGTTGAGATTGATGGAAAACCTGCTGGTACTTTCTCACCTCATTGATATAATGCTCTTGATTAAATTGATTTGATTTATATTTTGAAAAATTTCAAATTTTTTTCAGAAAAAGATTGGTTTGTGATTATAGTATAGATGTAGTTAGTATTGCAATATTAATTTCAATGGGAAAAAAAAAATACTGTGAAATTTTGTTTCTGATCGTGTGATTTAGTTTGAATTAATTGATAGTAATTGAAAGAAAAAAGATCACTTTTTGCAGCTATTCTTTTCATTTAAATCTGAAATTTTTAATTAAGCAGTTGTGTTAATGTTATAATTTGTTTTCAGGTCGAATTGTTATGGGTCTCTTTGGCAAGACAGTTCCCAAAACAGTAGGTAAATTGTTGCACCTTTTAACCGGATTCGGTTTATTATCTGGTTTATGATCTCAATGTGTTACTGATTTTTGTGTTGTTTTTTGTTTTGTGTAGAAAACTTCAGAGCATTGTGCACTGGTAAGTTATTAACCTTCAATTGTTTACGATGATCCGATGTTCTGTTAGTAATAGTGTCACTTAGCTTCGTTTTATATTGGATTATTGAGCTTTAATTTCGAAGGATGATAAATTTAGAATTGAAGGAAATAATGGGAGAATTGTGGCAAGTATATGACAAAATATAAGGTGATGTAAGATGTCAGTTACTAAAATACTAATATGAATTGGTATGCTATTTGGCTGCTGTAACGAAATGCGGGTTGATAATAGCTTAAGGAGGAATTCTGCTTTGTTCATGATGTGCATATTTTGATAATGGTTGTGTACTATGTGTGCTATTGTAGGAGAGAAAGGTATTGGGAAATCTGGAAAACCTCTACACTACAAAGGAAGCTCATTCCACAGGATTATTCCTAGTTTCATGATCCAGGGAGGTGATTTCACTCTTGGAGATGGAAGAGGTGGTGAATCAATCTACGGAGAGAAGTTTGCTGATGAAAATTTCAAGCTAAAGCATACTGGACCAGGTATATTAGTGTAAATTATTGGAAATATTCTTGTGATATCTCAAATTTGAGTCTATTCATGAATTTTTTCTGCGTGATGATGTGGATCCCTTGTATATTCTGTTCAGAACTTTCAAACTAATTTCATCCTTGAATGTGCAGGTCTTCTATCTATGGCAAATGCTGGTAAAAACACCAATGGTTCCCAGTTTTTCATCACAACCGTAACAACTAGCTGGTTAGTAAAATTTGTATTTAATAGAAGAAGTACTTTGTTGCCTTTATATCTGATTTGGCAGTGTATACTGTAGAGGGCTTTTGTGATTAAGATTGATGGATAAATTATGTACTAAGTATTAGAGAATTGCACTATTGGAGGTACCTGAGATCACAGGACTAGGACAGACATTTCACTAAAAAGGTTCTTCGGAAATGGGTATACTAGTTATGTTTTGAATTAATGACTTGTGCTTTACTCCCCTATACTATAACGTCCCTGGCTCAACACTTCAATAATCCCTCATCTTTTATCTTGCCAAGTAGTCTTCCCAATCCCCCTACATAACAAGTGGAAGTAAAGGTATTGAAAATGCATGTCACTTTCTATTTGTCAGTTGGCTGCGTATTGAAAAGATAACATTTTGAACTGAATTTTATCGCCATATTTCATTTGCAAGAAAAGTTTGAGGGAATAGAAAAGTAAAAAAGATGAGGGGACAAAAAGAAAGGGATGAATAGGGAGGGAAATGCTGGGTAATTTCCCTAAATAAGGAAATTGTTTAATCCTTAGAATCTATTTTGTAGCCATAGAAATTAGTAAACCCTTTATGAACTATAGGAAACTGGAAAGTTAATATTCTGCTATTCAACCAATCTGACCCTTGCTCCCCTATTGCTGTATCAAGTCACTTTCATGCAAGGAAGATAGAAATTATAAACCAATCAAGAACAAGAGGAAAATGGAAAAACTAGTACTTCTGTTATAGGAATGCCCTTCCAACTCGAACCAATCCGACCCTTACTCCCTGCTGTTGTATAGTCACCTTTATGCATTGAAGTGCAGCGCAAGAGCTAATGAAATTTTCATCCTTGTTCTTGTTGGATTAGGAAGCCTAAGCTAATGAAATTTCTGTTCTTTTGTTGAGATGTACAGCTTTGATTTATTATATACAGTTAATGAAGCTCCAACCTTTCTTATATAATATAGTTGCAAATATGTCCACAAGTGAAGTAAATTTTCCATTCCTTTTGCTTGTTGACTAAATTATTTGTATGAATTGCAGGTTGGATGGCAGGCATGTTGTATTTGGCAAGGTGATTTCCGGAATGGATGTCGTTTACAAGATGGAAGCTGAGGGAAGACAGGATGGTACTCCTAAAAGCAAGGTAGTTATCGCCGACAGTGGAGAAATTCCTCTGTAATCTCTTTTCAACATTTCCAAATTCCATCCCTGAACAGAGATGAATTAGGAAAAACCATAGGCACTTTACACTGGTGGAATGTGCTGTCTTTTGCGCTTCAGTTTCTATCTTAGATGTTGGAAACTTTCATAGTGCTAAAATCGCCTTTTTTCATCTCCATGTAAACATTGGATCTTATAACTAGCTGTAACGAGTTGTTTCATAGATGAGTTAGATTTTGCCTCTCTGTTCTAAACTTCATTTAGATTTTGCTGCTCTGTTCTATTAAGCTTATGATGAAAAGTGGAAGCATGAGTCATTCAACGATCAGAAAGTAACAAAATTCCTTGCAGCTGACATTTCAGGAAGGATGACAACATACAATGTTTTACTTTCACTCAGATAATAACAAATAAATTCAAATACTCTATCCTACATAAATATACATCTCAAACATATTTACTCTGTTTTCAGCACCAAATTACTCACTTTTTAAGCTTCTAACTTAAACTTTAACAAAAAGATTACTTTGATAAAAGTAAATGATTATAACTCCAAAAATTTCAGCACTTTGTTATTCATCACTCTCTTTAACATCAACCACCTCTTTCCCGCCATAACCGCGATTCTTCAATATGAATTTGTGCTGGCGAACCAACTTAGTGAACTCGACCGAAAGATCAGAGTAAATTGACAAAACCTTAGAAATATTTCCATTGATTTCAGAAATCAAAGCAACATTTTTCACCAAATTAGCTGGATTCTTCGACTGTTGATTTTGATTCACTTGCTGAATCAACGCCATATTTTGATCCAAAACCGATTGAACTCGCTCTAATCCGCTGTTGAGCATCATCCTTAGCTCGATATCAAAGTCATCACCACCTCCATCGCCGGAAAATTCAGTTTTCCGGCGAAGATCATGGCTGTCAGATCGCAAATTGAAAGGATGATTATCGTTCCTCTTTTAGGTTTCCATGATTAAATGTTGAAGACATGGAATTCTCTCTCCTCTGACTAATAAGCTTTGCAGAAAATGTGAAATTTTCTTGATAAACTTGACGAAAATGGACAATGGACCTGGATTTTTTTTTAAACACAAATCTTAATTGTCAGCATTAAATTGGCGGGGTTTTATTTAATAATTTTTGGATTGTCTTTTCGTGCAGTTTTCAAACTTTTGCTGGTATTATTGAAACAAAATACGTACAAATTACGTAGTCGTATCTTCATCTAACCTGGGATGAACAAAACTGCGCTGTTATTGACTTTGACAAAATAAAGTGGCTTAAATTTTCATACTCCCAGTCTCCCACTGTTTTGTTTGTTACGTTTTGACCATTCACTCAAAAAAATTTCAAATTTATAAAAACAAAAAGGAACGGAAGAAGTGAGGCGTGGAGGGAATGTGGATAGTGCGTCCGCATACTGTTGTATCATCCACCACCACCAGCAGAAGCAGTATCAGCATGTCTCACTCTGATGGCAGCATAAAATGCACACAACACAGTGCACGCACCTCCGCCTAGGTGCACATATGTTTAGGTTAATGATAGGCAGAACTGCACCACCAAGCAGCCAGGCACAAGTAATATACACCACATAACAAAGTACAGAAGATGATTGACAGTAATCAATAGATTTAGAATGTATTATCATTAACCAAATAAATTTGTACAGCAATTACAAAAGCTGGATAGCTGGAAAATAAATCCCTTGAATGTCTGAAGTGTTGCATGATATTCCTCTAATTTCCTGCCATCCCATATGATAAATACATGTTCTATCTCACGTCTAGCATTTGCCAGGTGAGTTCATCCTCTATAGATTCTAGCAACAAGCTACAGTTAATTTATACAAATCTGCTCTAGTAATCTAATCAGACTCACTGTCACTTCCAGAATCCAGAAAACTGAACTCTCTTGGTCCATCAAGTCTAATAAGCACTGTACCATGGTTCTCTTCCTTCCACTCAATTCCTTCGTTCTTGAGAAGGTTAACCACCTGCATTCATATCAATTTCCAATTGAAGCATTGCAAAGGGAAAAATTTTGCAAACAAAAATGATATAGTATCACTTGAAAATTCAACAACTAAAAAAGTTCACATTGCTTCTGTAAGAGAAAACAAAACATCTTACATGAGCTTGAGATACTCCCATGCATGAATTTTCACTAGCCCAAACTTCAGGCAACAGCAAATGACAGATACAATAGCTTGATCTTTCAAAACCAAGTGAACGAAAAGCAAAAGATGGATGTCTGAGAAGGGGGTATAACAGTTTCATAAGGACCAGCACTGGTACCAAAAGGCCACTAGATTGTCACCCCACATTCTACAAGCAGCAAGTCAAGTACCTAAACTTAATAACTAATTCCGTAACTTCAAAAAAATCCAGTGAATACAAGCATACACCTACAGCAAAATCAATAGAAAGCTCATCAATTATTCTAAGAGTGGTCAGCAATAGCTCGGGCCATATAAGCAACCAATCAGCAACAACTCACACTATCTACAACCCTTCACTTCAAAAAAAAAAAAAAAAAGCTCCAGAACAGAGACTGAAGAATGTAATGGAAAAGTACTTCCTAATTCTAGTCACTAATAGAGCAATATATATTTCTTTATTTATCTATCTGAGGATAATAGAGCATTATATCTTCTAATACCTTACCTATCTTTCTAACAACTACCCCTAAAGACGTAAAACCTTCATTATGTAATATGTTTACAAGGAGCTGATGCATGGATTGAACTTATAAACAATAGCTAAGAAGCTCTGAGTGCATACCGATTGTTTCAGCATTGACTTTCCAAAACCACTTGACCCACATCCTGTAATTATCCGGATATATTGCACAGCTAAAGCAGAAATTGTATAAACAAAAGTAAGAGAACTATTAAGGCAAATGTAGTAACCCCAAAAAAAAAAAAAAAAAAGTAAATGTAGAAAAAAACTGCTCACAAGATATGTATGTTCCAAATAGAAGATGAAGCTTTACAAGCCTCATAGCTGGCTTAACATGTTGCCCATGCAAATCAATTGTCAAAACATTTTCTATTCCCTTATTCCTGCAAAAATAACATTGCCTCAACTCTCAAAATGTGAAAAGAAGCAAACAAAAAATATCATAACTCCTATATTGCATGGCCATTAATGAAGCAACCTGGCCTTAAAAATTTGCATGCTTGCTTTTTCATCTGCTTCTCGAGCCATTTTGCTGCACAATTTACCCTAACAAAAATAAAAAGTAGTGTCAAGATCGAAGGAAAAAAATATATATCATAAAACGGAAATTTACTAGCTTAGACAGAGATAAGAAGCTCCACTCCTACACAAAGGTATTTAGTATAGAAGTTTGATATTCAAGACCATAGTTACTAACTTAGAATGTAATAGGGGATTGCAAAGAAGATGAAAAAAATAAATAAATAGAATAAGATGCACCCACACCCAAGGGACCTCAAAACGCAAAATGAGGAGAGAGAAGTAAACATTAAGGCAAGCAAAGCTCAGATTTCTTAGATAAAAGGGCAGTCAGTCATTCATAGAGTACAATACACAAATTGAAATAGTATTTTTTTTAAAAAGCAATTGAAAGACTTAAAACTCCAAAATTATCCCCAAGTAAAGTAACATTATATCAAGTTTATTACTTCCTCTGTTCGTTATTAGTTGCAACAGTTCAACCAAAAAGCTCAAACACTTTTGATCAAACTGTTGCAACTAAATGTGAACGGAAGAAGTATTTTATTTTTTAATTAAATGGGCAGTACATGATCCCAGACCACCTGGGCAATATGACATAATCCAAAGCTTACATTTAGGAGGATTTTAGCCACCACAGAATTATCATTTGCTCATATAAACTGATACCAAAAATAAACTTTTCTACTTTTTTTTTGTTTTTGGGTCGGGGGGGGGGGGGGGAATAGAGAGGGGTGGGGGCGCTGAGAGTGAAGCGGTAAGAAGGTACCTGCTCTGACATGTAAGAAGCATAGTTCTTTTCACCATTGGAATATGCTGCAGCAGCCTGCACATAATGCCTCATTAGTAAGTGATTCGGTGAAAACACCTCAACAAAAGGTGGATCTAACAATATATATTTCTTTTAAAAGGGTTTCTTATAAATTAAAAGGTAAATTTGTCAAGTATAAAACGATTACAGAAAAACTACCGCAACTACTGTACCCTACTTGCAAACAACTTTTGAGAATATGTCAAAGACAACCTAAAAGTATTATATTTAAAGAATGACATAGCTTGGCCCACCACTGATCATCCTATGAGTTTTATTTGCCCACAAAGGCCAGTAATCATCATTATATTTTAAGTTAAGCATATAGAAAAATGCATGAATTTTTACTTTGGTTGGTCCTACAAGGTTTAGGCACCAGGTTAGCAGCCCACGATAAGGCAAAGATTTGTCTCTATTTGTAAGGAGGGAAAAAAAAAATTAAAAAAAAAAAATGATTTTCAAGTGCTTTATTTTTATCAACAATTTTCAAACAGCTATTGAATCCTCGTTGTTAACATACGAATACATGATCAACTAAAAAAATTAATCTACAAATCATTTTATCCTTCCCAAAGTCCCAATACAATAAAAGATTAAGCAAAAGAAGGATAGTTCATTAAGAATAAAAACCTTTTGGTAACAGGTTTTCATTTTATCCCATTCCTGTCGTGCTGTTTCCCTAAACACCATATATTCAGCTCCTTTTGCTGAGCAGATAAATTAGACACAAGCCAAAAGTAAAATCAGTTAATACAAAATTCAAAGCAGTGATCAATACATTAAGGTAAAAGAATAGACAATATACTGTAAATGAATCAAGCAGCACACATCAAACTTCAGCCATTCTAGAAAAGGTAAACCAATTAACAATGATGAAAAAACTATTGGATTGATCATGCAACACACACCAACCAAAGGAAAATGTAAGTATGCCAACTATTAAGAAAACTGAAAATGTCACAAATAGGGTAAATAATTGACTTTCAGGAAATAGGCAAATATACATAGATCATTATAAAATTAAGAATAATTGGATTGATCTATCACAGAAAAAATAACGTACAGAGGCTAATACAAGAGAGAGATTTTTCTTAGAAAATAAATAATGAAATATGAAGACAACAGAGGGTCTAAATTACTTCACAAAGGACACAAACTAAGATGATATCCATTGCATAGTATCAAACCACTGTTTTAAGAATACAATGCTGCATTCACAAGTATACAAAAACCAAGGTTTATATGAAAGAACATTAAGAGAGAATTATAGTTACAAAATTACAATCCTATTATAAATTATAAGGGTGTCACCAAGTATTATGAAGTCATACACCAAGATGGTTGACAAACATATGTAGGTCGAGCTCCATTTACATCAAAATGTCTACCTATCTATCTAATGAAGTTTAGGACTGATTCAAGAATCACGAGGAAACAAGATGCGAAGAAATACCAAGAAACCCTTTGCTTGAACAATACTTAGAATGAACATACTCACTCATGCCAGGCAGAGGAACAGAAGAAGATATAGCACCCAAAGAGCATAAACAATTGTAAAAAATGAACAGCAAAATCAGTAACGAGAAGATTTGACCATTAGGTCCATTACCCCCAGTCCACCACAACCGCATCGCGCCCCCCCCCCCCCTCCCAAACCAAAAGGATAAATGCTAACTTGCTAAGTATTCCGGTCTTCATAAAATGAAATGCCAGATAGGTAGCAATTTATATACCTTGGGTGTTCAATTCTCGTGCAATAAAGCTAGAAGGACCAAGTTGAACTCGCTTCTGTGCAAAAGACTCCATTTGTTTCGCAACATTCCTCCAGTTCATGGTAGATGGATCTTGCTCTGAATTCTTAGGAATATGAAACAATGATTCTAAAACTTGTCGTGGTAGCTCAGGTCCATCAGATCTCAAACTTGATGCAGCTGGATTACTTGAATGATCAGAGCAGGCAAGAGCTTCTGCATAACTCCTGAGGTCATAAAAGATCATTTTAATCAGATAACCTTGCAAATAAAGAATAGTTCAGACACGAAGATAAATAGAAAAGAATAAATCAGCATATACAGAATAATTAGGAATATAGAATGATGAAAAGTACATAAATTTAAACAAGATAGCATTCATATCAAATCACAAACTTATATACAACTTTGTCATACTGAACATTTCAATAGATAAGGAGAAAAGGGACCACCAGCCCTGCCATCTAAGTATCTAACAGAGCCAATACATCACAAAGGAGCCACTACCCCATCATTATTTGGTGGCCTTTTAGGTGGTAATCAACAAGGAGAGAAGTATATACCTGCCATTAAAATCAAGGAGCCGTAAATTATCCTGGAAGTCACCTTCAGAGGAATAAGAATTTGAATCAGATCCCCTATCAGTCAGTTGCCAAAACTATTTCAGACGAGCAAACAAAACATATTAGTATTTATCAGAGTGCAGTTACTGAGTTAAAGAAAAAATATATAGCCCAATAGGGCTTATAGCTTATTACAATTCACAAACATGGAGTTTGCAAACATAAAAAATTACAAACATAGAATTCGTAAACAAGGCAACATGTATAGGACTATAGGATATTAGTTGAACACTAAACCTGACTGGCTCATGCCAAAATACAGGTAGGAAAGTACTTGGAAAAGTATGAATATTAACTCATTTATTCCAGCTTTACTTGAAAACACACACACACACACACACACAAACTATATTCAACTCTAAAGACCAATTGAGGCATTTCAATATTGCTCTCTCTATTAGTTTGTGACAGGTAAAAGAAGGCAAAGCTGCATTTATGTCTAGAACTCCCCAGATCCTGCTCAAGAAGAAAATATGATGAGCTGTTCTTACAAATTTTGACAAAAAGGAAAAAATAAGACCACCTTGTATATGGAATACCTAAAACCTTAATTGGGCTCTGCAAAGGTCACTAAAATTAATCTTTACCACTCAACACTTGCAGGATATTGTTTCCCAAAGGATGAAAATAACATCATTTTGCAAGAGATATAGAGAAGGGAGTAAACAGAAAAAGAGACAGCACACCGTTCTTTGTAGAAAGATCCCACATGCAAGCAAATAGACAAATATCAGAATTCGTTTTGAATGTAGAGATGCTTCAGTACCCAATAATCATTCAATACAAAGAAAAAAAAAAAGGCAATTTATCAGACAAGCAGGCATGATGCTTCAACCACAAAATGAAGATATAAGGTAAAATCACTCACACCATCAATACAATCTAAATTTCTTGAATATTCGGCACTGCTTTAACTAGAGCTAGAATATTTATCACAGCCAGATGATTCACAAAAAGGTGCAGATAGATCAAGCAACACCTCCAGTGCCGGCAAAAGATTCAAATTTTATTGAACAAGCTGCAAACCAACATGTTATAAAGCTAAAATGATACTCCCTCTCTTTGTCTAGAAACAAATTTCAGTTTAGATTATTGGTTGAACTTGGAGAAAAACACATTACCAGGAAATCAAATCTCAGTTGCTATCAAAATTTTGATAACAGTTAAAATAAACTTAGAATTTATTCATGTTCATGTGATTCTATCTACTCTGTATAACGCTATTTCATCACAGGTCAGAAGTATATTAGATTTATTAATATTACATCAGAAAGGTATAAAATAGATATCAACAAGAGGTCAATCGATTGATGTGTGTTGGTATATATGTATTTTGCTACTATGAATAAAAGCAGTTAACAAAAAATCTGACACGATCCATGTTCTTTTCTAACTAAATAGAGATATGTTGAGTTTTTTTTTTGTTTCAGAACTTAGTTCTCAAGATAGTACCAACTTGTTTCCATCATATTAGTAAGGGGGGGGGGGGGGGTGGGGGGAAGGGGTTGATCAACAACAAATATGGGTACATTTCTCCAGTAAATTAGATAATCAAACTGAATATGAGCAAAAACTAGATACATATGTTCAGAAGGTAGTACAAAAAGTCAGCAGGATATAGGCTGTGTTCACTGTCAGTAACATCAAATGCATTAAACCCTCAAAAGTATTGAGTTGGAACGTACCTCTATATAAAGAGTTTATTTATCCTAGAAGGTGGAAAATATAACTTCCATTAATATATGGCATAATAAATGCTAGGGAATGAAAACCTTACGAAACCCTTATAGGACCTGTTAGATTTCAAACTTTAACTGATCAGTTGCTTCCCTCCTCAAAGTCAGGAACAGGAAGAATGTGTAAAAACCTCAGGAACAGGAAGAATATGTAAAATAAATGTGCAAGACCTTATGGGGAATTGGGGTTCCAAATTCATGAAAACCTCAGGAACAGGAAGAATATGTAAAATAAATTCGAGAGTATAGGTTACTATCAGAGTAAATTTAGGAACAATTTTAAATTCTCAAACTACAGCCTTAACATTTACTTGACCAGCTAAATCATAAAAATGGCACTATTTGGGATAAGATAAGGAATCCCCAAGTCACTCTAACATTAGGTTCTTCCTTTGAAAGTTATTGTTTAATAGGAACCCAAGGCTCAAATATAACCCAATCTAAATCATACACTTTCTGACCTCAGAAAAGAAATTAAATCAATCACTCATGTATTCAGACTTGCCTAGGCCAATTGACATCTAAAAGTTATAGATAAATCCCTACATCCACCCAAGACTTTAAATCTTGGTTTAGAATCAACCTCACCAACACCAGATCTGTCATGGGCGTTTTCCCTTGGAATGTCATCTTCATGTTAACCATCTGGCATATCTGAACTCTGGAAAAGATGAAACCCCAAGACACTAACTGCCAAAAGCATCTCTTCTATAAGGATTGGTACTTTACTCCCCACCAAACCCAGTCCTAAAAACAATGTTGATGCTACATTTTCAGGTGAACCACTTTAACATGAACTGATTGCAACAACGGAAACTTTACAATGGACAGTTCAGCAGAAGTGGACCAGCTGTTTCACATTCTCAGACTGCAAACAGGCACTGGAACTCATAAAGGGACCAGGAAATTTAATCAATACTAGAAATATTGTTACTGCAATAGTTCAAGTGTGCTGGACAAACCCCAGGACAGAGTTAGATTTGAGTAGGTCAACATGTAAAATGTGGTTTTAAATGGGGTCATAAAAAATGCCAGATTGATAGGTTTAAACTTCAAGTTTAATCAACAAAATAGCGAAGAACAAAATTTTGTTCATGTTTCTAATTGATTGAATCAACACAAACTACAAAGGTAATTATAAGGCACTCAGCATGCAAACAAATGCAATTAAAAAACAGCTGGAAAAAGAAAGCCAAAGACAACTAAAAGTATTCTAAATTAAGATGCTAAGGATACCTTCTCAACATCAAACCCACAATTACCTGCAATAACAAAATACACAACTCTTTTAGTATAAGGTGGCTACTATCCACAAGGATATTTATTTAAGATGCCCAAAAGGGGGAGGCATGAGGATAAGCAATCAAGCTTGACATCACACAAATGACATGCCCCATATTCATAACAATTGATGAAGAGAGAATAAAGTGAAAACAAAACGGAATAGACTAGATAGTCATCAAAAAGTAAGGTTAATTTTAAAATGATGGAGGCTACCTTTCATATTTTCATTATTTAGGCATGCAATATAACAAAATATATAAATAATATATAAATCAAAATTAAAAAATTTGTTTTACAAAAAAAAAAAAAATCTACCCAATTTTGACCCCGTGCCCAACAATTAGTTAACTCACATCCTTTCCCAAAGAACCAAAATGAACAATACAGAACAAAGAAACATGATCCAAAAAGACTTATTTTGAGAGCCTTGATGACCTACACGGACAAGAAAATCTGTAACATAATTACATAAGTGAATATTATGTCCCTTCAAAATCCAACTTTAGGAAAGGTAAAAGAGTGACATGATGAACAAAGCATATGTTGTTAATATTGTTGAGTGATCCCCACAATTGTTGTAAACCATCAAGCAGGGAGATGCCCTAACAAATATTTGGCAAAGAAAACCCTCTTTAATCTGCTCCTTGTGGCCTTGTTCAATTCACATGTACATACAGATTTTCTTCCATTATTTACAGATTCCCAACAAGTTCAATTAATAGTTCATAACAGGAATACACATGTATGTAACACAACATCCCAGGCAAGGAGGAAAACTGCAAAAAGCAATCATCTAAAATCCCCCTTCAATCCCTACTAGATGATCATGGTCTGTAAGTCTGTAGCTCATGATAGACAATTCACTTATAAGAGCTAATGTCCACTTTTGTAATCTAACAGTAATTTTACTCACAATCAGACCCAACAAATCCAGCAAATAACATAGATTAAGCATAAAAGAACGGACAATCAGACCAACAATTCCGAAAACAAGTTTTAACAGTTGAGCAAACAACATCATCATATATAGCTTAAATTATGCACAACAAAGTACAGAAGACTCACATAGCACATCTCTAACAACACCCATGTTGAGTTCACAATCGTCTCCGAGCATAGAACAGAGAAATTGCTCTGCCTCCTCCATATTAGCCTTGGCACCACCCAATCCTTTTTCCTTGACAAGATCCTTTCTCGAGCTCGAGGATACATAATCCTTCCCGAGAACCGCCGAAACCGTTCCTGTAGTAGCCACCATCCTTTTTCCTCTACTCCCCCTAGAACTCCTAGTCCTAGTGCTATCAGAAAAACTGCTTGGTTCCGGTAGACCCTCAGACGAATTCGAATTCGAATCCAATCCAAAACTTAGAGATGAACTAGAACAACTAGCTTGAAAAGCCTCAGAACTTTCTGATAAACTACATAGAATTTCAGCAGCTTTGTTTGGATCACCATTAGCTTCCTTATAAGCTGCTTCAGCTTCTTCAACAGAAGTCAATGAAAATGCTTCCATCAAACTAATTATGATCTTTTCTTCCTCACTCTCATCATTCGTTTTTTTGGTATTTCCAGAAATACTGCTACTTTGCTGCTTTGAAGGTTGCGCTCTTCTCTTCTTCCTCTTTGATTGCTTCATCTCTATTCAACACGAAGATTAATTTAACTGTACTGAACTTAGGGTTTAGGATTCGTCGACAAAATCAAAACAATTGAAAAAAAACAAAATCAAACTCGAATTCAACAACAGAATTTTAAAAAAAATTAGGGTTTTGCCCCCGATGAAAAACTATCAATTGGGGGAAAAATCGAAAACCCAGAAAATTGAAACAAAAATTGCAAGGCTAACGAGGAAGCAATTCAGCAGAGGAAAGCGGAATGGAAAATGAGGGAACCCTAATTGAGAAATCGATTTGGGGGAAATTAGAAAGAACAGAAAGATATTTGATGGATTCCAAAAATTGTTGGTGACGGTTGGCTGCCATTATTGAAGGGGGGTTAATATGCTTTTGAGGAGAAGATGAGAATGTCAATTAAAAAGTAGATTTTTGATCAAAATCCTACTTTATGCTAATTGTGGCTTAAACGGTGTTATTTAAACTCAAAAATAAACATGACCAAATACATTGGATTAAGGACTCTTAACAACAATTAACCGTTTTTTTCACCCTTATGAATAATTAGATAAAATATCTTTTTTGCCCTTATTGATTGATGTATATTAACAACCATAAACTAGTTATGAACAAAGCATATGTTGTTATGTTGTAAATTTAGGAACAATAAAACCGTTGAGTGAGATGATAGAACAAATTAATTTTTTATATGATCTTTTGAATACAAAATATAAATAAGGAGTATATTACATATGACATTATGAACAAAAAAATTTAATTAGAAGAAAACTGAATCATAAATTACAACATAATATGCTTTGTTCATATGACATTATGAACAAAGCTCAATTGTTTAACAATATAATTGTTTGAGCTTGAAAGGAGCCGCTAGTGAAAGCTAAAGTAGAGGTTCTATACATAGAATCTCTCATGGTATTGAGTTATTGACAGTTCCCAATGGTAATAGGCAGCGGTTCTATATATAGAACCTCTATTGGTATTAGCGGTTCTATATTGTCAAATTTCAAACCTAGAAACCGATCCTACGTGGACGGTATTGTGGAAAATAGTTTTTAAACCGACTTATATATGAAATTAATTTGTATTTTAGCATTATTTAGGAAAACCACTCATAAAATTGATCATATTTATGGAAAGATTGACAAAATCCCTTTTTAATAGCAGCATCAAAAACCAATACAAGTAATTCTTATCGCACAATACCATTTTCATTTGGAAAATGCTAATGAACGCCCCAGGGGCGTTGGATAAGCTAGTTAAAAGTAGAAAGATTAAATAAAAACTAACATTAATTACACCGATCGACGCGTGATTTTGTCATGCTTTCCCAAATTAATACCACTTTAGGTAAGATTTTAAATGGTTATCCAACACCCCGGGGGCGTTCGTTAGCAAGATCCTTTTCATTTATCTTACCTTTGAAGGTCATAATTTATTAAGATAGAATAATGGTGAAATTTGAGCTTTGATTACTCACTTCATACACTAGACGGGCAATTTATCTTTGTAAGAACATGTATCTTAGTAGATGTATCCTTGTAAGTTTCCGTATTTGAAGGAAAGAGTGCAATCAAAGAAATAATTGGTGAGTACAAGAGTGCTTTGATCAAATTGAACCTTGCTTTCTATAGAACTTTATTACATTAACATAACAATTAGAGAAAGCAAAATGTAGAGCATCTCCTTTATAGGACAACCCAAGTACACAATCTTGTTTGGTATCGTAGAATATACACCGCATTACGTACGAAGGTTGTAAACTTGTAATGACTGAAACAAAGAAGAATTTAAGTACTTGATCAAAGGTTTCGTGTAGAGAGCAGAATTCATGTTGTGTTCTCTAAGCAGAGCCTTCCCTTGTTCCTCCAAAAAGATGCTTTGTCTAACATTGCACATGTTATCTATGCAGCTCTAGTAAGACTGCTCCATGGAGTTCGACAACAGAAATAACCAGCATCCAATATGAATCTCAACATCAGGAGGATTAGGTCCGATCAACTCTACCATCATCTAGTCTAGAGGACTAACCGATGAAGTCAAGCCCGTGTTTCAACAGTAGTTTTGATGATCTTAACCACCACAAAACCTCTAAATATCACCAAAACCATACATGTGATATGAGATTGGGGCGTTTTGTTGATTCCTGTAAATGACGTTGTGCCTGCCTGCCTGGCAATAGCAATCATAGCACAGATTTCCATAATATTTTGATCCTTGTTCATATACAGTATTTGCTATAATCTGTCTGCTAATTACTCAGTTTGCATTCAGTAAACATAGGAAACAGGAAATGCATCAGTGGCAAGGCATCATAACACCTCATTGAGATTAGGCATTTACAAATTACAACAAAGAAACGGGATTCCGTTTCAATTACAAAATTTTCTAATTATGAACTAAAGTGACCTATTTCAGACTTTCAGAGAGTATGATCTAGTGCCCCAAATTATTCTAAACAGGATTGCTGCATTACAAAAAGATGACCAGCAAATTACCTAAAAGAGGAAAAGAGAGCATATGCTTTGGTGTCTATCATTGTGTACCTTTGAGGGGTTCAGCTGCTTCATCATATACAGGATCATGCAGGAGACTTTGCCCATTACACTGATGCTTTACACTGTGATTTACAGATGTAGTCTTAAGATTTTGCATATCTGGTAGATCCCTTCTACATTCTTGTACAGGCAAAGAAAATGTGTGTCTGATAGCATTAAGGGACTCGTGGAACTGCTCGTGACCAAGTGGTTTTGAAAACCAAAGCTCATTTACATCACCAGCTCGGTGTTGAGCACACTGCAATGATCTTCTTTGAACCTCATCTTTGACTCTCTGAGAATGAAAATAAGGACAAAAATTGTAAATAATCATATTGTCTTTCTTTTTCTTTCTGGCAGACAAAGGAGAATGGAACTATATGCTAAATATAGAGTATCAGCAAGTGTCCATAAGTGCTAATGCAAAGCAAAAGATGCTCCTAATGGTCCAACTTATAAGGTGCATGCTTTATATACTAACGGAAAAGCCAATGAAGCATTAAGATACAGTAATTATAAACAAATCAAAAAGCAGTATGTATCCTATACTCATGTTGATAAGAGGCAATATACTTCTGCAACACTTTCAATGGGTATGACAGAAACTGTGACATGGGAACACAAAACAGTTAAGAAAAATGTGATTGGGTGATTACATTGTCAAATTGTCTACATCATTGGATCATTCAAAGAAGCACAATTTGCCACCAAGTTAAGAGGAGGTGATAAAATAATTGCCAAAAAATTCTATGCTTTTGGTCCAAAATATATACCTATGACAAAGTGTCTAGTTACCAACACAAGTACTTCTAGTGGAATGTATAATCCCAGAAACATAGTTTACAACAATTACATAAAGTATAAAGAATAAATAGCCAGGCTCTACAGATAGCATCAGAGCTCATAAGAACCAGCTTGATTGAAATGCCCCTAATGTAGGGATGTCAGTGGGGCGGGTCGATAACACAGAGATCAGTTTCATCAGTCAGTCTCACATAACTTATCAGGACACAGGAACATAGATGCAACTTTAACATATGCCATCATCTCTGAAATCCATAACCCATCGATTATACTTGCCAACACATCTAATCTCAAAACCCCTAGCGGCACAACCAGCCCAAAATGACATTGCATAAGCAATTAAGCAACTCTGAGAGAGAAATTCACCATAACTTCTTTTCTCAAACACAAATTAATCCTAAACCTCATTTTCGTAGCATTAATCAAGCTGCCATTAGTGCAAAGCCTATTCAGTATTCAACTGTTCACCTAAACACCTAGCAGAACATCTCTGGAACAAGGTAACACCTAAAGAAATACCCTAAAAACTTTTCATATTCCCCAGCTTCTCTCTCCATTCTTTTTATCACTGTCCAATTCGAAGTCTTACAAATCCCATTACACAGCTCCATTTCAATAAACATGTAAAATAACTAGGAAATGAGTCAAGGTCACTAATGGCATGCTACCATTAGTCAGTCAACATATAACAACAAAACATTATACTAAACACAAATACGAAGAAGAAGCGTACAAATATTAATGCAACAACACAAACAATTCAGAATCAAAATCACAAAGACATACTACTAAATATGTTACAGAATCAAATTACACACCTGCAACAACTTGGAATCAAACTTAGGCAACCCAATTTGAGAAACAGTCAAAGACCCAAAAAAGTTGCCTAACAAAGCAGCATCAGGAACAGCTAAACCAAGAGAAAGCCCAGCAACAAACCCACCTAACAAACTATCCCCAGCACCAGTAGGATCAATCTGAATCGTCGAAAACGGCAAAATCTCAACCTCCCCATCTTTCCAGAACACTTTACAACCCTTCTCACCATAACTCACAACCACACAACACATCTTCCTGACCTCCTCAACATCCATAAACTCAGCTTCTTCAGCAGAAGCCTTTAAAACCCCAATTTTAGATAATAAAGGGTAAAATTTAGTCTCATTCAAATTAATCAATCTAACAGTACCATCAATTTCATCAAATTCTCTAATTAACCCTTGAACATCAACAAACACAACATCACAAATCTCAACCAAACCCTCCAAAGTTTCAGGTAAAATCTCCCCTCCCACACCAACAGCCATCCCAAAATCAAACCTTTTCCCCAAATTAGAGTTGGGCAACTCAGTGGGTCGAATCGGGTCACATGCAATGACCCGTTTAAGGGTCCGATCTGAAACGGGTTGCCCATCATTTTCAGGGAAATTAGAGTAGAAATGGGCATGAAAAACGGTGGTTTTTGAAGTATTAGAAACAATTGGAGAGCAGAAAACAGAGTGATTGTAACTAAAATCAGAACCAACAATTGAAATACAATCACAAGGAATTGAGAGGAGAGAGAAAATGTTAGAGATGAAGGAAGCAGCACCACCTAAGGATTCTGCAATTACGACGTCGTCTTTGAGGAGGACATCATGACAGTAGTTGCCTACTACCAAACTACGGCGGGGGAATCCCATTAAAATGGGGTTTGATTTGGTTTGGTTTTTCTGGGAATAATTAGAGAAGATGATCCAAAATTCCAAAGAAATTGATTTAAAAAATGGATTGGAGTATTTATATATCTGCGTCTGAGTTTCGTTATTGCCGTCTGTCGATATGTTCTGAAATTCTGCGCGTACACGGATTCTGGTAAAGTGGTAAAGAGTATCAAAACCGATTTAGGAGCATAATAAAACTTGCTTTTTTAAACACCAATTAATAATGTTTAGTTTTGTCTTAAATTGCTAAATGAGGTGAATCCACAAAGAAAGAGACACATAAGATGATTAGCTATTCTTAGTAACAACTTATAAGATGTGTTCTCATAAAAATGGTTTTTATATAATGGAACTATATAACACTTTTTTGTGTGACTAGTTACATCGTATTAGAAGGTGATACACATTAAAACACTGACTAGGTAACCCCTGATCGATGGATAACCCCTAACCAATCGAGTAAGTCCTAACCAACCAAGTAACCCATAATCGATCGAGTATTCCCTAACTGATCGAGTAACCTCTAAGGCCCTAACCACATAACCCCGGTCACACCATAAAATCTTTGCTCATTGATTTGTGCCAATTTTAATGGGGGCAACATTATCTTTGTTTTTGATAGTTTTTTCCTCTCTAATTGGAATATTGGAAGATAATAATGGGAGTATATAGGCCAAGTGAAATACTTTTTTAAGAAAATAGAAATGTTTTTCACTTCCTAGTTTGAAGTATATAAATCACGCTAGCATAAAGAAAATTATACCGAGGCAATGAGAGTAAGGAGCTTAGGTCTTGAATCGGGGGCATAATTTGAAATAATTCCACAAAGGAAGAAACCTTTGAAGATTCCATTAGTAGAACAAGGAAGAACACATAGAATTGAAAGGTGTGACTTGCTCTAATAGTTGTATCAGTTGTACATCATTAGATGAAAAATTCTCTCTCCTACACCATACATTCAAATTTCACGTGAAACTAAAGAAATTACTTGATCATGTAAGAAAAAGGTGTAAAAATAGTAGAGTACATCCTATCATTAAGTACTACGTGTCTACCTATTATAATAAGCTAAACCTCTAATTTTACCAGATTAGTTTAGCTTATCAACTTTAGACTTTGACTGATTGGCAGCATTTATTCAACGAACCAGCTATCTTTTCGATTAGTTTCGTGACTAGATTCTGTCAAACCAAGCGAGTGAGGAAACTGAGGAAAACAATGGAAGTGTTAACGAGTATACTACGTGATACAAATACAAGGACACAACTCAAAGATATAAAGGTGCCCAACTGCCACTTGTTAAACAGAGTCTATATGCGATGCAAACAAAACAAGAAAAGAGGGAAAGGGGGGGGGGGGGGGCAAAGTATGATACTCTGTATTCATTATTGATGGAGAATTCCTTCACGCAATTTGTTCGACATTTCCTCACCTCAGATGCTTTAGGATTGCCCCTCGTGAGGAGGGGGTCCTAATTCTTTCTTTTTTTCTTACCTCACCAAAAAAAAAAAAAAATGTTCGACATTCCCTTAAACGTTTATCTAGATTGCATATCAAGCACCCGAAAGTACCCAAAACAGTGCCCTATTTTGGTGCACAAGTGAGGGGGTGCTTGTCCACTACACGCTGGGGCCTGGGGCATGACTCAGTGCAAGACCAATGCCCCAGCCCCCCCAAACCCCAATTAGCCCTATGCAAATCATACTCCTGGTCTCCTGGACACCAATCCCCCCCGCCTCCCCAAAACCCAATCATCCCCGTGCAAATCATACTCCTGAACAGCACAGCATACTATTGCATATTTAGTATATTGTGGATTTCATTCCCTTCACAAGACAACAATAGCCATTTAACACCAAAGAGGCACTCTCAAGTATTCTCTCTGCCAAAACACCTGCATCTGACATATCCTATACAACCTTACTATTCTGGATGACATAAATAATAGGACAACAATACAAGTCTACAACTGTCAGACCAAAGAAAAGGTTAGTTTTGCACATTAACATGATCAGGTAGAGCAATGTCAAAGGAACAGAAAGACCAAGCAAGCCAACAACAATAATGAGCCTTGAGAAACTGCTACTGATGATGAATAACATAAGTTAGCATTACTTAAATTAGTTACTATCTGGAATCAAGCCTGCCCAATTGATGATTACAGTTAACATGAAGAATAAGAGTCATTTATTACTGACATTTATAGGGCTTCACAAATTATGCAGGTAAAACGCTCGCCATGCAAGATAACCACCTAGTGGATTCCACCCATGAATGTTCTAGGATCCGGACAATTCCCGCTAAAGTCTGCTTGCGAGAAGTCAAAACCTGGGTTCTGCAAAAAAAAAAAAAAAAAAAAAAAAAAAAAAAAAAAGAATTAAGACAGCTGAGTAGTGAAATGTACCATGGACCACACATCACAATTTTGTTTTATTGAATTGAAAGATATGGACAAAGTGAACAATTGCATCAGATAGGGTATACATGCAAAAAACATTTGAAAGTCCTACAACAAAACAAGACATTCAAGAAACTTGAAAGTCACACTATCTAACCAGATGAAAAAAAATCAAGTCTTTTCAAATAGGGATCACAGATGCAAAAAATATCCTATTCTAACAAGGGGAATATAGGAGCACATGCTGCAAGGCAAGCAATAAAAAGCCAAATAAATGACATGACACAATAACCAAACACAATTATATCCTTGCAATACACAGAAGGGTAGAGTGCAAGGCTTTCTACTTAAAGGTAGAGAAGTAGGGAATTGAAGCAAATAGGCATAATTACATCCAATGATTCTATATAGCCCTTACATCCAATGGGGATTGTAAATATAAACATTCATGTATCACCAACCTCACCCGGCCAAGCCTCGCATTGAGAATCATGACCAGGTACAAGAACGGTAATTAAACAAAATTAATCCCCCACCCACATCAAAGACATATTTACTTTGATAGGTCCTCAAACCAGCAAATTGATCAGGAGAGCCACTAATATAGAAAGACAAGCCAAGATCAATATATCATCTATCATAATGCCCTTTCATTCAAAAGATCACTCTGTTCAACAGATCAAGACATGCAATGGAGCATGATAAAAAGATGTACCAATACTGAATCCAACTGAAAAATATTATAAGCAAATATGAGAAAATTTTCACCCCTAAACCCTAATGATGGACATAACAATAAATTGATTGTCAATGCTCTTAGTCATAAGTCATAAAAGCAGCCTTAGGCCAATGCATTATAGCTTAAGTATTTAATTTAACTTCTATATCAATTAAATCTATTAGTGATTAAAGTAATTCCATTGTATTTTACTTTGTAATCCCTCCCCCCAACCCAAAGGGCCTAACCCCACCCCCAACCTCCCCCAAATAAAAATAAAAAACAATTATTTCACATGATCCGTGCCCACCCCCCCCCCCACCCCAAAACAACCTGCCCCAAATAAAATAAAAATAATAATTACTCCCTCCGTTACGAGTTACTCGCAACAAAGAGGGAGTTTGCGGACTCCTAGGCGAAATATCTTAAGTGTGATTATTGGAAAATAAGGGATGTGCTTAGTATTAATCTAATAAAAAAAATTAAAAAAAAAAACCTAAACACCAAGTACCACAACCACGAAACCACCACCACCTAGCAAAACCACAACCACGAAAACATTACCAGTCAGCGCGCCACCAACAAAACCCAGCACCACCACCACGTGCGAAGCCGCCGAACCCACTACAACCCACCACCACCCACCTCGAAACCCACAACCCACAAACCTAGACCCACAACCCCGAAATCCACCACCACGAACCCAGACCCACAACCGCCGAACCCACTACAACCCACCACCACCCACTCCGAAACCCATAACCCACGAACCCAGACCCACAACCCCGAAACCCACCACCACGAGACCACCCACGAATTCAAACCCAGAAATTCGAACCCACGAAATTCAAACCCAGCACCACCAAACCCTGAAATTCGAACCCAGAAATTCGACCCACCAAGCACCAAACCCTAAAATTTGACCCACCAAGCACCAAATCCAGAAATTCGAACCACCAAATGCACAACGAACTCAGAAAAAGTCAGATCTACAAAAGGAAGAGAGAGAAAACAAAGGTGTCGACAAGGAAGAAGACGACGGCGGTGATTTCCGGCGTTAGTAGCGATCGGTGGTGGTGGTGGTTGTTGCAAATGAAGGTGATGGTGGTGGTGGTGGTGATGGTGGTGGTGATGATGAAGAATTTAGATGGGAGGTGATTAAATCAATGTTAGGGTTTAACTTAATAAGATAAAATCAATAGTTTAATAAGGGTGTTTAGGAAAAAAAGTAAGGGTAATGTTGTAATATCACACAAAAAAAACTTACCATAAAAGGAAAGAAATAAGTTTGTTGCAAATAATGTGTACCGGCCATTTTTAGTAATTGTTGAGAGTAATTCGTAACGGAGGGAGTATTTAACATGATCACGGAATAACAGTAAAAAAATAAAAGATTTAAACAAGCAATGAAGCAAATGGTCACCCAAATAACAGCCGAGCAAGTTAGTTTTAGAAGACTTCAACAAAAAACAAAGCACAATGAATTCTATAAGCTTAAGCTGAATAAGTGAGATTTACACTCTATTGTTCTTGCATTTTTAGCATCATATTCATTTTCAAAAAAATACAAATAAAAATAAAAAAAATTAATTAATTAAAAAAAAAAAAGCCAAGTTCACATTATTGCAAGAATTCCACTTGATACGGCTTTACTTGATAAGCTCCACAGTGACACACAATTTGACAGACAAAACTGTAGCTAGCAGATGTACAAGTCTACAACTTGAAAAAACTTAAAACAGGATTAAAGTAAATGACCTCTTCTTGAAATCGCTGAAGCATCAAGCGCTTCTGCTCTTGATCTGCAGCGTAAGGATCCAGCTGACCTTGACCCACGATTGGTGAAGACCATGTCTGTCCTTTGTCCCTCTTTTGCAAGGTTATATGTAGTGAATCATCCTCTAGCATTCATAAAGAAATATCAGCAACTATGTACAAAGTGCAAATCTAACACTCAGACAATTAAACAAAATACTTGCATTAACTCAACCAAACATATTGTACACATTCCTAAAGAAAGCTAAACACAGCTGTATATACATATTACATAATTCAGCAAGAAGGATCCTCTGAATATAAGCATGCTTCACAGCAGCACATATGCATGCTTCACAGCAGCACATATATCAACTTATGCACCTAGTAACAAGATACCAATACAGCTGAAGCCATAAGAAAGAAGCTTTTTACCAAGCTGCTAGGCTGTTATTTGCTAACATAAAGCGATACACTGACCAAATGCCCGACCAAGCCCAAACATCACTAGGCACACATAAACTCATACACAAGTATTACAGCCTTTTCATATGTTTCACTTGACATGTCAAGTGTTTGGACTTTCAAGGGAACAAATACAATCTAGATAGAATACCAATACAATAGTTCGCTAATTATGTGATTTAGTTTACTAAGCATAATATTTCTCAGTTCAAATCATATTAGCACCTCTTCATCACAGCACACTTCAACTAATTCTCAGTAAAGATCATATGTAATTCACTAAATTATCATAATAAAAAACCAAATCAAAGCAATAAAATTACAGCTCACAAATATTATATACATACCCAAAGTCCAAAAAGAGGAATCAGTCTTCACAGGATGCTGCAAATCATGCTGAAAAAAAAAATACATAACAAATTCACATCGTCAACAATCAAACAAGAATTTCCATTTGAAATTTTAAAAATGATTAATCAACTAAAAATTCATCAAATTAATGCAAAAATACTAACATTAAGATAAGGAGGATTGCCTTTGATCCCAACTTCAACATGCTTAGACTGAATTTTGCTATAAAATAGCTTCGTCGGCACATTAGGAGGTAGTGCAATGTACATATTAACCTCATCTAGGGTTTGATCCCATTCAAAAACCTTCTGACCTAAAAAATTGTGATTAATTGAAAAATTGAAATTCCAGCCAGTCAAAATTAATCAATCAATTCATAAAATCAACAAGAATTGAAGAGAGTGAAAAGGATTACCGTTGTGAACGAAGGCGTGGCGCTTATCGGGGGCCAATTTTTCAGCCATAATTTTTTCGGAAATTAGGGTTCCGGTGAAGAGGTGAGATGAAATTTGGGCGTTCCCGGGAAATAATATGAAATTCTTGATTATTGACGATTGATAAGTTGGGGAACCAAGAATCATTCTCTCGAATTTTTCGTATTCTTCCTTTATGAATGGTCTTCTATTGTCTAAATGCCAAGAAAAAAATAAAATTGATTTGATGTTTGGTCGAGTGGTAAGAATTGTATTTTGTACTCTGTATTTTATTAAGAGCAATTTGAATTTTTGAAAGTTCAAATTCCTTTTAACTAGAGTCAAAGTAATATGAAAGGTTTCGATTTATTGCAAGTCCTGAAAATTTAATTTTATCTCTATATAATTGCAATTTATACAATTTTCACAATTGCTCCGATTTGAAATCTTTTATAATTCAATCCAACTCATAGACTAGGCACAACGAAAAGAGGATGTTAAAGGGTCATCATCATCAAATATTTCTAATAAAAATCGAAAAGGTTGAAAGTTTCATTCTTACCACTACGTGACTAATAGTGTCAAGGCATCCTCTATGAATAAAAATTATGCATATTGATTCTTAATTTTACATATTGTCAATATTATTGCATGACATCAATGTTATAAATATTATTCCATTGTTCTATGTGCATAGACACAATTTCAATCATACAGAAGTTACATGTCTATTTGTTGGGTTAGTATAAGGGTATAATTCAAAACATAAAATCAAATCTCATCTACATCACTTCCCTTTGTAACTCACATTACACGTTTTTAAAAAAAATCAATTTAAATGTCTACTATTTTAGTAGGCCAACATATTACAGGCATTACCTTAGATCTTATAGAGTAACTATAGCCTGCTACCAGGTATGAGCTTATAGTTGTCCATACCACAATATAAAATTATTTTTTTTTTTCCTTTTTTTTTTCCCCTTTCCTCTTCATTTCTTCCTCCCGTAAACCCTTTCCCCACCTCCATGGATAGCTCCCATTTTCGGCCAAGCCTCCGCCCACCACACCTCCACCTCCAACAACAAGTTACCACCCCACCAGCCACCACCTTGGTCGAAAACCCAGAATCACGCAACCACCTCCATTATAAAAACACTGGAAACGAACCGCCTAAAAAACATAATCCAAAAGCAGAAGACTGAGCAATGCTATGGAGTATTTTCGCTGACTTTCATGGTCTTCAAACATAGACAAGTTTCTTGTCGACTTACGACTCTAGTCATTAAAAAGGGTGAATTCTATGCTGGAAATTGTATGAGTTCGATCGAAATTGACGACGTTAATTGTTTGTCGGTGCTTAGTTATTATTGATTTGTATAATGTTATTATTGGTTTGTATAATGTTATTCTTGATTTATATACTGTTATTATAGTGTTGAATATTGTTATTAAGAGAAGAGAGACTACTTTTTAACATGATAAGTAATACGCGAAATTACATTTTTGTCACCGATAAAGGCCCAATAAGCCCATATCTGATAGGCTGATAGTGGTCTATCACTACTCCAATGTTACATCTAAAGTTTAACCTTCCGATATCAAATCTCGTCGACACCATATTAAGTTGGCGCACCCGTAAGCCAGGCCCAATTCATAAGCGGGCTATTAAATTTTTTGACTTGACAGATCCCAACAATTTTTTATTCCAACAATTATCTTCACTCCCACAAAATGAAGCTTTCTGCAGAGTCATTATCAACTTCAACTTCTTACTACCTGAAAAATGGAAGCATACACGAGGTTCAGCATCAGCTATATTACCCCATCTTTATCAGGTTTTTCATTTTCAACTGTATATGGTAAGTTGCTATCTTTTAATTTGATTATTTTGCACCATAATTTATTTTGTATTTTTGTAAATTTTGTTGCTAATTAGTATTATTTTTGCTCATAATTGCATTGTTGCCTGTACTGTATAAGATTCTTCAATTGTGATGGAAGTTTCAAGTTTGAAGTCGTAAACTATACTACTCATATGTTTTGCTGGATTTTACAGAATTTCATAATACTAACAAAAATTGAAAAGGGTTGTTATACTTTTTAATTTATTGTTTTTTTCCCAGAAAATTCTTGGAAATTTCTTAATCTATAACTGTTAGTGGTAATGTATGTGAGAAGAATACTAAGGAGTATATATTAGAAACAAGAAAGGGTTTAATAAGATAGAGATAAGCCTTTTCCCTATTTTTAGGATTGAAACAGGTTAATAGTGATAGTTCTGTGTCTTTGTAATACTAGTTGTCTAATTTAAGGATGCACCACATTGTTGGCGGAACTCCCTCACAACCCCTAAACACGAATCGAGGAATTGGGCAATCGTGAAAAAATGACAAATGAGCATAAAATAGCCTTGGAAGTATAACGGGGATATGGTGAAAACTGTTGTACCATGAAAGGCATGGATGTTGTAAAAAAACAAGAGTTGTTTTCTTAAGATCTTTTATAAGCTGATATATGCTTGTTTGGACACTTGAACCACATTAATTTTTGTATGGTTATGGTCTAGGATGATTTACTAGTTGTTTGGATAAATGTAGATGCCTTTAAGCTGATGATTAAGTGCAATGTAATGTAAAGTAACTTAATTTCTCCCAAGGGGTTAATAATCAAATTGTTCGAACCCAATGCTTTTGTTATGAGTATGGCCAATTATGAAATGATGTGAGAGTGTTAATGTGTTATGTTATACTCTTATTTTGGCATAACTAGTGAAACTCATTGCACATTTTTCATTAACTTAGCTAACTTATTCATATTGTGATTAATGCTAATTTCCAAAACATAGCCAAATAATCCAAAATTGCAATAAATACATAAGATAAACAAGCTAGTGGTTCTAGAAATCTGTAGAGGTTCATTACAATTACGGTGTAGTGTATAAGTATATTAGTATTGTTAACTAGTGAAAAAAGAGATCGATGCAACAAAATGTAAAAGAGAAGATGTTTTTGGTTCATAGTTCATTTTATATAAAGGTATTCCCTATTAATTGCTCTACCTGGACAGAATACATTTTGTTTGTATTTTAGACTACATAATGTAACAACAACAACAATAACAACCAAAAATAAAAAAGTAAAAATGATCTGGATGAAACTTACAAGCACATATTTAGCTTTAAAACATTTAACAGTGGATTAGTGTAACATATGCCTTCAATAGCATATTTTAGCAACTATGATATAAGGAGTAGGAGAATCCGATGGCAAGAAATGGTTTTAGACTGTGAAAAGCCAATTGCAATCGCCGCGAGATTTTTTTACCCAAATTCATCCCCAGGAAAGTTCCAGGAAACTGCAAGTTTGTCGCTACTGGTCTTCTCTTCAATCACATTAGCTTAAGCCTAGTAATTTGTAACAATTGTAACAGCCCAAGAAGTTATTCTGCTTGCCTCATTGTCAAAAAAACAAAAAATACTGCTAGTCTAATATTTACGTAGCGTAAGTGTGTAGGGATAGTCAAGGATATGGACTCCAATGAGGCATGGGATGCAGAAAATGGAATCATCAGTGACTCAAGCAACGAGCCTAAAATTATCAGGACGGCACATAGTTTGTCATCTTCATTGCTTAGGAAAAAGTCTGATGTGGCCCTGGGGTTGAACATCAAGTCGTTGTTGGTTAGGAGAATTCTGAAAAATCTTCAAGATGTTATCCTTGGAACCAAGATTTGTGCTCTCTTTGTGGCCATCCCCTTCGCTATAGTGGCCAAATATCACAATTTTGGAAGAGTAAGTGCACTTTCTTTGGTAGAGATTAGATAAAAGTTTGGATGACTTATAAAAGCCAATCCGATTTTAGGGTATTAGGGATTGATTTTATTTATTGATCGATTTTGTCATTCCAAAAACTTATTTTAAAATTAGTTCATTGCGATCTTGCATCTTAACAGCCCTGGGTCTTTGCTTTGAGTTTAATCGGACTTGCCCCTTTAGCGGAACGAGTTAGCTTTCTTACTGAGTATGTTACTACTTAATCGTAATGAATTTATGCTTCAATATGCTAAGAGTATATATATTCAAAAAATTAATGTGATTGTCATTTTCTCTCCGTGTCTCCTTTTGCATGTCAAATCCAAGGCAAATTGCAGATTATACTGGCTCAACAGGTACTAGCTGCTCTGAATGGCAATTGGCATTTATATCTTTCATTTTGCTATCATGAACAAATCAATTACTAAGTGCAAATTGGCAGTTGGGGGGCTGCTAAATGCAACTTGCGGCAATGCAACAGAACTCATAATAGCTATATTCGCACTCCACCAAGGGAAGATAGCTGTGCTGAAGTACTCTCTTCTGGGATCAATTCTTTCAAACCTTCTTCTAGTTCTTGGTTCTTCTCTATTTTGTGGTGGCTTGGCCAACATGAGCCAGGAGCAAAAATTTGACAGAGTAATACATTGAAATCCATTTTCGCTATTTTTTTTAAATGATTTGGCATGATGCGTGAGGCTGGCATATCATAACAACTTAAATTCATGCGCTTTCTTATCTTCTTACCCCGAAACAGCCTATGATTATCCTTTTCTCTTTCTCATGACAGAATCAAGCCGATGTAAATATACTTCTCCTCTTTCTTGGAGCTCTTTGTCATGCATTGCCTTTGTTTACTCAACATTCTGAGGATGCTGCAGGGACGGCATTCTCTGCTAGCTCCATACTCCTGCTGTCAAGAGTGAACAGCATTGTCCTGCTCGTGGCTTATATTGCATATCTGTTCTTTCAGCTGAAGACTCACCGACAGTTGTTTGATTCTGAAGAGGTGACTTTATTATATGTATTTGGTATGTAGCTTTTTGTACAGAACTCCTGGTTTGTAGCTTGTGGTATCTGGACTATCTGCCCCTAAAAGAGTACAACAGACATAAAAGGAGTCTAAAAAAACTGAATACTCTGCTGACTGATGATCGCAACAATATGCAGGAACCTGATGATAATTGTGAGGATGAGAGAGCAATAATTGGTTTTTGGAGTGCATTTAGCTGGTTGGTAGGCATGACAGTAGTGATAGCTTTGCTCTCTGAATATATTGTTGGCACAATTGAGGTACGAAACTACTCTGAAGCTTTCTCTTGCACTCATCTTCTGTACTCAAGTTTATTATGCCCAATCAAAAACTTAACCCCAAATACATTGAAACAGGCTGCTTCGATCTCCTGGGGCATTCCCATTAGCTTCCTCAGCATAATAATGCTTCCTATAGTTGGGAATGCAGCAGAACATGCAGGTGCAATCATATTTGCTTACAAGAACAAGCTGGTATGATCCTGACTGATTTATATTTCTCTTGAAATTCATGATATATATAGTACTTGCATTATAATTTTGTGTTAACTATGTGCTGTTAATTAATCTGACAGGATATATCTCTGGCAGTTGCCCTGGGCTCTGCCACCCAAATTTCAATATTTGTGGTAACACTTAAAACTTCTACATAAATAATGACCACATTCAATTCCTTTATACATCATATCTCAATTTTTAGAATGAAGTCCTAATACAAGAGCCTGCTACTATAGGTCCCCTTATGTGTGATTGTCGCATGGATCATGCATATCAAGATGGATCTCTCCCTTAGCGTCCTGGAAACCGGTTCTTTTGTTGTTTCAGTACTCGTTATAGCCTTCACTTTGCAGGTTTATTATCTACTTTGATCATTCATTTTTTTAGTCACATTGCATCTCTCTTTTGCTTCAAAAATTTTGGCTTAAACTCAGACACTGCTAGCTGCTACTATTAAACAGGATGGATCATCACATTACATGAAAGGGGGTGTTCTCCTCTTTTTTTACACGGTTATTGCTACAAGCCTTTTGGTCCTTCCATATAAAACTGATAACGATGGTAAGTACACTACAAAATCCACAATTTTTTAGCAAGGCAACTGAGAAGCAAACCATATGTAAATTAGAAAATTGCAAAAAAAATCTTGACAATGGCAGTCATCTATATCATCCTTGATTCCTCTCATTTAATTTTAGTTGCTGTTTCTTGAAAAGTTAATCATAAACCATTAGTATTATAGGAAATGTAATTATCTTTCCAAACATTCAATAAAATATAGTATGCGACTCTATTAATTCTAGATGGGACGAGAAGTATATTAAGGGTTAATACTTTGTACTTGGTATATTGTAAAATGTAAAGTAGTAGTCCATAAGATTTAGTACTGATATGCACTCTAAAAAAATGCATGCTAGATCAAGCGAATTTCATTGGATCAGGACTTATATCGTCAGTTGGATTTGCTGGTGCCTGATAATTTGAGATGTCAACTCTGGTGTCTCAAATAAAAGATTGTCCATTGTAAATTTTTTAATTCTTGGAAAACAGATATCGAATCTGAAAATTTTCTACTGTAGATTTTAATGTATGCCAACTACATTGGAGTTGCAACTTGTAATCTATCTGATGATATAAATGTGATTCTGTGGGTATAGCTTGAAGATTTTAGACGGTATCAAATAAGTAATGATTCTGTTGGTATTAAACTATACTCTAGTGGCTATTGTCCCAAAATAAAAAAATCTCTAGTAGTACTATTTGGAAATATGCAAAGGACTTGTTTGGTAATTAGTTGTTAGCCAACTTTGGGACGATTTAAATATGAAGGGAGTGTACGGCAAAATATAGCTGTGAAAGTATCTGTTAGATGTGAAGCTAGATGTTAGCTGTCAGCCTGTCAACTAGCTGTAGGCTGTAGCTGTGAAGATAAATAATTTAGGTATGCGTGTTCGTTAAAGTAGCAGTTTACTAGTTGTTACATATGTAATTCAATATTTTATATTTAAAACTATAGATTAAATTTCCAACAGCTACCTCAAAAGCTACATCTAACTTCAAAAGCTAATATTTCTAGTTTTTCATAAAAGCTACCTCTACCACTAAAAGCTATTCTAACCACTATTTTGTCAAACATTCACTTTTTTTTGTTAAGTAGTGGTTTGACTTGATCAAACCATGAAAAGCTACTCAAACACTAGTGCCAAACACACTAGAAAAAGTGTTTTTTTTTTTTCTTCTTCTTTCAATTTCAATAAGTTTAGAACAAATTCCTACGGAACATCTTTGTAAATAATAAACAAATCAATCGAATAATTAATAATACTCCCTCCGTTCCATAATGATATTCCTATTTAGAATTTATTTTTAATTTTTTTATAAAATTTACAAAAGTTTTATAATAATGTGCATAAATAATTGAATGTTAATTATTAAATATGTTAGCAGTCCATGGGAAAGAGTGCATGTAAGTGCAGCTCCATAACACCAACTAATCTTATATTATAAACTAATAAATCTACTCGTTTTTGACTTGATTGCCAGGAGGATTTAAACTTGAGCTACATAATTTATTTATTTTTTAAATGCAAACATTATTATTTTTTGGTCATATAATTTAGTGGATGAACATTGAATAAGCCAAATCCCATCTTATAGTATTATTATTCGTGAAGTAGGAGCAGTTATTGCTCATGCAATACATTGTTGCAACTTTTATGTCTCAAAAATTAGTGTCTTACCATGCATATTTCCAGTTATAACAACAATTAAATTAGTATAAACTTCAAAGTTGGGTTAAGATTAATTAAAGGAAGATAAATTCTTGCCTCCTTATTGTCTGCCTTTCAAACGACAGTTCAAATTAAAAGGTCATCAAAGAGTAACAAAGGTACTAAACTACTCGTTAATTAGTAGGTAGACCTTGGTCAACATACTCAACGAGTGTTGCTCCATTAAAACTACGTAAGTTAACTGATACAACATACAATGGATAGCTTAGTTGTCTTAAAACCTCTATAAAATGTCACCTCATATGACAAAGTGATATACGAAACCAAAAAAAAACAATTAAAAGAAATTAGTTAAGCAAATGATAACACTTTATAAATTTTTTAAAAATAAAAATACAAAATATGTAAAATATATACTGGGGAGTGTTGCATTACTACAGAACTTATCTAAATGTTGCAATTGAACAAAATCAAATCTATACAACGGAATTTTATTATTATCTGCAATGCCCTTGACAGTTGTATTTTGAAAAAATTGTATCATTATCTTGTTATCGCTCACAACACGATATTCATTCTTGTTAGGTACAACAGAAAAATATCGAATTGTGTAAACTATGCCTTTATATATATATATATAATATTAAAAGATAATATTTTATACTTAATTAATTTAAAATGGGAAAATTCATTCGCCAATTTTGCTTACGTGTCATTTAAATTAGTTAATTTAAAAAGAAATTAATAATCTCGCCTTTTTTTATGAGGCAATAATAATCTCGTATTTAATTGGCTACTACTAAAATTTATTATCCTATATGACGTGTTGAAAAAAATCAAATCCTACGTGGCTCTTTAAAAACTCGGGAAAAAACTCCCCTTTATATATACATGGCGCGCTGAAAAAAATTAAATCTTACGTGACTCTCTAAGAACTCGGGAAATTCCCTTTATATATAATATTAGATTTTTATAATAGAGAGATTTTTTTTTTATGAGAAAATAATAGAGGCTTCTTGAAGATGCATTATTGATTTGTAAATGCTAGATAATATGAAACTCCTCGATTAGAGTGATTTCTATTGATCAATATTTATAGGGTTACAATGAGAAACCTAATCATATTAGGTAACTATAAGATATGTACAGATATCAAAGATAATCTTATACAAAATATATCCTAAACCTAGGATGAGAATATTCTATGGATATTCTCTATCACACCCCCGCAGTCAGAGCGGGAGAAAATCGGATGCTCAGACTGGATCTGAATCACGCATCGAACGGTAAGGATAATATAATAACCCATGATCAAAAGAGAAAGTAGTAGAAATGTGCCGGTGATGACGAGAGAAGCAACAGCCACGACCTACATAGAGTAGAGATAAGCACTGCTAGGCCGAAGGAGAAGGAGAAGAGCCGCACACAGACTTGGGCTAAGTTGCAAATCTAGAGAAGAAGAAGCTAAGGAATCAAACCATCATCGGAAAAAAGACACTACACTATTACGTGAAATCACAGTTGAAGAAAAATAAATAAAATTGCGCAAGAAAAGATTAAATCCCACCGCTTGAAATTAATCAATTCTCAGAAGAGAAACCAGGTAGCAAGAAATAATACTCCACAAAGATTCCAAGTGCTGCAACAATAAAAGGAGCTAACTTGGTAGCAAAATAGATGTGCAAAAGTTGACCTTATTGTGATATACCACCACCCAAACAAAATCTATGTGATTTTGTGTTAAAAAAAACCAATGAGGCAATGTAAGAATCATTGTTGGTCATGGGGAGGTGGAAATAGAGTGCAGCACATGGAGTAGGTTGGCAGATATGGTTACTGCCAGTAGTGGGAGGCGGTAGTGTATGCGATTGCCAACAATGATGGAGGAGGCTTTCGCGATTGCTACTGTTGGTGGGAGGCGCAAGGTTACATAAAGATTCTAATTAAAAAAAACTTTGAGAAAAGAAAAAAAAAATCTATATGTGTGTTTGCGGAAGCATAAAAAACTTTGTATATCCCGCCGGTGGGTTTAATTTTCTAACCTACTGGCAGGGTGAGAATTTTTGTATATAATCCCAAGATCTAACCTAAGCTGTGATACCATGTCAGAGAATGTAAACTCCTCGATTAGAGTGATTTCCATTGATCAATATTTATAGGGTTACAATGAGAAACCTAATCATATTAGGTAACTATAAGATATGTACAAATATCAAAGATAATCTTATACAAAATATATCCTAAACCTAGGATGAGAATATTCTATGAATATTCTCTATCAGTAAATATAGAAAATGATTCATTTATTGTCATTTGATCACGCTAATAGTAGTAAAGAGCGCATTCAAGGGCCTCATAGTTAGGTACAACCGTCAACCGCACAAGCAAATACATAATAATGGCAATTTTGTAAATAATGACATTTTAAGAGTATTACTGAGAGACAATATTGTACTACTAAACATTCTCATTAATACAATATATGATTTCAGTAGTACCAAAAACACTTTGGGTAGTACAGAAAAAAAAAATCTCAGTAGTACTAAATACTAAAAGGACTTTCAGAGTTTCAGTAATACAAAAGGTTTTATGCAATTTTGTTTGTGTCTAATAGTGATTTATTAGGACTTTCTCACTGTTGCTTACTCACTGTGTTCATTTGTTGGGATTATTTTTATAATTAATTAATATATGATCCATATTTTATATTTTGAAATATGTTAAACAATCTTTATAAAATCTCACCCTTATGATCCTATACTATAGATTATAGAACGTTGTCCCGCCCCACATGGGAACACTTAAATATCGCTTTTATAACTTATTAAAGTCATCTTGTTAATAAATACACTCGTTTTTATACAAGATAGACTCTTAAAAAAGGCTTCTTCACATTTATGTAATTTTAGTTTAGTTTAGCTTCAATCAGTCCATTTCAGTGCACTTCAACACCTAATTTCCCTCTCTTATAAAATATTCATTTTAGCTCAGTTCATTTCAGTTCAGCTCCAATCAGTTCAGTTCAGCTCAGTTCAACATGCCCTAAGTAATTGCGAGGGTTGAACTTAGTGTCTATGTGAATCCAATATGCGTGTTAGAGTGTATAATTTGTATAGACATAATTCACAAAGTTTTCATGAAGATTTTGATCATTCAATTTCTAGGTGTATATTAGAAGAGTCTTCTCGAACATGCATTATTATTGATTTTGTAAATATAATAATGCAATAATTATTGTCATTTGATGATCACATTAATACCAAAGTACTGTATAATTTATTGATTTTTACTATATATTGACTTACTTCACTGTGTTCATGTGTTGATGACTATTTTGATTAATTAATTAACTAATATGACCAATAATTTACATCTTAATAAAACGGCATGATCCACTTTTTGTCTGGTGTGGAAGCTTCATAAGAGTTTCATGTTCCAAATCACCACTTAATTACAACGTATTTAGAAGTCAACTTAGTCCAAATTGCCAAATTGTGCAACTAGATTAAGATAATTAAACATGCATGCTGCTCATGTTAGAAACAACGACAAATGAGCTAGTAGAAGCTGTACAACAGTGTGAAACCATCAAGTTCCCTAAAGTACAGATTAAGCTGTCCTGTAAAGTGTAAAGTTTTGTAAACCTCACCTAAAGTTTCATTAAGAGTAGTGTACTACGGACGAACTTACTCTTGTACTGTTTTACTTGTGGCCGTGGCCGATTTTGTGCCAACACTTTTTAAAAGTAGGGTTTGATTGAGAAACAAAAATCGTTTATCTATTGGCATTTACATTTTGTTAAATATGAGCATTTATTTATTTTATGAAAATGTCATGCTGATTTATTAATCATGATTATGAATTGGGGCTTCCTCGTTCGTTTTAATCGGACGTACTATTAATGATATGTATGATACTGTAGCACGAGTAAAAATAAATTTTAGTCGGTAAAAATAAGATATTGTTCATAATACCTTCATTATTGGAATTGAATTAATAGCAAGATTTGACGTGCTCAACTTGCTAGAATGGTCTGTATACACCCTAATTGTGGGGCAAATTGCCCATCTTCACATCCTGTAATATGGGCTTTTGCTCGTCACAACTCAGACTTGCTAATAATTTTGAATGGCTTGTAATCAGCCACAAAGAGGAGGAGAATAAAAAAATGCTGAATTTATTGTTTTGCCAAGTTGAATCTAGATTATCGGAAAACAAGTAGGGTCACTGATTAGTATAATATGACACATGTTACTTCCAAATTTCAACCATTTAGTTGGACTAACAGACTTTACGTCAAGACTTATAGTTATGTTACACTACTAGTTTAAATTATTATACAATATTATAATATCGGTGATTTTTTAGAATAAAGGACATAACTAAGGTTGCCAATCTCGAGTCCAACTAAGTCAATTTTGAGGAAATTTAATCAATTCTTGTTCTTTACTGGTTTGCTAATCAAACACAAAATGTTTCAACTTCACTGAAAGAGTCAAAGCTGATTAAGTGTTCCAGCTTGCTTAATACTTCAGTAAGCTAAAAATATGGTTAAAAATTGAGTTATGCTGTAAAAATGATCAACATTTTTAATTACTTAAAGGAGTATTATATTAATACCGTCCATGTTCACATGAACACTTCAACGTAAATTACAAGGTTGCATAAATCTCCAGAATAACTCATTCCTCAAAAATAGGAGAACCATTAATAATAAGATGATGAGTAGGTACTTAAATATTTTATATTTTTATAAACAAAAACTTAAAATTATTATAATGATTAAATAATGATCAAGTGTAATGTTTATTGCCTACAAATAGAGATCCTACTCATACAACAAGTCCTACAAATCAGAAAAACAACTCATTCTTACACAACTTCAAAAACCATACATAAACCTCTTCCATTCACCCACCTTTTCTAATCTTCTGAAAACAAATCAAAATGGCCCTGAAAAAATCCAAGCAAGATCACGGAGGAGCTGCTAAGAAGCGAGTAGCCGCGATTTTTGGTGTCACGGGGCTAGTAGGGAGAGAGCTTGCTCGGAGGCTAAGCTCGAAGTACTCGTGGAAAGTATATGGCATAGCGCGAAGAGAGGAGCAAATAAGCTCTTTAAAAAACGGCAGTAATGATTACAACTTCATTTCCTGTGATCTTCTGTGTCCTTTGGATACACAAAAGAAGCTGTCTTGTTTAGAAGATGTGACTCACATTTTCTGGGTTACTTGGGCTAATCAGTTCCCCCTTGATAGCCCAGAATGCTGTGACCAAAACAAAGAGATGTTGTCGAATGCGTTGGATGCAATGCTACCGAAAGCCAAGTCCTTAAAACACGTTTCTCTTCAGACAGGTATGAAGCATTATGTTTCATTGAGAGGTCCAAATAGTTTAAGAGATGTTGATATCGCGGTATATGATGAGGATTGTCCTAGAGCTTCTATAGGGAATAACTTCTATTATGTACTAGAAGATTTGCTTGAGGAGAGGCTTGCTGTTAATAAGGTAGCATGGTCGGTCCAAAGGCCTGGTTTGATTACAGGGTATTCAAGCAGGACATTTTATAATTTTATGGGTTGTCTTGCTGTTTATGGAAGTATTTGTAAGCAATTGAATCTTCCTTTTGTGTTTGGAGGATCAAGGGAGTGTTGGGAAGAGGCATGTATTGATATCTCGGATGCTCGGCTAGTTGCTGAGCAACACATTTGGGCTTCTACTGATGATCAAGTATCCTCAAGCAGTGGCCAAGCCTTCAATGCCATTAACGGGGTTTGTTTCACATGGAAAGAGATATGGCCGGTGATAGGGAAAAAGTTCGGCCTAGAAGTTCCTGAAAACATGTTTTCCAACGATTTTCTATATTCCAAGGCTATGGCAGACAAGGCTGGAGTTTGGAGAGAGATTGTGGAGAAGAAAGGTTTGGTGGAGACAGAGATGGAAGAATTGGCTAACTGGCCATTTTTGGACATCCTGTTTCGATCCCCCATGAAGTTACTAGGAACGCGAGCGAAAGCTGATCGCCTGGGTTTCAAAACGAGGTATACAGCGTCAGAATCAATTTCGTATTGGATAGATAACATGAGAGATGAAAAATTGATACCTTAAGGCAGAGCCCGAAATGTAGCCAAACTTTGCATATAGAAAAGAAACAGAATTGTACGTATTTACAGCAGTAATGTGTAATAAGTTTCCTGCAAATTCCATATCCTGCATTAATATTCTAAATAAATCCTGATTTCAGCATAGCAGAATTCTCCTTTAATTGATGTTCAGATGGCTATAAATACGTGCATATATAAATCCTGATTTTTTAAGGCATAAACCTCATTTTATAAAACTGACTAGAAAGGGTTTTGTATTGGGTTAACTGGGACTACAAAGGGCAATAATGGAGACGAGATGGGTCCTAAGTCTCAAAATACCGCCTCCTTTCTCTTCCTAAAACAAATCTATTAGCTAAGCTAGTTGACTTCTGTGATTGGCATGAGATCCTAAAAATTGTCAGATGTGCCATATTGCTTCTGTAAGTTTCAAGCAGAAGCATTTGACGTGCCTATGCTAAAACTCTGCCTGAGAGATGAAACATGAAGTTGGAATTGGATCCTCAGTGATCCAAGTATAAAGTCCATCCGATAATTCCTTACAAGATTCATGTTTGTCTGTCCCCTATACTTTTCTCTTGGGCCTCCTCTTCTTTGGCGACTTGTAAAATTTTAATCTTTTCCTCACCAACAGTGGCCAACAAATGTGTTTGTTCTCATCTTTTCTGGAAATTCAGGAATCTGATAGAAGCCATAAAGGCGCCAGAAAAAAGGAGAGAAAAGCCAATAAGAACAACAGCTGATATACCAATCATTTCAGAGTTAAAGCCATAATGGAGATCCAGATAATCTTTGACCGAGCCCTTAAACCCTTCTGTAATGACGATGGTCTCAACATCAGCAAGCTGTGATGAAATAAGTCCACGTAATGTCCATGCCACAGGGCAGATGTAATAGAACCAAATCCACCAGCCAGGGATATACTAACAAATGAGTAAAAAAAAAAGACTTAGTACAAGATGTATGAAGTACATAAAATCAGAAGCCATGATGCCACCTAGCTTGACAGAAAAAAAAAATTGGCAGCAGTAAAAAGACGGAAACAGCACTTACACTCTTGGGAATAAGGAAGCCAGAAAATAGATTCCAAAGTGAGTAAGATGCAGAAGATATGACGGCTGCCATATGCTGCGTAGGTGTAAGGCTGACAGCCATCATTCCATAAAAGGTGAAGTAAGTGAAAGTAAGGAATGTAAAGACAAGGTACAGCAGAAATTTCCCTGCAAAACACACAATTGAATGTCAATAAATCTATCGGACCTCTTGAGAATATTTCAAATAAATGTTCGCTAATTGAGGTCTGCATTATGTTGTTAGTTCCAAATAAGTGTTTTTAATAAGATTGCAAGAGCAAAAAGTTGGCTCTAGCAAGCAATTAAACAGTTTCATAGGTTTAGTGCACCCAAACCCAAGTAAAATTTTCTGCAAAGCAAGGCCTCTTGAGAATGAGAATTAAAGAGGAAATGTGATAAAATAAATAATTAACTTAAAATGTGATAAAATAAATAATTAACTTACTTATTGTCTTTTCAAAACCAATCATGAAGTAAGTGATGATGCCATATGATAATGTCTGTGCAGCAATATATGGAATTTCCACAAGAGCCTGATTCAAAAAAATATGGAAGCAAATCATTCAATCTGATACATTCCGGGAGTATAAACAGTATCTATTTGATACTCATTCATCTCATCAGCATTAAGGAAATTCATTCAGTGACAAGAGATACTTCATATAGGTTTTCAATTCAGGTTTTATAACTTAAACATTTGTGATGTATCATCCCAAAAAGTTGTTGATTCATTCTGGCATACAACCTTTGGTGCTTATATCTATGCAAGTGTTTGTAAAGCTACATCACATAGGCGATCATGTTGTTTCTCTTATAGTTCTCAGAGAGTGTCCCAAGCATCAACCATGAAAAAATGGAATTAGTCATTAAATGTACCTGAGCAGCTGCATAAGCCAGAGGAGAGTACATTCCTGCAGCCTTTTCTCTGTAGAAAACTGTTCTCTCAATGGATATAACTGGTTGTACTGAAGAAGCATTGCTGACGCCCAAGAACAAACATGAAGAATGAAGGGCTCCCATGATTGTAAACAAGTTGATGATCGAATCCCTTTATGTTATAAGTATACAAGTCAATATGCATATTGTAAGAAGCCATTGTACTGTTAAAAACTCATTTCATACAAAAAAGGAATCATTAATACTGGAAGAATATTCCATGGTTCTATGAGAAAGAAACTGTTTGTAATTAGATAATCATTAGAATTTAGGTAAACAATCACAATCAGATTACAACACTGACACACCTTAGTGTTTTAAGCTTATCTTATGAGAATGGACTTCTACATTTTTTATTTTTTTTTGAATAATAAAGTATACGGTCCTTATATTCAATACAGGCATGTCTGTAAATTGTAAATTAGAGATTAGTTAATTAAAATAGTTAAGCTACTTCTGTACTGTAAATTTCTATAAAATTATTTTTTGAGAGACAATAATGCTAGTATATAAATCCTTCAAGTATAGTTGGTAGCCAAACATTTGTATGTGGAGATGGAACTGGATGAAAAGAACCTACCTTTTTGAACCAATATCCCAGAATATGGAGCCAAGAACCAGTCCACAGATTGTAGCAAGAAGGAATCTCACTGCATTATACTTTGGAGATCTCCAATATACAAGAAATTGCTTCTGAAGACAAAGCTGAAACTGGGATATGATATCTTGAGAGAATATTGTATTAAAATGTAATGGTTTTGATCCAGGTGGTGGTATACTCCCTTGCTCTATGAAAGCTTCTACCTCTCTAGAAATGATAGAAAAAAACATAGGGAAAAACAAAAGGTGATAATGAGAACACAAATTAGCAAGCAAAAGAAGCAAGCACCCAAAAATTACCTGAACTGATTGGAGTTTTGATAAATGTTAGCAAAATCTTGACCAAGCCTTTCTTCAACAGCAGGGGTAGTAACCTCAAGCATCCAAGTTGCAGGATTATAGCCATCAGGAATGGGAGGGATTCCATCTATTCCCTAAGAAATGAAAAATACCCCAAATTTCAATTAAATCTTGTTGAACAATATATTAGTTCAGGCTAGAAATTTTGTTGATTGCATTTAGTGACTATATTTCTACCCCATTCCTCTAGTTATTGCATACTCAACCCAGTCTGTAAAAAGCATTATGCATTTTTTCTGACTTAATATAGTTTAGTTCTATGAATAATGAAACCTTATTTTCACCCCAAAAAAAAAAAAAAAACAAAAAAATACCATGAAATTGTACTTATAATTCACCTTTCTGATCACTTGAACAATGAACCAATAATCTAAAGTGAACAGAGCTGAAACCCATACCTGAAAATAGTCTATCATAATGCAGGAGTGAAGTCCAAGTTTTCCTCCATATATAACTTGTCCACCACGTTTCATAAGAAGCAACTGTACAAATGGTAAAGCTAGGTGAAAATAGATTCAGATTGCAAAATCCTTGAGTGTAGATAGTGAATGAGCATAGCCGAACCTCATCAAATGCTTCAAATATGTCAATGCTTGGTTGATGTATAGTGCAGACCACAGTTCGTCCTGTGTCAACAGTATTACGGACTGTTCGCATCACTATAGCTGCTGCTCGTGCATCAAGTCCTGATGTTGGTTCATCCATAAAAATTATAGAAGGATTTGCAACGAGCTCTACTCCAATTGTTAGTCGTTTCCTTTGTTCTGTTGATAAGCCAGTAGTACCAGGCAATCCCACCAAAGCATGTTTGAGACTATCAAGCTCTACAAGCCTCATCACTTCGTCAACAAACTCCTGCAATCAAATTATAGCTTGCTATTAATAACAGGCTAAGTGCTAACTAAATTAGGATGGACACCAGGCCATGTCAATGAATAACTCTGCGAGTCAGAAATTCGGTTATAGAACTAACCTTTTTGGTTTCTTTACTAATTTCTTTTGGAAGACGAAGTGAAGAAGAGAACCAGAGAGACTCCTCCACTGTCACTTGAGGAGAATGAATATCATTCTGTTCAACATATCCTGAAATTCTGGCAAAAGTATGCTGCACTTTTGGATAGCCTGAGATCCTAATGTCTCCTTTGATGTATCCACCTGTTTTTCTTCCCGCTAGCACATCCATCAAAGTGGTTTTTCCTGCTCCGCTTGATCCAACTAATGCAGTTAGGACTCCTGGTGAAAAAACTCCACTCACATTTGCCAATAGCTGCAACTTCGTTTCTGGTACACCTTTTTCCTTCATAGCCTAAAATATATGCAGCAATAAGAATATATGCAGCAATAAATGATAAAGTTTTTTGAATATAAAAAAAAAAGATTGGAATTTGGTTTTTATTACTTTTGGCATGTCAACAAAGTAATTGACATTATGAAATGTCATACTCAGTGGTTCAAATGGAAGAATCATTCCCTTATTTTTGTCTGGTCTGGGAGAAACTCCATTTGAATTGAGAACCTCATCTTTGCCTGCATGGGAAGTAAACAAATTAAGGGACTGCAGTACTGTTTTTTTTTTAAAAAGGTATTATATGCTTGCTATCAAATGGAAGAGTCAGTTGGATGTTTGGAAGAGAATATGCTAGACCTTTATTGGGTGCACCATCGACTGAGATGTCAACTGGGATCACAGTCTGAGCTTTCTTTAAAGCTGCAAAGAAGTACATATAATAAGCAACTAAATTGCAACCAATTTACTTGGCTTGCTAAAAGAAAGCATAATTATGCGTTCAGAGCCATAGAATTTTACAACCCTTCCCAAGGTAAAGCAAATGGAACATTTGGCACTTACGATTCAGGTAGGCCAAGGCTAGAGTAACTATGCAGTTGAAAAGAAGTGCATAACATAATAACACAAAAATTCCAATCCAGTACCAACGACCATCTGTTGGCATTCCATGCAACTCAAGGACATTCTTTCCAACTGTAGTGTTTCCTGAGGGCTGGAAACTTATATAGGTTAGTAGTCCCTCACACATATAAATACTGTGCAGAGGGATGGAAGTGGAGAGACGATATAAGAGGGTACCTGCATCCATCTTGGTGCTGTAAATTCGTTTACAGAAACTGCATTTTGAGCATAGGAAAGGGGCGATATCCAGTATGCCCATGTCCACCCAGGTTTTATCATATCTAAATGTAATGATGTCAGTAAGAAAAGCTATCCATATACATATATATATATATATATATATATATATATATATATACATATATATGTATACATATATATATGTATATATATATATATATATATATATATATACATATATATGTATACATATATATGTATATATATATATATGTATATATACATATATGTATACATATATATGTATATATATATATATATGTATATATACATATATATATACATATATATACATATATATATACATATATATACATATATATATACATATATATATATATGTATACATATGTATATATATATGTATATATACATATATATATATATATATACATATATATATATATATATATATATATATATATATATATATATATATATATATATATATATATGATCTCATAGGGAGTCAAGGGGCTTACTTTTTGGAAGAATAAAACCACCCAAACAGAGTACAGCAAGCATTGAAGCTGAAGAACAAGTACTAGCAATGACCATATCTCTTGCTAGTGTAGCTAACATCCGAAAAAGACCCAATGCCATTTGATGGATCACAAATAGAAGCAGCATGAAACGGAAAAACCTGGAAAAATCAGAAGAAAAAATATTGCACATCTTATATTAAGTAGTTATAGCAATTAAGTCCTGAGAAAGTTTCATTAGCAAGATATACCTTCCAGCTTCAGGAGTAAATCCAACCAAGAAATATACAACGCATGACCATACTACAGATTCGATGATTGAATATGGAACACGTAGAGCCCAGCTTGAAAGTGACCATGCCCAAGCAGGATAGAAACAGTTGTCTCTTTGCTTGTAAAAGACTGGGAGTCTAAATATCATGAGAGACAGCTCGGAAAGGCCATTAAACAATATATGTACGGCCCCAAAGAAAAGGCAGGACATATACAGATTTCCGTAAGTCACATCTGTAGCATGTAGCCTTGTTTTGAAAAAAGTTGTTCCTGTGATTAACCCCACAAATGCGACCTACCAACAAGCATAGAGATAATGAAGGACAGAAAAGTGATACATATCAAATATTCCACCAGAAGGGACTTCAATAGACTTATCAGGTTTTTATTGAGTGAACATCAGGTCTCTTCATCCAAAAAAGAGATTGATTATGCAAGTAAATTGGAGATTTATGCACCAAGGAAACATACTAAATAAACCATCATTTTAATACATTTGGAACAGACAGGTAAAGAGAGAACATACTGGTTGAGAAACAGACTACAAGTATAATGAAAAGAAAGCATGCAGCTTGAGACGATGTTTTATACTTTGTATGACTTCCTACACTATAGCTACAATGGATATCATAGAAACATTATACTTGAGGTTATAACTGAAGTAAAATATTCTATCATAGTAAATGACAAGATAAAACATACTTGACAAGTTCGGAAAATGTAGAGGAAACTATGCCTTCGGATCAATAGAACTTCTCTTGAGAAACAAGCCTTAAAAAGCTCCAATTTCGGTACAGCAAACATTGTTCTGGACAGAGCTAAAGGATGACTCCGCGATTTCTCATATGGAGCAGATAGAGTATCTTCAACAGTCTTCCCAAATCTAGAAGTTTTGAATGCTTCAGCAATTTGTTCAGGACGAATGAACTGGTAAGGCTTTGAAGGATCCGCCCAATACTGCTCTTGGTCCTTCTTAGAAGTAACCTAGAGTAGCAGACATTCAAGAAGGCTACTATATTGAGCAAGAAAAACCAAAAAAAAAAAAAAAAAAAAAAAAAGAATGATATTGATTGGATAAATACCTCTTGTAAAAAATCTGCCACGCCCTTACGAGGGGGCAATCGAAAGCCTATTGATTCAAAAAATTCCAACACATCTGTTCGAGGACCATGATAGACCATATTCCCTTCTGATAACAAAATCAAATCATCAAAGAGTTCAAATGTTTCAGGCGCTGGCTGAAGAAGAGCCATGAGCACAGTTCCTTCCATTTGATGAACGAAGTTCCCTATGCATTTCACTATCTGGAATGTAGTTGAGCTATCTAGTCCAGTGGATATTTCATCCATGAAGAGAGTTTTCTTAGGCCCAACAATCATTTCTCCTGCATACAAATAGCATCAATCATTATTTCTTTATGTTCCTATCTTTAACTACCTTATTGATTTAAACTAAGATATCTTCACATAAAGAACACAAAATGTTAAAAGTCCAAACTATTCCATGTTCTTCCCTTGTTTCTTCTTTGGCTCAATTCCACTTTTTCACATAATGTTGGGAAAGTTTTAAATTCCAAATTAAAATCTCTCTAATATTCTTTTTCAATATTTTGCCCATAGAGTACACAACTACACATGTTGCTAAGATATCCTAACTTGTAAAAATAAAAACAAGTTGCAAAATATGAAATTTTAACTATATGAGTTTAAAATTACTCACATAACAGTTGCATAGTGCAAAATGTGAACGTTATCATAAGTCTGAGTTGCAACCTAGCTAAAGGCAAATTTGTAAAGCCATACCAAGGACAGAGATACATGGAAAAGAAAAGGTGAGTGAAAGATTTGACAACCTGAAGTAACTCTCTTTCTTTGACCACCCGAGACACCTCGATTCATGTCATTACCAACAACTGTATCAGCACATACATCAAGGCCAAGAACTTTGAGGAGGTAATCTGTTGAAATGCTGTGCTTATTTCCACCAACTGACAGTGCCTGTAGATTTCATCATATATTCTTATTATTTACTATATAGTACATATATTGTTAACTAGCTCTATGCAGGTGGCACATACATTGTCAATTCGAAAGCACAACTAACCTTCATAAACGCGTCAATTTCTGGGCTTGGACGTATATTTGTTTGTTTCTCCAATCGAACAAGTTCCTCCATATATCCTGCAAAGCAAATGAAAAACGAAAATGAAGTAAAAATTCAAAACTTCATGCTACATTGATAATATAAATCTTAAAGATCAAATCACTTCCCGACATAAAATGATAGATTACAGATACATGAAATATGACAACTTTTATTTACAAAGTGAGGAAATATAAATTTAGAATTTCCATTTCTTGCACAACATGAAGCACATAAAGTAATTTCAAACATTAGATAGACCTTCATTATAGATTAGAATTTAAATAATCAGTCTGACATAACAATTAAGTATATTGTTCATTTTATTGATACCTGCACCAAATTATACCTGAAAAGGATTCACTTGCTCCTTGGCAGCTAGCAGCAAAGTCAAAAGTTTCTCTCACTGTTAGCTCGGCAATGTGATTATCTGTTTGACCTATGTAAGCTGAAGTTCTTTGCACGCAAAATTCACTCATTTCATGGCCATTGTATGTAATTGTTCCACTTTTCTGTAGATGTAAAAGTCAATAAAGAATATGTATGGATACTATTAGTCACAATAAACTAAGAAACATTTATTTTTATAACTAAGACACTATAGTCGTTCTGACAGTACAGTTACATGAAGGCAAGATAACCAAGAAATGTAAAGTGTAGAAAATGTTGTGGTATAGTTGACCACTCGATAATAGTTTCAAACTTGCTAATCTCACCATAATTATTCCACATAGAAGTAAAGCAAACGTTTAGAATTATATTATGCTATCTCATAGACTGTTTAGATGCATGACAAAGAAGGGGTACGGTATGCATGAAATGCTACCATAACAAGTCAACAAATAAATCAAACCAACAGAATTTGAGCTACCTATTGACAAATGATGAAAGCTAGCCTAAATATTTCCACTGATTACTAGGATAGTTATTGAAGTAAACTAGCAATAAGTATTTATATAACATGAAAATTGCCTTATAGTCGAACAGGTGGTGTTCACCTTTAAGCTACTGTCAAGCTTTCCTGCAAGAGCCAGTAGCAGGGTAGATTTGCCTGCTCCAGGAGGCCCAAGAAGCAATGTCATCCTGAAAAATAACCGAACTATTAATTAATGAACACAGCTACTACTACCAAGACCACTTTAATAATAAAAATAAGTCAGAAAATTTTACAAGCAACAATAAACCAATCTCCTGGATACAAATTTTGTGACATCTTGAAAACATCTTGACATTATAAGGTTTTGACTTGAATTGATAAGATAGGTATGTCATAAACGTTATGAGGTTTTGACTTAATAATTAGATTGATTTTGGAATAAACACAATTGAGATCGAGCAATTAATTCAGATTAACAAGTTTAGTGACTCCATCCCCCATCACCTTCAATTCCTCTTTTTTCAACTAATTTTCATCATGTGATTTCTTATCTATTATATTTATACCACAAGAAACCTACATAATCCTAAAAGTTAAAAATAAAGCTTACAAGTTCTCATGTTACATGGGACACTCTTGGACACCTCCTAAGGATGTACTTATTACGCATTTTTAAGATGTTTGACGTGTGTATGTAATTCATGTTGCACTTGTGCTCATTGACAAAGATGCAAATCATAAAAGCAAATGTTAATACGGAGTAATATAATAAAATTAAACTACTCGATCTTACTCCAAATAACAATAAAACCACATAACTTTCGCACCATCATCTAATGCGTATGAAATCAAACAACTGGGATATGTAAACTAATTATACATTGCTAAAATAGCCTAAACATTTTAATTTTACTACTGTACAACTTTAGCAAGAAATTGCTAAATAAAAGTAGATTACCTCCCAGGCTTGAGATATCCACTAACATTATTCAAGATAGTTAATGAATGTCTTTCTGGACGATATAGCCTCAAAATTTTCAATATCGCCTGTAATTAAAACAGATATAATCAGGAATTTAGTGCCTGAAGTTTCTATATTCTCGTTAATTACATAATTAATTACTGGAGATTAGAGAAAACCTCAATTTTATCACGGTAAAAATTAATCAAAGTAGGCAAAGCTCGTTTGCCAGTCATTACTGCCGCTGTGATATTCAAGTCCTTAAACCTCACTTCTACCTTCGGCAATTCCAATCCAACTCTGCAATTCAACATAAATTCAATGAAATTAATGCATGTCTTCGGAAAGTGCAAAATTATGAAATTCAATTCCAGATTACTATAAATTACTCCAGAATTTAATTAATCCTCAAATTCATTTAAAATAAGTTCCAGAATTCTATAGAAATTATCAAACGTTCGAAACATTTATTCTGATTTTGATTTTCCAACAAAAAAAAAAAAAGGGAAAACCTAAAAGGATGAATAAATATGATTATGAAGCATCTTTCACCGCCAAAAATATATTTGCAGAATTTTTTGAAGGAACTACAAATTTGCAAAAATTATCTTGCAGAATTATGGCAACAATTATTGACAAAATAAATTCCTTAAAAATTTTCGATTAAAAAACATGTTCTGATATTTGATTATACAAACAAATTAGGGCTAAACTATCATCAAAATACCTTTTAAAACGTTTTTTAACACCAGAAACAAGCTTATAATTATCCTGTTCAGCAGTATCAAGCGCCTTCAAAACAACCATTTCACGACGATTACGATCAAGCTTAGTAACATCAATGGTGGAAATCAATTTATCACCTCCACCGCCATTATCATCGTCGTAAATAACAGCGAGTTTCGTCCGTTTAACAGAAGGAAGCCTCTCAAACGCAGCCCAAATTAGGTCTTCTTCATCTTTAGCAACAGCTTCAGCGTTAGAAGGTCGACCAAACGACGATTCTAACTCGCTATTACTCAGTTCTATCTCGAAGAACTCGCTGCCATTAGAGGCCGCCATTGTTATCCACCTTCAAGCTTTTTTCTCTCTCCTCTCTGAATTATTTTCTCTCTCTAGATTTTTTTTTTTTTCACTGTTATTTTGGAAATGAAATTGTGTAAAATTAGGCTTATGAAGGTTGCCTATATATAGGGAAGATATTAGAGAGTGAGGAAGTATGTAGTGACGTAATAGTGTATGCAATCTCAGTAATCTGGCTCTTTGCTGTCAATAATATTTATTTTTCCTTTTTTGGTAAAATAATTTGGGAAACCCGCGAATTTTTGAAGGAGGATTTATGAAATTACTAAAATAGCCTTGCTATGGTTTGTTACGGTTTGACCACTTTGACGGAGATAAAATTTGGTGCATACCAGCGTAAAGAGATTGGGGAACGAGTGTGAAAGCCATTATGATATAGAATCAGCATATAGAGATTGGAGTATTTCATTTGATTTTGTTTTACTCCTTTCGTTTTTAGCTTTTGGTGCACCCTTTTATTAATTTTAGTCAACTCAATACGTCGTGATTAGTCCAATTACTATTAACTTTATGTGATCTCTAATACACGTCTTAAGTACCTTTTAATATTAGTGGAATGTAAAGAGTAAACTTTTTTTTTTTTTTGACAATAGGAAGAGTAAACTTTTTACATAGTATGTAAGTTATATAAGTATAAATAACCATACTTGACCATTTGTTTAATAAGAATTCATGTGATATTAGTATTTTTTTTACACTACTTAAAAAAAATTAACGAATTAAAGATAGAAATTTAATATTTACAAAAATAGTAAATTTATGAAGAAATCTCATGAAAAAAGAGTGGCACAAAATATTTTTATCCAAACTTTCACGAGTTACCCCTAAATCATGTATTCAATAAGGTTATACCACATATCTTGTATATATATTAGCACATATATATATTATGGTATTTAAGTGGATGCTAAATGACTTGATTGTGTAAAGTCTTGGAAATGATACTTAAGAGTTAAGACTTGGGCATTATTGGTTTATTTATCTTGCAATTCTCTCTAAGCCAAAACAAGATATGAATTACGTTAAGCTAAAATAGAGAAACAGATAAGAATGTGAGACGAAATGAATAATATAAAGGAGTACTAAGATAAAAGGAACAAAGGAGTGAATAAGGAAATATCCTAATTTTTATTGAGAGCCAATATCAAATCATTCATATATACCAAATATACATTTTCTATGATAACTCTTCAAACTTAAAACATGTGCTCAAAAGTTGGAAGTTATAATTCTTCCAAGTTGAATGTATGTTGTATACATAAATAGACTAAAGAGTCATTTAGAACCTCAATTATAGTGACGTAAGGTAATATCTCACCAACAACAAAATTTTCCATTATCTAAAAGGTTGAAACCTTCAAGCAAATGCATTTCTTGAAATGCCATCGTTTTTGTGGTGTATCCTGTATGTTAGCTATATGAGCATATTTCATGATCATCTTCCTTACTTATAGTGATACTGCCTAGTTTCGGCAACATGTAATCAACAAATTGATAACTCTTATGAATTTATAACATTCATGTAATCGACAAATTGATAACTCTTATGATTTTATAGCATTTTAAGACCGTTATCATTTTCGATACAATATACTCGTAAGTGATTGTCCGTTCAAAAATAGAGTTTACTCATGGAATAATTCCCCAAATACCATCTAGAAATAACGTATGTATTAATCCAACTCTAGAAAGGTCTTAGGGTCTTGTTCTATACACCTCGATTTTACAATTTTATTAAAATATAAGGTAGAGGATACGTATAAATCTATCATTTAAAACGTATCTTGACAACATACAACAATTGGTCGGTGCCTACGTCCTGTACATATGATGAATGAACCACAACCCTCGAACAGAGGCAAAGTCATATCAGTAAACTAAGAGGAAGATGACACCAGGTCCAAAAGTGATACCAGCTAAAATGGCCTGAAGTAATCAAACCTGATGCAACAGTTAAGTTAAAGAAAGATGAAAAATATATACGTTATCTAATTATATTCATATATACAACAATTACAACCCACTGCATTTGCAGCTCATCTTATAAGCAAAATGATGAGGCTGATATAGCAGGCAACATAGAAAAGTTACACTAACCTAACCATTTTAGGCACATAATGTATAAGCTAGTTGCAGCTTTCTGCATTCCTATAATATTTGAAAAGCTTGTTCAACGTAACAGCAAATTGAAAATGGTTCTTCTCAGAAGAGCCAATGCAGCTTCATAACAAAAGAACTTGTTCACCCAGTTGAAAAACCATAAAAAAAGTTCAAGGACCATACTTTCGGTCTTATATTATGCTTAGCAGCAGCAACTCTTACCCTCAGGAGTAAGGAATGAAAGTTCAACAAGACTTCAGAAACTTCACCTTTTGACTTTTTTGGAGGCAGATGACTTTGTTTTGGACATCTTACCCTTAGATTTGAACGATTCATCATCCGATTCATCACTTTCACCACCAAATTTCTTTTTTCGTTTACTGTCGGTCTTCCCACAGAAAACAATTGTTTTCTTTTCATCGTTCTGTTGCACATCCTCAGCTTTATCCTTAGGCCTCCAGATAAATAAAGATCTGAAAGACAATACGATCACCAACTATTATGCTTTCCATACATACTAGAACTAGAAATTATCACAATGATGCTTTATGTTCATGAAGATGAAACCCACATTCTAAAGCATAATTTTTATTTCTTTAATCTACATGCTACACTATAAGAATGATAGATAAAAAGCAGAAAGATGACGGGAAAATCTGAGGGGATGGCCACCTAATACAAACCTTGAACTACCAGACGCCAGAACATCATCTCTGGGATGCAATTTATTAACAGGACTGATGGTCGTGATATTTGGGTCAATCACCTCAGCAACTAATTGCCCTGTGCTCACATCTATAAAGTCAATAGGATGCAGAGCAACACCATTATAGTTCTCACTGATGTAACGTCCAATAACAGCAAGAGATTCTGATGAATCCTGCCCAAAGGGGAAAAGGAGGAAGTATAACTAAGTCAGCAATGCCTAAAGAAAAGTGTGTAACTTAATGAAAAAAAAAAAAAAATCAACCTTGGGATCCCATTCAGCACGAAAAGCAGTCAAGTGGCGGTTGAAATCGTGGCTATGTACAATTTCACGGCTTGGTGACTCCATATTGCCATATATTGAATCCCAAACACGAATACGATTGTCCTGTGCCGTAGTGAGAATCTTACTCCCTGTATGCGGAGAAAAATAAGCAGAATTGACTACTCGCCGGTGTGCAAGGTTGCCAAGAGAAGATCCAGCTTCTAAGTGGCGGAGATCCCATAAGCGGGCCTGAAATGGTGCCAAACAAAGTAGAAAACACATTGGGATGAATATCTGAATTAACATAGATCAAAGATCACTTCTTACAGTTAAAAACATAACGAAGGTTCCATCCACTTGAAACAAAAACTAAGGAAAAAAAAAAACCACTAATGCTGATGTCCACGAAGCAGATGAAGAAAGAAGTCGACAATTTGAAGTCTAAGAAAAAACTTACAAAGTGATCGTTTCCACAACTCAAGAGAAGATCTGGCTGGATAGGGTTACAATGCAACCCTACAACCTTGCTACCCTTTTTATGTATCAAGACAGCCTCCCTTATTTTATCCTTTGTACGCTTATCCAACCTATAAGTATGGCATGAATATTATTGGCAAAAACATTTATGAACAGATAAAAAATTCACTCATTCATAATATTCATATATCAAACAAAGTTAAAACTACAAGATTATCAGAATTACAGAGTACTACAAAAATAAAAATTCACAAAAGAATAGTCACAAATCACAATAGAAGCTGTCTTAACATTTTTTTTTTATAAAAAAATACTACGATTTTATATATGTACGAACTACATAGTACCAGTACTACATAGAGTCCCCAGGTAACATGAGTGTTTTCCTATTCAAAAAGCTACATGTCACAACTACTAACAATTCAGTACTTCCCACAACTCATTCAAACGAAAGAGTAACAGATATACTTACATGTACATATAGCCGAAGTTATCAGCAACTAGAACAAGCCCCTTCTCTGAGTTGATATCTAAGCCATACAACATCCGCCAACTGCTTGGACCCTACATGTGTTCATGCATCCCATTAATCATGTATGCCTAACTATATTAGCTAAGTAAAAGCACGGTAACAAATTTGAAAAAGAGATAATGAAAAACTGCTTGGGCGTGTTGTCAATTCTCATTGACTTCTGAATGCCATCATAGCCAAATGCAAGCACATCTAATCAAAATAAAACAGCCATCAATTAAAAAAATGACATACATGCCAGCCATTAGGATTTAGGTTCATCAATGATTCTGAGATTCCAGTTTCTAAGTCAGTGCAGCTAATGGTTCCATCAGAGGATGCACCAAATATAGTTCCATCATTGACGGAACTAAATCTGCATAGCAGAATAAAATTGTCACAACCACAAGATAATAGAAAAGTATAGCTTACTCATAATAAAGAAGGCCACTAAAACAGAGGAAGTGTCAACAATGATGCAAAAGATCCAGCTAAGACAATGAAATTAACCTCATAGTGTTGAGTAAGCAAGAGTGAATATTTGTATAAACTCTTTTCTCGTATACTTTATCATAATCCCAGACTCCAAGTTGACCTTTCTGAAGAAAAAAAAGGGATAGAAAGATAATACATTAGACATCACTAATACAGTAATGCAAATTAAGCAATAGCAATAATCTACGACTCTATGGAGTACCAATTAGAGATTTTAAAGTTTGAAACTAACCTTATCACCCGATAAAAGTATATTATTATTAGTCGGATGGAATTCCAAACATGTAACTCGTCTACTATGGTATCTGATAACTGCTCGTGTCACTTGATCTGGTATAAGAAATCCTGGCTTGATCTAGATTAAACCCAAAAAGAAAACGAAAAGGAAGAAAAATTTATAATCAATCAGTTTGGGCTGCCAATATTTAAAAGCTTAACCAACAATCATAGCATACAATGCATAGAATTTCCATTCCCACCAAATAAAACCAATAAACCATAGGATTTAAGCTACTAGAAGAGTGCATGTACTACAAACAACTTACAGCAGGTACGTGTGGCCTAAGCTGGCGTTCGAAAATATAATCCACTGAATGACGAGTACTTTTACGAGGAGCTGGTATGACACCATGCTCAGTAGCAACACGGTGAGGGCAATTCATTGTTGTATGGCCTTCATCCACGATACACAGAAAGACGCGTTAAAAACTCAAAACCATCAGCAAACTACTACTCAACTCTACCTTACCCCATCCCGACCCTCAAAGGCTCAAATGCCAAAGCAATGAAAATTCAAAGGACCATTGAAGGAAAAAAGAAAAGGACATATTACTGTAACTCTTTCATGACGAGGATAACCTTGAAAATTCATTTGGGCCTAAGTCATTGAACAAAATACCATTTGAGAAATCCTAGGAAGTGCAGGAATTCAGGGTTGTTTGTTTGGCACAATCATGGGAAGTTGGCAAGTTGCACTTTCAGAGTTCTAGGAATAAGTGAATAACCATTTTGGAGTTTCGGACAAGATTAACAAACGGCTTACTCTAATACTTTCAAAATATAAAAAATAAAATAAATAAAAAAATCTACTGAGTAGTTCAAAAGCACACCAAAAATTATCTGTAAACACTCAACAAAAGTGTTAACAAATTACTAATTCATACATTTAAATTCAAACCATTCAACATTTGAGTGTATTGCACATTACAAAGTTCCATTTTGCTTTGAGGCGGGAAAAGAGATAAGTAAATTATTGGATAACATTCAATCCGCCAACAAAATCAACACATTAATATGGTAACATCATACATTAGAAAATACATTCAAACTTTAATAAACTCCAACATAAAAACCACCAAACGAACACTTACCAGGCAATTTGCAAAGAAAACAAGGCTTCATTGGACAATCAATATAAGTAGCCCCTTGAAACCCAGCTTGATGTCCTGCCTTCTTACATACCTAATCAACCCAAAAACACAAATAAGCAAATATTAAACCCAGAAAATTTTCAAATTTTCAACAAAATCTTAAACCCTAAAGTAGAATCCCAAATTAAAAATTGGGAAAATTTTATAATTACAAAAAAAAACTTACTTTGCAGAATTTTTTAAGAGAAATAGTAATGGGTTTTTTCTCTCTACTCTTAATATCTTCAATTGGTTCATCAACTTCATCTTCTTCACTTTCATAAACGACGCCGTTTTGTTCATCTTCTACTTCTTCATCAGAGGAGCTTTCTTCGGAATTTTCATCTCTCTCAATCACAATCTTCGGCGACGCTGCTCTCCTTGTTCTCGGGGGCATTTTCGTCAATTTCTATTACTGCTAATTTCGCTTTCAATTGGAGTTTCAGAGGAGAGAGAAAGAGGGAGGAAGAGGAAGGAGGGGGACAGAAAGAGGAACAGCAACCGCCTTAACTTGGGAAAATCAATTGCGGTTGGAATTTACTGTTTTACCCTTGGTAGTTACGGTAATGTTGGTAGGGAGAGGGGTAAAAAGGGAAGAATGTATGTTGAAATTGGCGGGAGATTACGTGGCTTGGTTGCAACCGTGCAGATTGAGACCAACGACCCTCGGCCTCATTTCATGTAACGCCCATTCATCTTTTTTTGAATAAAAAAAATTGCAAATGACTCTACAGTTTAATTTTAGTTCACTTCAATTTAGTTTCTAATTTCGTTCTCTCATAATCAGTTTAGTTCACCTCAACTCAGTAAATCATAATAGACCCTTGAAGTTACTTTTAATCTTTTAGTAGCCATATTTTTAAAACTGTATGTGTCACATGTTTGGCCCTCTTCTTTTGAGTAGTTATGGTAAGTTATGCTTTGTTGACACCTTGTGTTTCGAAGCTTAAAATAACATGACATTATTTTTCTTTATTTTCTGATAATAAAAGTCTATCAAGTATTGTTGTTAGAGATTGATTGGAAAAAATATAAAATTGTCTTTTGAAATGAGATATTTTGTTCTTTCATTTTCAAAAGTTTCACTCAATTTACAATTTGAGCTATATTTGAAAGTTAAACTCACTTTTACATATTTTTTATGTTAAATCTTATATCACGAATTGCTAACTTTATAAGCTCCAAATAGTTCGACTCTTTTATGTTTTGCTAGCTATATTCATTTATTGTAAACTTTTACTTGTAAAACTGTTGAATGAGTGTAAAGTTTAAAAGATTGATAAAATAAGATCCGAGAGAGTGAATGGAATTAATTAAATGAATACGAAGTACAAAGTATATATTATGTTAGACACCTGAATGGTCGAATCTTTGTCAAAGTTAGCATCAGAGCATTCTCTGTAAACTTTTTTGTTATAAAAGCATCGAACGTCTATTACCAACATTTTCACGATCACTAAGACCAAAAAGATTGTAATAACATGCATGTGATCAATGTAATTATAACGCATTGTGATTAACTAATTAATAATGCTTCATAACCATTATTTACGAGTTACGAGTTTACAGTTGGAAAGAAACAATTGAAGTACTCCATTGTTAGAAAGATCAAAAAGATTATCAAATCGAGTATCATCACGTACTCAAAAGTTTTGAAATGATAATGACATTCATGAGTAACGTACATTTTATGAAAGATAATTAACGATTAACATGCATCTGATGTGTGCCCTTCGATTTGGCTCTCTTATTGAACTCACCATGTCCATAATACATCTAAAAATTGTACCAAAAAATCAATATACTCTGTATAATATAATTCTACTACATTGATTTGATTCATTATGAAGATTTAATTGGCTAGCAAATAGCAATATAAAACTTGCACTGCATTGCAAACATTTATCATCATGCAAACAAAAGTCAAGATGGTTACTTAATTATAATAATCGCAACATTTAGACAAAAATAATACATAAATATAGAACTTAAAATAGTGTACAATTCTTTTAAAAAAAAATAACTTGTATTACACTAAGGGGGCGTTTGGTTCGCGCAGGGGAATCGGAATGAAATGAATCCAGGGAATGCAGGAGAAAGGAATGGGTTGACCCTGATTTAGCCTGGTTGTTTGGTTGCATCCAGGAAACGGAATGAACTGTTCATTGATTCCCTTTGTGACTGTTAGGTTCAAGTCAGGGAATGAAATTGTCATTTTTTAAATTCCTGTATTATATGATAAACCTGTGAAATCATGAATTAATACTTGAAGACCTTGTTATGAAAAAGTTAAGCAAAAAAAACTATAAAGACATTATAAAAAAAACTATAAATAACATTTTTCATGCTCCATTGATTACAAATCCAAATTATCACCTCATGGTGAAAATAATACCAAAGTACTTGTTCATAGATAAAAGTTCATACCAAAAGTATTCTAATAATATTGACATTCAACCAAAGTCTTTGCCAATAATCCTTCCTAATACAAAACCATACATAAAACCATAACATAAAATTTATTTAGGCACTACCATCACCGCTTCCTCCAAGAAGACTCTTAACATAAGCACCTTTCAAAGCATCCGGACACTTTGAAAATATCATGAGCTTGTTAGGTTGTGCGGTTAGAATGTTAGCCACTTCAAAAACTTGGGTAGGAGTGACACCTTCAAGATTAAAAGAGAGTAGTTCCTCTAGCACTTGTTCACTCTCGTATTGGAGTTGGTTTCTTAAGAAGAACAACATGTAACTTTAAGATTGCTAACAAACAAGCATGAGATTGTCTACTAATAGTTTCACCACTTCTATAAAAGTGAGCACCCATCATTCTATTTTTCTTATGGTGAGCTAATGTGTATAAGAAACCCGCAACCATCTCTTCCAAACATGTGTTTTTAGTTTCATTTAATCCGCCAATATCTCTAACCATTTCTAAAAGTACACCAAATGTGAATCGATTTATACGAAGATAGTTCCTACACAAAGTGTCACTTTCTCTAATCATTCTATTCAAATTGTGCAATCTCATCTTTCTTCTAGTTTTTTTATCTAGCTTTAGAGAATGAGAATTGTATATAGTTTTTCTCATTGTGTACCATATCAAATGTAGCAACACAACACAATTAATCATAGTAATTATGAAACGAATAAAGTCCCAATTTCTCTTCCTTTTCAAAGAAGTACCAATTCGAGCCATTTTCTGTAGAAAAGAAAATCAACAACACTATATCATTGACAAGTTTCAACCTAAACCAATATATACATGTATATACATATGAAATCAATATTGTACAACACATACTACAATACATCTCAACAATTCAAGAAACACTGCCTTCTTTCATACTTCATACTTGTCTACTACTTGTCTACTATACAAAATATAAACTCAGGCAGTTTGGATAACAAGTAAGAGAAAGACATGGCAACACCTTTGTTTGGATAACAAGTAATTGGAAGGAAAGGGAGGGAAAAGCAAGAACTTGTTGCATTTACAGAATGAATACAATTATACAAGCCTTTTTCACAACACAACACTACCATTAATACTTAAGTATTGAAAATTTACCTTGAAAAAATGAATGCCAAGCACAAGCATATCTTACTACAAACATAATAATGCCCATAAAAGTGAAACAAATAGACAATGTTACAAGCATAATTCAAACTCAGATATAGCTACTCAAAATAGAGATGACAAAATTAGCAAAAACCTTTCTACATAAGCATCTTTCCAGAGGAAACCATAATTTTAAATTTGAAAGGGCACATTATCTCCAAAAAGTAAACATGATGGACCAACAGAGGAGGAAGAACCGGGCTTCACAGTCGTGGTTAAGAGTTTTCAACTATAGCTAGTTGGACACTATAATTTGAAGACCACACATCATATCACAGTACAGCAAACAGCATAAAAGCTACAGGGGAAAGGCTAAATGCTACATGATGCCTATAAAATTATCTATCTACTACCAAAAAATTGGATACGATCGTATGAAAATATTTGATTTAGTTAATAAAAATCAAAATTAAATTAATGATGTCACTAACATTGCTCTGGAGTCCAGAGTAAAATCATAAAAAACTCGTAAGTTGTAACACTTACAGAAATACTAGAATACTTCCCACTCAAATTTCCATAGGGAACCAATTTATTGATCCTACTTCGGCTACATGTTCTTCCCCATAATTGGTTAATATATAAGAGTGTATCATAATGTAATTGCAGACTAGAAATAAGATGCCAACATTATGCTTTCATTATTGAAAACGGAATTCTCCACCCATGACCCATTTTTAGCAAGTATCAGAAGTTGCTACAAGTAGCAGAACATAGACAAACAGTTCAAGTAAAATTATCTGAAGTAGATAACATCTCAACACAATTTTAGCAAAAGTATCAGAAGTTGTTTACAAGTAACAGAGCATAGATTAGGGTATTATAATGAAATTTAAAATCAATCTAAAGATCAAATCTACCTTGAACAAACACGAAAATAGCGAGTTCTGAAGTTAGGGTTTACCTTGAACAAGCTGACGGTGGTCGCTGACGGTGGTGGTCGCTGACGGTGGTCGCTGACGGTGGTCGCTGACGGTAGTTGCTGACGGTGGTGGTCGCTGACGGTGGTCGCTGACGGTAGTCGCTGACGGTGGTGGTCGCTGACGGTGCTCGCCGAGAGGAGATGAAGAAGTGGGTAAAGAAGAGGGGTGCTCAGAGAGAGGAGATGAAGAAGTGGGTAAAGAAGAGGGGAATGGGAATGCAAAAGTCAGGGGGGGTAGGGAATGAGATTAGAGGGATTTTAGGTAAAGTGAAAAATAAAAAAGGGTAAAGGGAATGATTGAAATGGAAAAACAAACGACAAGAAACGGAATCATTCCCATTCCGTTTCCTGAAACCCCCAAACCAAACGCCCCCTAATTAGTTTAATTCTACTATAAAACAAAAACCTAGCTAGTTCATCTATTGAAAATTAAAGGCAACAAACACTACTAAACGAACGCAGCAATAATGTTTTCTTTTCACAACCCTCTTACTACCACCACCCCATTCCCCACACACTTGCACATTTCTCTCCGACCATCACCTCCTATGAAAGGATCATTCCACAAGCTTTTATCCACCACCTCGGACGTGGGACGGCCACCCGCCTTGGCGAATGAGGAGGTGGAGCTGCCACCAGGGCTACAACGAGAAGCAATGCCACGACACGTGGCCGTGATAATGGATGGGAATGTAAGGTGGGCTAAGCAGAGGGGGTTGCATGGAAGTGCAGGACAAAGGTCATTAACACAAATGGTGGCTTTATGTAAAAAATGGGGCATCAAAGTTCTTACTATCTTTGGCTTTTCCGTTGATAATTGGCGTCGCTCCAAAGTTGGTAACTTTTCCTTTCTCATCATTATCTTATCTGTTATCATATCTTTAGCCTTGCACATTTTGATCCTATATTTAAGCCTAGCTCGCACCAATTAGTACACTTCGGACACCATTCAAAACCGTGTAACACCACTAAGGTCCTCTAATAAAAAACGACTTGAAGATCCCTTGAGACGAGAAGATCTAGATTTTTTTTTTTTTAATTTTTTTTATTTTATTTTATTATTATTATTATTATATGACATTTTGGTAAATAAATCAATAATTTTATACCGTCATCATCATTATGAGGCTCGCTTTTAAGAAAAAATTATTGGTTTATTTACAAAAAAGTCATATTGTTTATCACAGAGATAAACTTAAATTATGAGTAAATGACTAGTTTTTACTCTAACCAAACTCCATAATTAGATAACCAATCAGCCACATGATTAACTTCTCCATAACAATTTCCAATGGTGACCAAATGTACAATGAGAGCTAATTATATAAGCTAATTAAGCTTTAATTTGTACATTATCAGTGCCGCATATCCAGTTTAGGTACGACCAAACAAACACCAATCACAAATTTCAAAGAACGTGATTAATTTAATTATGGACCATCAAATTTTAATACAAATTATTAACCCATTGAAATATCTAATCTAGTTTCGTTCCTACTATTGAGGAAGGACTAAATGACTAATACATCAATTTCATTCTTTAATGTACTACGTGATTATATATATACACACACACGGAGGCTAGGTGATTATATTTTTTTGTCTGGTTTTGTTTTTGGCATGATGATTATAATGAACAATGTTTTAATGACTGAAATTCAACCATAAGATTTTTTTTTTTTAGGAATTCAACTACTTTGTACTATTCCATATTGTGTTTATAATGCTTCTTATCAGTACTGTAATGTTTAATGGTTTATATTACCATTTATACTCCGTATTATTTGTAATGATTTGAAATAAAATATGTATAGAAATTGTCTAATTAATGTAGGTAGTACAACACGTAAAATACTGGACATCATATGGCCCAACTATCCTTAGCCCAAAAATAACGGGAGTCAAAAAATGCACCTCCCAAAATTAATGAGGGCTCGGCCCCACAACCTCACTTATCAAATAAAGAAATTTTGCAACGTGATAGTGTGATACTTCGTAATATGCGATCAATTAATCAAACACCTCATCCAAAGTCTTTATATCTAAGATTCTTTCAAAAAAATAAGTATTTATATCTAAGATTAATAAAGAACATGTGTTTTAATATTCTTAATTAATATTAGCAGTACAAATGTACAATTCAATTCAATTCTTATAATTCTTATATGTCTTCTTGTGAATTCAATTCAACAGGAGCATACAATTTTTCCTATTCTTTGTCCTGTTTTCACATCTTAAACTTCTAAAACTTCTACATATATGATAGTAAAATATAATAGAATGTATCATACTTGTATAAATTATCAATGTGTTCTAATGACTTTGTCGTTGTTGTCACAAAGGATGGCACTTCTTGTTGTCATTGACCAAACCGTTAAAATTGAGTTTAAAGAAGGCTGGAGGTGCATTTCATGCGACCAAGATGAAATTGGATGTAGGATGTGAGAAGTGGACAAGTGGTTGAATCTCATTAGCAAAACACACCATGAAAAAAAAAAGAACCTACATGAGTTATGTATTGCCACTAACATAATTTCAAATCACACAACATTTATAAATTTACTCTGTATGGAGTATGTAATTTCGTATAAGTATAAATTAGTAAATATAACATGTAATAAAATTGATGTGCACCACATACTAGGATATTATCACCTCTTTTAAACATGTGGGCATAATTTTTGAAGTTACTAAAAATTCAGAAAATTAATGCCTCATCAAATTTTTTAAATTAAAGAAAAAAATTGGCCACTTAATTTAAGAATTTGAACGAATTACGCTACTTCAAAAACACCTTCCTTTGACATTGACCTTAGTAAATTGTTAGTTTAAATGTGGCGGCAAAATCAACTAATTTTGCACAATTGTTTCAACAAATAAACCAACAGAATCAGTCCTCAGTCTTCTGAAAAACAGAGCCAAAAAAAATGTTATCTCTCCATCTTTCACCCACAACCACTTTCTCTCTCCTAAAATCCAACCCTCAAAAACCCACAAATCAATTCTTCTTACAATTTCACCCTTCAAGTTCTTCTTCTTCTTCATTCTCCAAATTAGATAGGCTTCCTTTCGCCACCGTCTCGGCGGCTCCCACTATGGGACCCGCCGTGGCGGTGGAAGAGGAGCTGCCACCGGGGCTGCGGCACGAAGCGATGCCGCGGCACGTGGCGGTGATAATGGATGGGAATGTGAGGTGGGCTAGGCAAAGAGGGTTGCCTAGTGGTGCAGGGCATGAAGCAGGGGTGAGGTCATTGAGGCGGATGGTGGAGTTGTGTGGGAAATGGGGTGTCAAAGTTCTTACTGTCTTTGCTTTTTCCTATGATAATTGGGTTCGCCCACAAGTCAGTACTCTTATCCCTTCGCTCACCTACTTGCCTCGGTTTTTTTATATGACACGTTTTGATTATACATTGTGAATCCAAATTGAAATATGATCATTTTTATTTAGATTTATTTAATTATTATATACTACCTCCGGACCAAAATTATTCTCGACTTTGGAATATTTTATATTTCACAAATAGTACCCCACACTTGCGAGTAATTTGGATCGGAGGTAGTATTATAACTTTATTTTCAGTTCAGTTCAGTTCCTATTAGTTCAGTTCTTAATTTCTTTCTCTTATAAAATATTCAGTTCAACCGAGTTTCAATAAATTCAGTTCAATTCGGTAAATCAGAATAGACTCTTGGTACTAATTGATGATAAATGTTGATTCTTTGAAAAAAAAAAAAGCGTGCCAATTAATTAGAATAGAAGCGCTTAAGTAAATTTGTTTAATGTTTGTTGTGTTTTTGTATCATAACTTATGAAATCATATACTTGTACATGATAATGAGATTGATAGTGTGGAGAAATCGGAAAACAAACTTAATGTGATTTCACTAGTTTGCTACGAATATTATGGAGTATTAATTTGTTTTATATTTTAGGATGTTAATTAAAATTATTCCAAGTGTGATTTTGTTGGACTAATAGTGGCAACTAACCCTAACCGAAATTAACGGGTATTTCCAAATGCAGGTGGAAGTTGATTTTTTAATGAGCTTGTTCGAGAGAGGAATTAAATCTGAATTAGACAACTTTATCAGGTAGATCCTTTAATAATGTATAAATTTTGTACATTTGTAGGATCTAAATGTCCTACGTTGTTCATTTCCCCACATCTTGATTAGGAAGTTAAATTATGTAATATGGATGATTTTGGTTGGGTTTAATTACGATATCTTGATTATTAATAGGATTCTAGTATGTATATTGAAAACGACTAATTGATTAGATGCAAAATCGATTCAATATGATTTGTGTCTCATTTTATTGACAGTTTAGGATAGTTCCTACACGATCAAACAATATTATTTTTGCAAGATTATTTGGGCAGAAAACTCATTTTATCTTCAAAAAAATTGTGGTTCACCAAATAATTATATTAGTTCAGAGTTTTTAAAAATGTTGTCTTTTTTTTTTTTTTTTTTGGTTTTTACCTGCCCTAAATTGCTCTCACCTAATACAAAGACTTGTGGATTAAGACCCTTTTGTCTTAGCATCTAAATGACATACTACTAGAACTTTCTTTGCTCTCTTGAGCCTCGACTCTCGACGGTCTAGCCACTTCCAATCATTGTCACCATTGTGCATTGTCAAAGTCATCATCACCTTCGCGATTATAGATAGAGACTACTAGTGCTGAATTTTATTGAAATTTAAGATCAACCACGAAAAAGGAAAATAATATGAATCAGATAAGACTTTGGTTGGCTAATAATATTTGGTTGAACAGGCAAGGTATCAGGATATCAGTAATTGGAGACACTTCCAAGCTGCCCAAATCCTTACAAAAATTGATAGCTGATGCAGAAGAGACCACAAAAGATTATACAAACTTCCAACTAAAGATTATACAAACTTCCAACTAATTGTTGCAGTTAGCTATAGTGGGAAATACGACATCATACAAGCGTGTAAGAACATCTCTCAGAAAGTGAAAGACGGTGCTGTGGAAGTGGAAGAGATTGATGAAGGGTTGATTGAACAAGAACTCGAAACTAACTGTACTGAGTATCCTTACCCTGACCTGCTCATAAGAACTAGTGGTGAGCTGAGGGTCAGTAACTTCTTGCTTTGGCAACTGGCTTACACTGAGCTGTTTTTTGTGAGGGCTCTTTGGCCTGATTTTGGAGAAGAGGAGTTTATAGAGGCCTTGATGTCGTACCAGCAAAGAAGTAGACGTTATGGTGGGAGAGATTTACAAGAATCAAGTGCTAATAGCCGATGATAATGATGAAAAACTTGCAGATAAAAGAGGTTATTCTATATAATCGAGCTTAATTGAGAGTTGAAGCAATACCCACCCTGCAGAGAAGATTGTTAAACATGCAGATAATTGGGTGTATACTGTAACTATGGGAAAAAGAACAAAAAAATTCCCCTAGACAAATATTTTGAGATCATAAATACTCTTAATGTAAACATAGACGAGAAATAACTGCATCTTGTCCTAGAATAAAATTCTTATGTATATAACTATATAAGTCATAGTAATAACATGAATTTGGTATTAAGAGCCTGAGGCTCCTACCTATGGCAGTATGACAGAAGTGTGATTTTATAATTTATCTCTGCCATACCTGATTATGGCTATAGAAAAAGAGTAGATATCTTTATAGTTTTTTCATAGCTGGTGGTCTGATCCAGGCCACGGCTAGGAAATCCAACCGAGGATATCAGGCCTGATCATACGCGTTCAGCTTTAACTGTTTTCTGAGTTATTTCTCTTAATACTTGCTGCTCAATTTATCAGTTTAAGCATTTACAGCAAGAAGTGCAGTCCTGACATAACTAATACAGAGTTCGCTCCTTTAACTGGTGGAAAAACTCATTAAGCATAGTATAGGTTTCAAACACATCAAAAAGTTAACTAATTATAAGGAACCTCATTCCATCTGTTAATTAATCATTCAGTCAAACAATTTACATTGCATCCTATTATATCTAATCATTCAGTCAAACAATTTACATTGCATCCTATTATATCATGTTTCCCTTGTATATTCTAATAATCTTTGAGCCTACTATAACATCAATGAATGATATATTGATCAACAAAAACTAAGCATACCTCCACCACCTTCGTTCACAGCACGTTTGATCCATCACACTACATGGGAACACAGGATGCAGCTTTTGGTTCTAGTGTCTTCCTTGCATCCATTGCTATATCAAAAGAGAGTCCTGTTATACAAAATTACAAACCTTAAAACCAAAACAATAAGCTTCATATCAAAAAGTTTCTAGCAACACTTCCCAGTTCAAAGTGGCTTTGTTGCACACTAATTAGAACTCATAATCTGTCTCGTTTCTATTACATTACTACCTATGCAGGAGAAACAGAAACATGGAGTATGAAATTAATGGAAAGTTTTACACAGTTTGCAGCTGAAGCGATTCAGACTTTTCACAATGAAGTCTTCAGATGTGCAACTGATAAGTTAGGCCATCGGATCCTTTTTGTACATTCCTGAATAAACATCTCATTTTCACTGGCTGGATGCAAACTGTATCAATCACACAAGTTCTTTTTGATAATTTACACGAAATGATCAAAACGGTAGATGATTGAAAACAAGGCATATCTAAAGCTCCAAGTTTCCATGATAAGGTATTGATTTCATTGAAATTTAGGGGTAAGATTTTAGTGGATGCAAATACTTCTAAAGCAACTTCATATTTATAGCTTCTTGTTACTTTTGTCTTTTTAGCAGAAGGCTTGGTCCATGCGTAGCACGAGGGCTCTTAAAGCAGGATCATACATGCCAAAAACATGCTGTATAAATGAGAAAGCTAATTAAAAATCAGAAACTGTAGGAAAAAATCTCTTACTTGGTATGTGTTACAAGAATTACAGAAATATGGTATAACTGGCAATGTAAGGCAATACTCAAACAAACAAGTTACTAGTTTAGTATCTTCGAAAAAATTATCTTTTCTAAAATTGTAATAACTTATGACAAGGCATGCAATCTATATGAAAATGTTCATATATAAACTTCTCTTTTCAAGACTGTCAAAGCTTACTGAATCCAACTTAACTCTGTTACCCAAAAATCAGAAAAATGGTTCTTTCTGTGAATTCATGTTTTACAGAACTAATTAGTTCAACCCCCTTTTAATTTTATTTTATTTTTTTAAAAAAAATTCTAGTTAAAAGATTGGATTTTAAAAAGATTGTTGTATTAAATACACCAGCAAACTTTCAATGATGAACAAAGTTACTGAATAGCAAGTACATCTGTTGTATATGTACAAGAGTGTGCACCTTTTAAAAAAAAAAAAGAGCTGATTTTAAAAATAAAATAGCATCATAAATTTAAATGCTTCAATGCATTTTTTCACAGTGCTTTAAATTGTCCATCAAAGTTCATCATGTTCTTCTCCATTATCTTTCTGATTATAACCTTAATCAACTCCCTTGATCAGTGTTTCACCTCATCATTATATCCCCCTGCAGAACCCTCTTTCAATCCGCCAAGGAATGGCGATATCATGTTCTCAGCGTCCCTCATCCATCGTAGCTCACCAGAATCCCCCTTCTATGACCCGAACTACACACGAGAGAAGCACATACAGGATGGGGTCCACACCTCTGTAGCACGAAGCCGCTACTTCAGCCAACTCAATACATTGACAAAAGACTACGTCGCAGCCCCAGTTTCTGGCTGGAACTTGCTTATGAAATACACCATGGGAACACCAGCATTCAATAGTTATGGTATCTTTGATACTGGAAGTAGTTTTACCTGGTTCCAATGTCGCCCTTGCGTTCATTGCTATAAGCAAGGAAATTATCCGATTTTTAACCCACAAAACTCATCTACCTACCGACATGTCCAATGTAAAGACCAACAATATTGTTCCATGGCACCTGGACATTCATGTGGAAGCTCTACTACTGAAGACCCTGACTTTCCCTTCTGCGTCTATCATGCTTCCTACATGGACAGATCATCAAGAGGAGTAGTCTCGACGGAAACACTAATTCTGTCAGCCGAGAATACCTCAAGGACCTTGAGCAACATGGTTTTTGGTTGCGGTCATGACCACCACGATAAAAGCCATAGTCCAGGAGTTGTAGGTGTAGGCAACAATAGTGTCTCCCTCGTTCGACAATTAACTGTCTCTCATTTCTCTCACTATGTGTTCGCCAATGGGACGCACATACGGGGGGTAGCACACTTTGGGCCTGGAGCATTCACATCAGATGTTGGGATGACAACACCTCTTTTACCCAATGATTATGGCCTCTACTACCTAAACCTAACAGGGATCAGTGTGGATGGAACAGAAGTCAACCTTCCAGATGGGATCTTTGAGAAATCTATAGATAAGAACGGAACAGAAGTCGGATTCATCATTGACTCAGGGGCCTCATATACAATGCTTCGAGCTGAAGCTTATGATATCTTGGTAAGTGTTATCATGGATTTCATGTCTGGGCAAACCCCCGAGAGCACTGAACACTTCGAGTTATGCTACAGGGATATCAGTGATGCTCCAGAGGTGGTTTTCCACTTTAATGGCCTTGACTACATGTTATGTGATGCAAATTTATGGATAAGACACTCAGGACTATATTGCCTGGCTATGATCAGGCTCAAAGAAAGCGAAGGTAAGGTATCGCTACTAGGATTTCACCAGCAAAGGAATGTTCACATTGGGTATGATCTGGAGAACAACTTGCTCAGCTTAATCTATACAGGAGCTTGTCCTGATGATGCTGCCGATTTTCTGCAAGGGTGAAGACAACATTTGCTGTATACAATAACAACATATAACACTACAATGACAAGAAGTTGATACTGAAAGCAGAGAATTTAAAGATAGACCAGATCCCAGTGCTTAATATCTCACATTTAGGGGTGTTGGCATAATACAGATGTAAAGAACTGAAGTCCTCTAAATAATCAGGGGAAATCTGATTCTTATGCTAGAAATTGCCTAAAAATAATGATAAAAACTGGTATAATGGTCTTAGCTCGAAACAAAAGAGAGTACTTTGGTTAATGTTTTTATTAAGTCAATTTTTCCCCTCTACATTGAATCACTTGCAAGAACTTGATCAAAATTCCATCCACCAATTAGCTTTAATCTGACAATCATAGAAAATAAGAACTTCATGTAAAACCAAGCAAAAGACAGACAAAATGAGAATGTAAGAAACACAAAATTGCTATCTATTAGATTATATATTGAATTAACTGTACATTAGAAACTTCCAATAAGCATGATAATTAAATGTGCCAATCATAGGATGTAGACCCAGGATATGGATCCACGAGAGGTAACTTATCTAAATAAATGAACAGCCGGTTTAAATTCTCCCTCATGATAACTGATAAATCAACAACATCACGGTCGCCTATGAAAATCCAAAGGTCACCTGACTTGACTCCTCTTAGACAATCTCGACAGAAAGGGCAAGACTGAGACCGAATAGACCTGCATTGAATAAAGGAAGAATCCAGCATCAGATTCCCACATCTTGTCATGGTGATCTGAAATCTTAAATAACAGAATGAGCACTCCCAATTGATCGAAATATCCAACATGACAGCCAAAAGGTCTAATAATGTAACACAATAGCTTTCATGACTCAAAAGATGTATTTGGCTGGACAAGAAAAGAATGTTCTTAGAAACTGCGATTAGTATAGTTTCCTAATTCTCAATATCCCTCCCTTCAGTCTTCCCCCTTAATTTTTACCTCTTCTCTCACTATCTTTTTTTTTTTTTTTTTTTTTTTTTTTTTTTTTATAATTCTGTACAAAAAAAAAAAAAAAAAAAAAAAAAAAAAAAAAAAAAAAAAGATTGGAAAGATGGGTAGACAGACAGTAAAAAAGAAATCCAAGGTACCAACTGCAGATCACACAAGGGCATGAGCTATAAAGAATGGTTGAGTGGTCCGGAGGTCTGATCCTCTGATATCTGCACTGGTTTCTCCCCTTTCAGCATAGAGCTAGCAATATAAGACAGATCCAACAACCGAGAAAGAAAACAGAGAGCTTACCAGTCTTTGTAACACTTGAAACACAGAGAGTGGTTGCAATTAGGGAGCACACCCTTGTCATTATTTTCCATGCATATGCCACACTCCGCTTCTAGCTCGTCTTCTAGCTCCATTGATTCAGGCTTCTCACACGTATCTGCTCTTCTATACTTCTGGGCACAGACTTCCTTTTGTTTTCTATCGTCCAATTCTGTAATCCCTTTTTCCAGTTGCAGCAGGGAAGGGAAAATCACACCTAACACACCAAGAAAAATAATTAGAAGCTCATTAACTTCAAAACCTTACTAACTGACTGCCTATCCCACTTTTTCCCCTCCCACTCACACCCCTCCACAACCAAGGAAAAAAAAGGGGCAGTAAAAGGGAAACCAGAGAAATTGAGAAAAGAAGACATGTGCACGTTGAGTATCAACTTGGGCATGTATGGTAAACATCTTTATTTATGACTCACCGTAAAACTGTCGAATGCTTGCTTTCTTTTCATGGACAGACATCGTGGTTTCCCCATCTTCATAAGTCTGCACAACAGCCAAATTGTGAATTGGTGACAAACTCCAAGCCATAAAGGGTATTTTAATACTTGGAAATTTTGACCTTAAACTGACTAATATACAAACTGTAAGAAAAGAGGTGATTGTAAGAAGATACTACGTATTACCATAAAAATTAGAATTCTGAGTAGCCCTAGGGCACCAGCAAGATAACAGTCAGTCCACTGAACAAGGAAAAGAAATAAGTGAGCTGCTGGGCCATAGGATAGTCTCATCTGGAAGCAAGCGCCATCAGGCTGTCTTCTGTACCCTGAAGCACTAAGAGAAAGAAAGAAATAGGGTGTGAGACAAGTTCAATTGAAAATTCAGCATACATCTTACAGAGCATAGTTGGTTGCACTGCATGGGACCAATTCAATGACATAATTTATATGAATAAAATCCAAGAACCAGAGTTCAACACATCCATCCAAGTAAGCATGGAAAACTTAGAGAAGGTACTACATATGGAGTATATGTAGTAAATTTCTACAGTATCATATTCTAAGGAGAAATGAGCATCAGGTCACAGCTTCTCAATCTATGACATACTGGGTTCTGGAAGAAATTTCTGGCTTCATTTGCTTGTCTAGCTTAAATTTGCAATGAACATAATTTCACACACTTTCCTCTTTGGACTATTGAATGTGGCCTCATGCCAAAGACCTAGAAGATACTTTGTACTTGACAAGCATGCAAAAACAAAAGCCTCAGAATATCAGTTAGTTGGTTCATGAAATCAACAAGTAAAATAAAAAAAAAAAAAAAAAAAAAAAAAAAAAAAAAAAAAAAAAAACTCAATCAAAATCAGAACATAAATTACATTTACTTCACTACCAGATGGATTCAGATCTTGTGTCAAATACACAAAATGCTTCTTTGCAACATGAGGTAGGTATTTGCTTCCACATGTAAAGTCCATTAAAAGCTAATTTTCCAGAAAATAGTCACTAGAAAAATTTACTTGCATTTAAACTACACTTGTCAAATATCAACACACCCCTCTCTGCTTCTGATGCACTAAATTACCAATTCCACACCACTAAACAGAATGGGTGAACTGCGCAAACTACGACAATAATTAAATTCAATAAATAACTGTAGAGGTAAATGTACCTCGGTGGCTGTTAAGCTAGCTCAACATGTCATTCTTTTTTCGCACAAAATCGATTTTAAGCCAGTCTATCATACTTACCCTTCAACCTCATATTTGCAAACAACACAAATTGTCGATCAATTTCCAAAATTCAGCTTAACAGCGAAAATAACATAGTTTTTGCTATAATAAATTACACATGCATTCACCAATCAGGCATCAAAATTCAGCTTCGCACAAACCGATTTGATATATACTTGTATAATACAATCAACACAAATTCGCAATCAAAATTCTGCAATTTCTATTTTATATATTTTCACAATCAATCCATGCAACTACAAATGACAGATTACAGAAATTAATCAAGCAATACAAAATTCAAGCACAAAAATTCAAATTATTTCTATAACTAGATTCAAGCTTACATAACAAAACACAATCAAATTCAAACTAACACAATCAAATTCAAACTAACATAATCATATCTAAATGAATAAAAAAAAGACAGAGAAATAGAGAATATAGAATTTACAGAGTATTAGCGTGCTGAATATCAGCTTCAAGAGCTTTAACAGATTCTCGAAACGATTTCTTCATCTTCATCACCAATCATACCAATCACTACGAAAAACCTTGACAAAAAACTTCAAACAAAAAATTCAAAAAAATAAAAATCAGTGTTACTTGATAATCGAAATCAGAAAGAGTATAAATTAGAGGAATCGAAATCATAAACCCTAGACAAAAATCAAAACCCTGGAAATTGAAGAAATCGAAGAAACTTACTTTATCACAATTCACGAGACGTTGAAGAGAGAGAAAGAGTGTGTATGAGAGTGTGGGATATTTCGTCGCCTTCCATACAGGAGATGAGCCCAGGTAGTTGTAACTTCTAAGCCTATTTATATTTTTATTTTATTTTTCATAAAATGGAAAAAAAAAAAATAAGTAAAGTTTCTTGGGCAGTAATTAAAAAAAGGTCAAAACGCAGCGCTTTATGGTATTTGCTAGGAAAAAAAGGGGGGGGGGAGAAATATGGAAAGTAGTGTATTTTTCGTTATCCTTTTCTTTCGGCAGACGTTATTAGGACGTGGTGCATTGTGTTTTGGTAGTTTGTGTTTTGGCAATCTTAAGGAAAATTCCAACTCAAATTTAGGAATTTTGGATAGATTAGAGTTGACAAAATTTAATTCGATGTGTTGATTTGATAAATTTATCCTATAATTAATTTGTTGATGACATCTAGCTCGAGTCAAAATACATGAACAACTTTCGTTTCCTAAATATTGCTTCAATTATGTGTTTTAATCAAGGAAGAATTTACAAATATGATTTAATTACATAAACTTAATTATAATTTTGTAATCTATATATCATTATTTATTTGTCTAGAAGTCCAAGTAATATTGAATCACCAGACAACTAATAAAGTTTCCTTTTTTTTTTTTTTTTTTTTTTTTACGGGAATAGAAGTTTCCCTTGAATATAAATATATACTAATCTGTTTCATATTATGTGCAACATTTACCAAAAGTAGATGCTACACTTTATTTGCAATAAATGTTTTCTTTCCTTTTATTGGTTGTCATTTCTCTATATCTCTCTACTCATCACATGTTTTTTATATTCCACTCTATATTTACCACTCGCATACAAATTTTGTCTAAGAGTCCGTGTCAGTGTTTTTGTTGCACATAATATGTAACAGGTAGTATTATTTTTCCAAATAATATGGTTGTACAACCTTAGTTTCCTAAAGTTGCACCAATTAAATTTTAAGTCCTAAAGTTGCACCAATTAAATTTTAAGGACGTTTTTACAAATATTGCACAATTTCTTTGTAAGAGAACTCGATTTCTTTAAATTCCCACAAAGTCTTATATGTGGCTGACCACACCCGTATGACAAGCCACTTTAAGGGTTACTTCACTAGTATAATAGGGGTTACTTGGTCAGTGTTAAAAGGGTTACTTCGTCATTGTTATAGAGTTACTCAGTCAGTGTTATAGGGGTTACTCAGTCGGTATTACATGGGTTACTTAATCAATGTTATAGGGGTTACTTTTAGTGGTCACACGGTGTGGCCAGCCGCACATAAGACGAGCTGATAAATTCCTTTCAAACAAAATATTTAAAACCTTTACTAAGGCATTTTAACCTTACTATTTCTTACTCACTTCAAGTTTATAGGTATTTCACCTTCTATATGTTCTATCCACTTCCTAATATCTTGTCTCCCCATGGTGTAGTATTAAAAGAGCAAAGAAAGCATAACTCAAAATGACTAAATGAGGATCCTATCCTATAAAAAATAAATAAATAAATAAAAATTCACAAATTAATAAAAAAAAAACATTTAGTTAAATGCATTTTAATTGTATTTGTTTAACACTTTTTAGACTAGTGATAGTATGATACCTTGTAATGATATACACTGATTATAGTTGTAACTGCATGTTCAAAAGAGAATACACTGATTATAGCTGTAACTGCATGTTCAAAAGAGAACGATCATATGATATTTTTACAGCATATTTAAACACTTTTTATATTTGATGTTGACATTTTTACATATGCTTTAATCAGATCAAATTAAACTCACAAGAATCACCCATATAACTCACAAGAGTCACCAATATTGGATCTAGGAATTTATATAGATTGTGATAGTTTTAAGGATTGTTGTTGGTTTCGAACTCCTAATCTACATTCAATGAAATGTGAGTAGTGAGCCACCAATATAGGGTCTGTTTTATTCACCTTATTTTCACTTATTTCAGGTGTAATAAGTTCAGATTAGTTAAGTTAAGTTCAGTCCAGGTTTAATAAGTTTTGATAAGGGTTACCCAAGTACAAATTACAATTAAAATAAGTTTAAATAAGGTTTAATAAGTTCAGATAAGTTCAGATCCGGTGAATAAAACACACCTTTAGTCAAGTAACCTTCCTACCATTCTACAACCAATTAGTGAAAGTTGGTGGCAGCGCATGTTAATGGCGGTTTTGGTAGGCAAGTTCATGGGGAGAGATTGATTGTGGTGGTGAGTGTTGGTGAAGGAAGAGGAGACTAGTGTGTTGGCATCGTCGTCTTCTTTGAGGACAACTATAGTAAAAGGTTAATTATTGAAGGAGAATGTTTGGATGGACTCATGGTATATCCATTTTACACAACACTTTTTCTTTTCTTTTTTCAAACAAATAATTAACATGAATTGTCATAAGGAACATCCAAAAAGGAACCAGTATAAATTAAGCTAAAATAAATTTAATTTACTCCATACCAAAAATAAGTCATGTTATTCAACAAAAAAAAAATAATCCAAATTAAGTTCAATAAGTTAACTTAATCCAAGTTTATTATTTCATCAGAAATCGACCCGTTAGACTATTATCATTCCTCGGAAGATACCCGGTCAAATAAGAATAAGCCATTGACCCCTCTTTCTCCCTTAAGTCAAGACATCGTTTAACAATTGTTTGCGACGGGGACCCAAAATTAGGTATGAAGACACCACCGAGGCACCGATTCACCATCCAAATAACTGGGTGAAAAAATTCAAGCATGACATTACATTGCCTTTTCCCACTCTTTCTTTCGGTTGGTTTTTTTTAATCATTGCTGTTACGACTTACGACTATTTTTTTTTTCTTTGACTACACTCCACTGTATTTTTCCCCAAAAAAAACAACTGAAAATTTTTCTCATAAAATCTACTATTTTCTCTGCTCCTTCATTTTGAGAAGCCAATTTTCTCAAAAAATCAGTTCATTTTTGAAGAATTTGTAAACAATTCGAGGTATTTCTAGTGTTAGTACTTGGTACAAACTATAGCTTATTTTTTTTTTTTTTGGTTGGTTATTTTGAAGTTCTGGGTTTTTAATTGGGCATGCAAAGTAAATTTTATGTATCATGTTTATATTTTTTTTTGGGTGTTTTGTATTTCATACTATGCTAGTTAATCATTGACGTTTAATTTGATTTTGAGCACATTTGCTCCTGCAGTTATAATGTATGAGTTGAATTCTCTTAGTTTTAAAGGATTTAGGTTAAATTTTTGATTAATTAGTGAAACAGAGAATTTATTTGAGAATTCTGATGCTTATTTGTGTTAAATTCAATTAGTTTGGTGAGTAACTTTTGGTTTACTTGATTTCAGCAAAAGTGTTATGTAATATGTAATGTAACGTGGTTCATTGTTGCTTGCTATGGTATTAATTAGCAATTGTAGGTAGATTAGGGCTTTATAATGTGGTAATTTTCTTACTGGATCATATGGTATGTATGTTGATGATTATTATGTGAATTATAATGGGTTTTATCGTCACGAGGAAATGTGGGTGTAAAATATAGTCAAATTGAGGGAAGAAACACGGTTGTTAATGGCGATTTGTTCCTCCAAATGCTTGACTGAGAGTTACATTGTGGAAATACAGGCACTTTACCATTTTAGTTGATTTATTGCTTCAAACCACACCATTTATGCATCATTTGTTTATTTTTATTATGGCGTTTAGTATAGAGGAAAAGACTCGGGCTATTGATGAATTTTGTAATAATCAACCATTATTTACTTTGTGTTTGGATGTCAGGATCAAGAGGGAAGGAGTTGGGAGGGAGAGGGAGGGTACATTTTTGTTTATTTTTATAGCAATAACTAATAATTGGGTTAAATTAGGATAATGGAAGTAAGAGAATAAAAAGAGTTTGTCTATAATTTCTTTGAATAATCTAATTTATTTTAGACTTGGAAAGATAGGGGAAGGAGATGGCACCGTTCCCTCTTCTTCCTTCACCTCATCAAATTATTTTTGTTGATGATATCTATGATAGTTGGTTTATGGAAAGGAAGCCGCGTGCTGTAGTGTATGATAATACGTGAGAGCTTCAAATCTTATGATACTCGAGGATAGCATTTTTTGTGCCTTTTGTTTCAGCATAACTTCATCATGTAAACTTGTTACCTTGTGTAGTGAGCACCAAATTTGGGCTTACTGTTAAGTTTTTTGAGGGAATATGATTGAGCTTGTTATTTTGTTAACACACTGTTAATGATTGTTATTTATGTGATGCAGCATTCAAGTATCGGGCTGATGGTGGTTAGAGAGTTTGGTCTCTAGATACAATGTCTCGTTTTGCTAAAGATGTAGATGTTGCTTTTCAGGGTGCTGGAACAAAAGTGTATCCTTTCATGTGCTTGGAAATAAAAATGCACATCAAGTATGACCTGTACATTTTTTTTAACAGTGGTGAAGATTTCGGTATTTGGTGGTTCTGCTCTTTAATTTCACATTATGCTTCTATAATTTACAGAAATTCCCTCCCCTTTGTTTATAGGCTAGTGTGTGGGAAGTTGATTTAGGATTTGGGAGAATTACGTGAAATTGTGAAACACTGGTTAGTGGTTCTAATATGAAATCCGTTAATCTGACCAAGATGCTAACTTCCTTGGTGTCATGTTAAAGCGTATTCAATTGTTTGAGTTAACGAATTCCATGTGCTTCAATCTATATGTCTTCATTAACTATGTTAAGGCTAAGCTCCTTGTGCTTAATGCGTTGGAGATTTAAGCCACATTGCTGCTTAGATATGGCTACATTGGCTAGGTGGTTCCACAGAAACTATGGAGTATGGAGGTCATACTAATAATTTTTTCTATAGTAGTTGAATACCATGTATAGCCTATGCTGTTCTGAATACTCCTATTTTGTTGCTGATTTCCTTGACCTGTGTTTAGCGGTCTAGAGGTTTGGTGTGTTGAGAATCTCAACCTGGTTCCGGTACCGAAGTCATCTCATGGCAATTTTTTTTCAGGGAGTGCATATTTGATTTTAAATGTAAGTTCTTGGTATTGATTGGTTGCGGGGACTTCATCTTAAATATAGTTGCTCTGGGTTGGGTGTTATTTTGCTTACTTTCTCATTTAATTTCCATAAGCAAGAATTATGGTTACACTCATGCTTGTTCATTATAAGCATTAATTTTATTTTTGTTTGCTTGGGGTTCTATTAGTTGCAATTTGAGTTCTGATTGAGGTTATGTTATTACTGATTTGTATAAGTTTTGATTTCTTTTGAGGCAGACAATATTGCTGAAAGATGGAATGCTTGAACATGATGTACATTACTGGTTTGGAAAGGAAGCAAATGAGGTTTGGGCCCTTTCTTCCATTTTCTAGATTGCCTTAATTTGTTTGCACAACCAATGTTGTTCTAGCTTAAATGATCTTTTATGGAACAACGGTTTTCTGCAATCTAAACTGAGCTAGCTTTTGTTCTCATGAAGGTGGATTCGCTGATGGTCTCAGATAAAGCGCTTGAATTAGATCTGGCTTTAGGATCTTGCACTGTGCAATACCAGGAAAAACAAGGTCAAGAGTCAGCAAAATTTTTGTCATACTTTAAACCTTGTATTATTCCTTGCGAAGGAGTATATACGTCAGGACCAGAGAGGTCAGGTAGAGGCACATACCATATGACCTTGTTAGCATGCAAGGGTGAACATGCCATTTCTGTCAAGGAGGTAAGACTTGTTGAACCGTAATTTTGTATGACTTTTAAAAGTCTTCTACAATATGTTCTATAGAAAAAATTGAACCGTAATCTGAGAAAAGTTCCTTCAAATAATCACCTTTAAAATTTTACTGATCAGTTTTTGAGATAACATCCAGAATATCAAAATTATTTCAGAAAACAAAAAGAAAACTCATTTCTACAAAAGCCAGTTTATGACTAATGTGAACGACACAGCCAGGCATTATCAGCCGGGAAATGCTGAGTGAACAATAGTCTTTAAACCAACCTACATTAATACAGGGCATACTAACCAAAAACCTCTTACACAAAGATCTAACTGAAACTTTATTACTGAAACGTTAAGTTCGTTTATATTGCTTTTTGTAAGATTCTTTGTGATTCGGCATTTCGACCTGTGCACTAACTGATGACCTAATTAACCTATCATCATGACTAAGAATAAGAGTCATACTCTTGTATTCAATTGTTCATCCTATAAGTATCCTAGCACAAAGGTATCCAATAAGACATGCTTTATATTACGAAGTAAGAACCACAGTTCTATGTTTGGCAAAACGTCATTTGGTTTAATATCATCAGAACTTATGCTGGCTTGCCTCTTTAAAGAAGGAAATGCTAGCATTCTTTAGCCTTTCCTTCAATAGCATTGAATTGTATTTAAGTTAAGGTATTAACTTTTTTTTTTTTTTTTTTTTTTTTTTTTTTTTTTTTTTTTTAAGTGCTGGTTTGGGTGGAATAGGGAAGAAGGGTTTAAAATTTGCTGATTTTTGAGTGTTTGGTACTTTGGTGTCTTTAGTATTGATGCTGATTGTGAACATTGTGACTTGTGGCACGCAGGTGCCATTTTCACGGTCATCTTTGAACCATGAGGATGTTTTTATCCTAGACACAGAATCGAAAATATATCTCTTTAGTGGTTTCAATTCTAGCATACAAGAAAGAGCCAAGGCTCTGGAGGTCATCAAGTATATCAAGGAAGAAAAACATGGCGGGAAATGTCAGGTGGCTACAATAGGTAATTAATTTGGCTCTCTTTCCCTGTCGTGATTTTTTTTTTTTTTATCTATTGTTTTCCCTTCATGATTTAAGTTTTAGTTAATATTCATTTCATCATAGCCAAAGATTTATTGAAGCTTTCCGTGCTTGGACTTGTTTTTTCTACTTTGATGAAAAATCACATATGTCGCAGAACCTAGATGGATAGATTTGATTTCCTTCATTGTTGCTTGATAGCAGTACTCTTTTTAATTTGGTTTATTTCTCAATTTATATATATTTCCCCATATTTCAGAGGATGGAAAGTTTGTCGGTGATTCAGATGCAGGAGAATTTTGGAGTTTTTTTGGGGGTTATGCTCCTATTTCCCGTGATTCGTCCTCATTTTTCAAGAAGCTACATGATGCTCCTTTTCTAAAGTTATATTGGTGAGCTGTTCTACTTATATAAGCAAAATATATTCCATGTGGTTTTCATGTTATATCTCAGTGTGGTGCACTCTTATTTATTAATAGATCTTGGAGAACAGTATCATCTGATACTACAAGAAATTGCCAAGTATTTGTTATTTGTCTGAAGATCAGTGTGTCTCCTCTTATATATCGTATCTAAAATCCCTTCCTATCCCTTATCCTCTAGTTGGTTCCGTAATTTAAAAAATTAAGTGTTTCAATGTTTTTTGTGCCAACAGGATAAATATCCAGGGTAAATTATGTGAAACTTCTAGTGGTTTACTTACAAGGGAAGTGCTAGATAGAGAAAAGTGCTTCATGTTGGACTGTGATGCAGAGGTATTTGTTTGGATGGGAAGTTGTACTTCAATCACAGAACGTAAGACATCGATCACTGCAGCGGAAGTAAGAAAATCCTCCTTTCTGCCTCAATTTATGACCAACAAAAAAGTGCCTTTTACATGTATCTTTTACACTCCTTCATTGGCATGTACATTCAGAGCTCTGATTACTACTTAAATCATTTAATCAGGCAAACTATTAGTTTTGTTCTTGATCATACCCAAATTTCAGCTAAGTCAAAATCTTTTTTCGGCAATTTTTAATTGATATAAGACTTATGAAGATTTTTGTAGTGTTTAGAGTCTTTTGAGAATAAGGATATAAAAGCGGTTCATTAAATGCGTTTGCAAATATTCCTGTTGTTTCCGAATATCTGTCATTGTCTTTCTGATCATTTCCCGGATTTCCTCAGATCCCAAGGCAGGTCAACTAGGAGCCTTGTAATTGTCTTGACAGAAGGTGCAGAAACACCCAAATTTAAATCATACTTTGTTGGCTGGCCTCAAACAGATAACCTCAAACTTTATGAAGAAGGCAAAGAGAAGGTAGCAGGTAATTGTGATTGAACTGACTCATAAAATAAACTCATTTCAATATGTGTTGATGATCAATGTGCTTTCTATTTTTTTGTTTTCTCAGCAATATTCAAGCAACAAGGTTATAATGTGAAGGAGCTTCCAGAAGAGTTTTGCCAACCATTAATAAATTGCAGGGGAAAGCTTGAAGTATTGTCTTTCTATGTTTTTGATAATTATGGCTCTGTTCTTAGAATAAGTATTCTTATTTTGAGTCATCTTGATGAATCAGGTTTGGGTGGTAAATGGTGAACATCTTTCTATAGTGCCTTCTGAAGGACATATAAAGCTTTTCACTGGGGACTGTTATATTATAAAGTACACATATCCAAGTAGTCAAAGGGATGAAAGCATATTGTATGCTTGGCTTGGCTTTGCAAGCGTCAAGGTAAAGACCAAATTTCTTAACTTACAGTTTGCTTATTATAATTTATCTAATGATGCTTTCTCTATAAGAGAGTGCTGAGTACTTAAGTCTTGAGGGCAGCCTATATTATTTCATTCTCCCTCTATGCCTCTGTACTGCACCATACTTTGTTGGCTGGAATTTCTGAATTTCTGTTAAATATGCAACTGCTAGTGTCCACCTTTATAACTCCCATAGTCCCATTCTGGAAATATACATGAAGCATCTAGTCTTTCTACAGAAGCTTTTAATTCTCTGTTGGATCTGTTTTTAATATACTTGGGTCACACAGATAGAAAAATTTACTGTTCTAGTTGCTTAATGTATGATCCATTTCCTGAGACAATTATTCATCTTCGTTTTCAGTTGTAGGAAGATAGAGTCGATGCTATCTCCCATATGATTGACATGGCTGATTCCACTAAAGGAACTCCTGTTTTGGTGAGGTTTCTTGTGTACTCTTCCATACTTCATTTCTTTATTTTATTGTTTGTGTTGTTTTGCTTAACATTTCACTTGTGAGGCCCTAAGATCGTCACATAATTAAATTTACTCCTGCTTCCTGATAGTTCTGTCTACTATATAATATACCTGATGCTAGAGTTACTTGAAACCTGGTTAGTGAACTGATGGAAACTTGTTACAACATAAGAAGTTAACTCTTTATGCACCCTTATATTTGGATTGTTTTGGTTTCATTGTCTACTTTTGGCCTGTACATTTTGGTTCCAGGTGCAAATTTTTGAGGGAAAGGAGCCAGATCAGTTTTTCTGGATTACCCAAAGATTGATAATATTTAAGGTTTGCACTCTAATGGCTGAATTTTTCTTCCACCCAAATCACAAGACCTTATGCTTTTGTTATTTCGGTTTCTAAACAGGGAGGTACGTCCACCAAGTACAGAAATTTATTTGCTGAGAAAGCCATTGAAGACTACACTTATAATGCCGGAAGCATGGCACTTTTCCGTCTTCAGGGATCTAGTTTAGAGAATATGCAAGCCATTCAACTTAACATGGTAAGAAGATAATTTGACTGCATGAAGTTCTTACACTTTCTGTGGTAGTAATTTGTAGTTGCTCCCATTACTTTGAGGGTAACCATTAGCTACAACTTGTGATGAACTATTTCAAAACCAATGCTTTTATCCATATTTGTGATTACTAAGCATTCACAATCAAATTATGTGCAAAGACTTCATATTTGGTATCAGAACCTTTTACCTTCTATTGAGAGTTTGAGATCATTGTTATTGTATTCAGCATTTCCATCAACCTTATTTGCAATCTAGCAGCATTTTGCATGTGTTTTTAATTCTTGAAAGGTTATCTTGAAGAATAGAGCGGCACTTTGAGTACAAGTTTCTTAATTAGTTAACTTCTACTGCTGGTAGTTCCATCTAATAACTATAATGATCCCTATGCTCAGAATTAGATATCAGTCCATATCATTTTGTCTCAACGCCTCATTATTAATACTAAAATACCCATTTAAATAAATATATCATACAGAGTAAGTGTATTTTGGTAAATCAAATACCTTCTTTATTTTAGGAAAGATGAGAAATTTTCTGGACATTCTATAATAGTATGTTATTATTGCACTTTCCCATCACACACAGTAAGGGTATCTTGGAAAATCAAGGTATATATATTTTAACTTGTCTTGGGTTTTGTAAGCTTTGTGTGTACTTGTTTTAATTTGGTTGCTAGTTAAAGTAAAGAGCACCTTGTGTACTTTAGCTGATTAGCCCATCTCTAACCGGTGTTCATCTATATCCAGGTTGCAGGTTCCTTAAATTCGTCATATTGCTATATCGTGCAAACTGAAGAAGCTGTTTTCTCCTGGACTGGAAGTTTAACTTCAAGCAGAGACCATGACCTACTTGACCGGATGTTGGAACTGCTTAATGTATGCACGCTGTCAACTTCTGCCTCTATTCTCTGCATCTCCTGTCTTCTTCTTCTTCTTCTTCTTCTTCTTCTTCTTCTTCTTCTTCTTCTTCTTCTTCTTCTTCTTCTTCTCTCTCTCTCTCTCTCTCTCTCTCTCTCTCTCTCTCTCTCTGTGCTGTGTGTGTTTTCAGTATTATATATTTTTTCAACTTTTACTCTCTCCTTTTACAATATTGTGGTCATTGCAGCTATGACTTCTTATTATGACTAATTGACTACCATTACTTTTCAGGGAGAGTAAACTTTTCTAAAATATTTTAGGAATGTATAGAAATTTAGACTGACTATGACATGACCTTGATGTAGATCACCCCCCCCCCCCTAATTTATACACATGACATGGCATTGGTGTGTATGTAAAAGAGGGATTGCTGTATATATAGAGCTCTCTGGTAGGCTGGCCTGGGTAAGGGGATGGTCAACTTACAATTAATTGTACTAGAAATTGAATACGCTGATGGGACCTGACCAGTGAGGTTCTTTGTCTCTCCCATTAACAAGTCCCAAGTAAAGTAAATTCTGAAGGAATTGTGTCTTCGATAAGTGCAATTACTAGATATATCAAGGATCACTATTATGGAGATAATAAGTTCGTTCTTTTGGGTCGTCATTATCTGTTGCTAGACTATGATCAATGATCTTTAGGCTAGTCAAATAGTCCAAAGCCTACTAGAATGGATCCTATGAGGTCACACAACAAGGGTATTGGGTTAAGCAAGTAAGAGGCCCATTAATGGGCCTCATGAGCAACTAACTAATCATGAAATGGATTGGGCTAGCATAGTTATATGAGAATTAGGTTTTGGGCTTTTGACATGGGCTCTTATTTAGAGATGAGATCTATAAATAAGATCCATGCCTAGGGTTGCTTGTAAGCAGTCATAATTCACACACAGTGTATTTTGACATCAAGGCAACCAATCCCAAAGACCCTAATTCCTCTCTCTAACTCACGGCTTTCTCTCTCCTCCCCTCGTCCGTACGGCCGGCCACCTTGGTGGCGCGTGTGGTGGTTCGTGGTGGTTCATGGTGGTTCGTTGCTCGCACTTCTCCATAGAAGGTCAATTGAAGTGTTCAATTGCAACTAACTAGCATTAGTGGAGGTCTTAATCTGTGTCACGCTTGAGGTTTTTTATCTCCCAATGTTCTTGCTCGATCGCACGTGGAATCACGCTTCAAAGGTACGATTATATGTTCTTTATGTGTTATGCATTAGATCTTGGGATTAGGTACTGTATGAATATGATTCATGTTTTTCCGCTGCGTAGTACCTATAATTCCCTACAAATTCTGATTAAGTACCAAATTAAGCATCCCCCTGTAAGTTCTTTGACTAGAACACTATTATTCTTTTCTTCAAATATGCATGCAAGCTCAATATGGATATTGTGAATAGAAGACGTGTTGAATATAAAACATGTTCTGGCATTTACGCCAGAGCCTCTTTTTTCTTCTCCTTTGTGATTCATCTTAATCATATTAATAAATTCAACCTATATAATATGCTTCGGTGCAAAGGAGTTGAGTTATATATGGTAGAAATACAACCTTGGCTTTTGCAATCAGTTGATGACAGATTCTTAAGATTCAGATTAGTAGTTTACTTTACATGTAAAATTTCACTAACATAATTTTATTTCTGCATCCACAGCCAGATTGGCAACCTAAATCCTTGAGAGAAGGGGGTGAACCTGATGAATTCTGGATGGCTCTTGGTGGAAAATCAGAGTATACTAGGGAAAAGGAAATGAGAAAGCATATAGAAGATCCACATTTGTTTGTTTGCAATTTTTCTGAAGGTAATCATTGGCCCATTTCCTTTTTATGTTTTTAAGATCATGTTGCTTGGTTATGATGCAGGCTTATCAGTTATAGTTGACTTTAGTTTGCTTCATGGTGTCTCATGATTCTCACTTGACTTGATTTGTTTTTCATGCAGATGATTTCAAGGTACGTCTGTTATTATCAAGATGGTTGTCAATGTATGGCTGCATCTATTTTCATAGGATGTCTTCTCTTGCCTTAATTAACTGTTAGCATTTTTTTCCCCGTAAGAATGGACTGAATATTTTTACTTTTACTCTAACCATTGCTTGTTTAAAATATTCTAATTTTCTAGTTAGTAGTCTTAGTACCATAGATCTTCTTTCTTTGCATTCATGGGGAAAGCAACAATTCATTTTAGAATAATTTCCTGCTGCTGGCTCTCCATTGAGTTAACCAGTAATCTCAAAAGAAAATCATATCTCCTAATATGCCAGAATGGTTTAAGCAGTTTCGTGGCAGAATAAACTTGTGAACCACTCTCCTTAGCTGTGAAAATTTGGGATACACAGGGAGTTTTATGCCCACATGGATTTTGGTTGTGCGTGACTACGTGGGTTCTTGACCACTATGACAAATGACCCCCCCCTCTCTTCTTCCAGCAACCTTTCCCCAAAGTATAAACTTCCTCCTGCTTAAGTTACTGAAAAATACAATTGCTATATGTAGATTTTCAGGCCTTTGCTATACGGATGAGTTGACAATAAGTTTAGGTGTAGACAACTTCTGTATTTTTCCAGATTCAAATAGCTAAGAGGTTAGGGCTCTTCTCATGGACCCCATGACACTCCTGAAGACCATTTGGGTGGTTGGAACCATCCACTATTCCTTTAAATTGCCAATTTATTCATTTACGCCTCCCTTAATCAACTCAAGGTAGCCACGAGCCTTTATGTGACCAACTAGTGGTCATTTATGGTTTCAAACAATATTATATGACCCCAAAATGCATCCCTTACTATCCCAAGATATTTCGACACTAGGTACCGAAACCTTCAAAAATTGGTCCAAAAGCGTGAATTATAGCCTTCAGTTTTTGATTATTTTTTTACTTTTTTGGATATGGAAAGGAATCAAGTTGAGACTCTTCTCATGGATCTCATGACACTTTGAAAGGCCGTTTGGGTTGTTGAGACAATCCACTTTAACTATCAAAGACATTTATGTACATGCCTTCCTTAATTAACTTAAGGTCACCGCGGGCTTTTATGTAACCAACTATTGGTTGTATATGGTTCCAAACATCATTCTATGACCCCAGCCATCTCGAGACTTTTCATATTAGGTCATAAAACCTTTACAATTGATTCTAAAGCGTAGAAGCCTTCAATTTTGGACAATTATTGACTGTTCCGGACCTGAAAAGGAAACAAGTTGAGGTGCTTCCCATGGACCCCACGACACCCTAGGAGGCCATTTGGGTGGCTGTAACCGTCCACTTTGCCTTCAAACTAACAGTTTATGCGTACGTCTCCTTTCATTACCTCATTATGTGACTAACTAATGAACTTATACAAATCCGAGATGCATCCCTTACAATCCCAAAATTCTTGACATTGGGTTCTGAAACTTTCAACATGATCCAATTTGTGTATTATAGCCTTCAAATTTGGCTTTCAGAGAACAATTGCAAGATTATGCATCGAAGTTAAACCTGAGGTTTCAAGAGAGTCTCGACCCTTCTGAGATGCCTAGTTGGTGCTCGGAAACATCTCATTCATGCCTTGGCCCACCCTATGTTATCAAGCCTTGTGATGCCTTCAATGTCTTGTAATGCTTTGGCTTGGTCTTGTGAAGCCTTCAATGCCTTGTGATGCTTTGGCTTGGTCTTGTGAGTTGTGATGCTTTGGCTTGGTCTTGTGAGTTGTGATGCCTTGGATTGGTCTTGCATTGCCTTGCCTTAGGCAAGCCAAGGTGCTAACCTCAATTGCCATAATAGCTATTTTTTTTAAGAATGAGGTGTTTTTATGCTTTGTCTTTGTGCACATGTCTTGTGCCATGCCCCATGCCTACAATTTGGTCGTGTCTTTGCTAGGCAGCATCATCCAATGCCACACTTAGGTGCTGTGCCTTGGACCAATTTCGTACTTAGCATTGTTTTTAGCATCGTTACCCTTGTTTAGCAAAATATAGGTGATTTTAGAAAATAAGTTTTTTTTTGTTTTTTTTTTGTTGGGTTTTGGGTAGAGCTGTCAAAAGTTGACCCGACCCGAAATACCGACTCAAACTCGATTATTAACCGACCCATCTGAACCCGAAAAAATGGTGACCCAAACCCAACCTGAAACCAAACCTAGACCCGAGTTGACCCGAGTTGACCCGAGTATGTGAGACCCGAACCCGAACATGAACTGACTTGGAGATGACCCGACCCAAATATAACCCGTAAATTATTAACTTGAACTGAACTCGACTTGAACCGAAATTGACCCAAATCTGTTTTAACCCGTCAAAACTCGAATTTAACCCGACTTGTTACTAACCTGACCTGAATTTAACCCGACCCTTTCCTAACCCAACCCGAATTTAACCCAACCTGTTACAAACCCGACCTGAAATCAACCCCACTTGTTATTGACCCGACTCGAATTTTACTAGACTTATTACTAACCCGACACAAAAATTCAACCCGATCTGTTACTAACTCGACTCAAAATCAACACGACTTGTTATTGACTTAACCCGATTGTTCCCGACCCGATTTCAGATCACCTTAAATGCAATTTAAACCACCTTATTATTGTTAATCAAAACATTTTGTCTAGGGAGACCAAGTAAGTTCAGACCAGCAAAAGAAAGGAGCATCATCTTCAAATGTAAGAGTTAAATATAGTATATATTTGTTGTATGGTCAAAGGAGATAATTATTTTCCTAAATTATAGACTATAGCACCCTAGTATATTGCCATATACTCTCTCCGTCCCCATTTGTTTGCCCCAAACCATAAATCCACTTTATTAAGGCTTTGGGCAAAAAATGGTGCATATGGGTTGACACAGATATCAATGAGGAGAGAGGTAGAGATACTGCAAGTGGGAAAACATGCCAAAACTAGTATGGGGCAATCTTTTGGGGACACCTTAAAAAGGAAAGTGGAGCAAACAATTAGGGACAGAGGGAGTATATTATAGACAAAGGAAATAATTAGCTTGATAAAAATGATAATTATCTATTTATAGTTAGTTGAATCCGAATATGACCTGACTTGGAAATAACCCAACCTGATTGTAACCTGCAAATTATTGACTTGAACATAACCCGACTTGAATCCGAGAATTACCCGACTTGGAAATGACTCAACCTGATTATAACCTGCAAATTATTGACTTGAACCGAACCCGACTTAAACCCGAGAATGACCCAACTTGAAAATGACCCGACCTGATTATAACCCACAAATTATTGACTTAAACCAAACACAACTCAAACCCGAGAATGACATTAAAACTCGCAAATTATTGGCTTGAACCAAACCTGACTCGAACCCGAGAATTACCCTAACCCGTTATAACCCGTGAAAACTCGAATTAAACCTGACCTATTGTTCACCCGACCCGAATGTAACCCCACTTGTTATTAACCCGACCTAAACCCGATAAGAAGTATAACCCGACATGACCCGACTCAAGCATGACCCAACCCAAACGTGATCCAAATTGTTTATGAAATTAATCCGAATTGACCCGACCCACTATTACCGACACAAATCCGACCCGTTTACCCGAATTGTCAGCTCTACCCGAAACCTCAAAAATTTCTCAAAAAGCGTGGATATTGGCCTTCAATTTAGGAATTTTTTGACTTTTTTTCACCCATATATAAAAATTGCCGAAATGTTTACCATGGTCCCTAATTCCCTTCGGGAGTCGAATTGGCTTGGTGAAGCCATCCAATTTTCCTTTAAACGACCAATTTACTGGTTTACAACTTTCACCGATTTCATTAACTCACGCATACCACGAACATTTAAGACAACATATAATGATCATATATGGTTCCAAACGACATTATATGAACATTAGCCTTCAATTTTAGAATTTTTTGACTTTTTTTCACTCGGATAAAAAAATTGCCGAAATGTTTACCAAGATCCATAATACCCCTCCGGGAGTCTAATTGGGTGGATGGAACCATCCAATTTGCCTTTAAACGACCAATTTACCGGTTTAGAACTTGCACCGATTTTATTAATTGAAGCCTACGATGAACATTTATGACAACATATAATGATCATTTATGGTTCCAAACGGCATTATATGACCCCGAGATGTATCCCTTAAAATCTTATTTCTTTTCGACACTGGCCCCGAAGACTTCAAAATTTCTCAAAAAGCGTGGATATTAGCCTTCAATTTTTGAATTTTTTGATTTTTTTTCGCCGGAAATAAAAATTGCCGAAATGCTTACCATGGTCCCTAATACCCTCCGGCAGTCCAATTAGGTAGGTGGAACCAACTAATTTGCCTTTAAACGACCAATTTACCGATTTACAACTTGCACTGATTTCATTAATTCAAGCTTAGCACGAACATTTATGACAACATATAATGGTTATATATGGTTCCAAACGATATTAGATGACACCGAGATGTATCCCCTTAAATATCAAGACTTTTCGTCAATGGGCCCCTAAACCTCCAAAATTTCTCAAAAAGCGTGGATATTAGACTTCAATTTTGGAATTTTTTTACTATTTTTGCACGGAAATAAAAATTGCCGAAATGTTTACCATGGTCCTTAAAACCTTTCGGGGGTCCAATTAGGTGTGTGGAACTATCCAATTTGCCTTTATGACCAATTTAGTTTACAACTTACACCGATTTCATTAACTCAAGTTCACCACGAATATTTATGACAATATATCATTATCATATATGGTTCCAAACGGCTTTATATGACCCCGAGATGTATCCCCTAAAATCTCAATACTTTTTGACACCGAGCCCCGAAACATTCGAAATTTCTTAAAAAGCGTGGATATTAGCCTTTAATTTTGGAAATTTTTAAACTTTTTTTCGTCCGGATCTAAAAATTCCCGAAATGTTTACCATGGTCCTTAATACCCTCCGAGAGTCCAATTGGGTAAGTGGAACCATCCAATTTACATTTAAACGACCAATTTACCGGTTTACAACTTGCGCCGATTTCATTAATTCAAGCCTATTATGAACATTTATAACAACAAATAATGATCATATATGGGTCCAAACGACATTGTTTGGCCCCAAGATGTATTCCCTAGAATTTCAAGTCTTTTCGACACCGGGCCCTGAAGATTCCAAAAATTCTCAAAAAGCGTGGATATAGCCTTCAATTTATGAATTATTTGACTTTTTTTCGCCCGGAAATAAAATTAGCCTAAATGTTTATCATGGTATCTAATACCCTCCGGAAGTCTAAATTGGTAGGTGGAATCATCCAATTCGTCTTTAAACGACCAATTTACCGGTTTACAACTTGCGCCGATTTCATTAATTCAAGTCTACCACAAACATTTATGACAACATATAATCATCATATATGGTTCTAGACGGTATTATATGACCCCGAGATGTATCCCCTATAATCTAAAGGCTTTTCGACATCTTGCCCCGAAACCTCCAAAATTTCTCCAAAAGCGTGGACATTAGCCTTCAATTTTGGAATTTTTTTACTTTTTTTCGCCCGAAAATAAAAATTGGCGAAATGTTTACCATGGTCCCTAATATCCTCTGAAAGTCCTATTGGGTGGGTGGTAGTATCCAATTTACCTTTAAACGGCCAATTTATCGGTTTACAACTTGCACCGATTTCATTAAATCAAGCCTACCACGAATATTTATGACAAAAAATAATGATCATAAATGGTTCCAAACGATATTATATGACCCTAAGATGTATCCCTTAGAATTTCAAGACTTTTCGACAGCGGGCCTCGAATCCTCCAAAATTTCTCAAAAAACGTGGATATTAAATTAGCCTTCAATTTTGAATTTTTTGACTTTTTTTCGCCCGAAAATTCAAATTGACGAAACGTTTCCCATGATCCGTAATACCGTCCGGAAGTCCCATTAGGTGGGTAAAACTATCCAATTTGCCTTTAAATGACCAATTTATCGATTTACAACTTGCACTGATTTCATAAACTCAGGCCTACGACGAACATTTATGACAATAAATAATGTTCATATATGGTTCCAAACGGCATTATATGACCCCAAGATGTATCCCCTAGAATTTCAAGACTTTTCGACACCGGTCCCCAAAACCTCCAAAATTTCTCTAAAAGCGTGGATATTAGTCTTCAATTTTGGAATTTTTTGACTTTTTTCGCCCGGAAATAAAAATTGACGAAATGTTTACCATGGTCCGTAATACCCTCCGGGAGTCCAATTGGGTTGGTGGAACCATCCAATTTGCCTTTAAACGACCAATTTACCGGTTTATCACTTGCATGGATTTCATTAATTCTAGCATACTACGAACAATTATGACAACATATAATGATCATATATGGTTCCAAACGGCATTGTATAACCCCGAGATGTATCCCCTAAAATATCAAACTTTTCTACACTGGACCACGAAACCTCCAAAATTTCTCAAAAAGCGTGGATATTAATCTCCTAGTGATTTCGTGATATCCGGTGAGTAAAAATTTAGGGTCAAAATATTACTTTGGGATATTGTTTTTGTTCAGGTCTCGAAGTGTCATTTTTGTGACCCGGTAAACCAAATTCCCCAACATGTCTAACATCATATAATAGTTTCATTAAAATCTAGAGTGAACCATGTATCTCTTTCTCACTCTTCATTGGTGTGGGGTAAGGGAGAAGAGAAAGGGGAGGGGGCAGGTGGGGGAAGTGGGGTTATTGTTAGGGCTACAGGGTAGATTTGTGATTGAAATTGGTGGGTGGGGGAAGTTTGGACATGCATTTAGTGTCTCTGTGTACTGGTGGAAAGGGGGAGGACAAAAAGAGTTTTGAGGGATTAAGGGTTGGGGCTGGGGGTTTGGAAAAAAAGGTTGAGCAGTTGGTGATTTCAGGTTTCATTTGGTGTAGCGTAATGATGATACCGATTACCATAGCAGCAGCTCATACATTGTGTCACTGTGGAGTGGATGGTTTGACTGCCACCTTGCACTGAGAGTCACCCTCCTAATTGTTCACTGGTTTCATTTCCTGACTTGCAACTATGACTAGAATGTTCTAAGAGCTATTGTTGATATTTTTCTACACCTCAACCACCTTTAGGATGTGGTTTAGGCTCTCATGTCCGAGTGTGAGATTTTTACACGAATCATTTTTAAAAATGTTTTATATATTTGTTTATTTGAATCATGTTAATGTTGATTTCAAATTGCGGTGAATAATCAAGTCTTGTTAGCCTTCAATTTTGGAATTTTTTGACTTTTTTTTGCATGGAAATTAAAATTGGCGAAATGTTTACCATGGTCCTTAATATCCTACGGGAGTCCAATTGGGTGTGTGGAACCTCCCAATTTGCTGTTAAACGACTAATTTACCGATTTACAGCTTGCACCGATATACCGATTTACAATGGCCAATTTAGCTAACTTGTATCGAACACGACTTGAAACAAAATTGACCCTAACCCGTTTTAACCAGTCAAAACCAGACTTGTTACTAACCTGACTTTAATTCAACCCGACCCGTTCCGAACCCGACCCGAATTTAACATACCCTGTTACAAACCCGACCCGAAATCGATCCGACTAATATTGACCTGACCCAAATTCAACCCGACTTGTTATTTACTAGACCCGAATTTTACCAACCTATTACTTACCCGACCCAAAAATTCAACATGATCTGTTACTAACCCGACTCGAAATTAACACGACTTGTTATTGACCCGACCTAAATTCAACCCAAATTGTTCTTGGCCCGATTTCAAATCACCTTAAATGCAATTTTGACCACCTTATTATTGTTGATCAAAGTATTTTGTCTAGGGAGACCAAATCGGTCTAGACCAGGAAAAAAAAAAGAGCATCATCCTTAAATTTAAGAGTTAAATATAGTATATATTTGTTGTATGGTCAAAGAAGATAATTATATTCCTAAATTATAGACTATAGTTTCCTAGTATATTGTCATATTTATATATTATAGTCAAAGGAAATAATTAGCTTGATAAAAATGATAATTATCTATTTATAGTTAATTGAACCCGAATATGACCTGACTTGGAAATATCCCGACCTGATTGTAATCAGCAAATTATTGACTTGAACATAACCCGACTTGAATCCGAGAATGACCCGACTTGGAAATGACCCAACCTTATTATAACCCGCAAATTGACTTGAACCGAACTTGACTTAAACCCGAGAATGACCCGACCTGATTATAATCCGCAAATTATTGACTTGAACTGAACCCGACTCAAACCCGAGAATGACCTGACCTGATTCTAACCAGCAAATTATTGACTTGAACCGAACCCGACTCGAACCCGAGAATTACCCTAACCCATTTTAACGTGTGAAAGCCCGAATTAAACCCGACCTATTGTTAACTCGACCCGAATGTAACCCGACCTAAACCCGACCCAAACCCGATAAGAAGTATGACCCGACGTGACCTTATTCAAGCATGATCCAACCCAAACCCGACCCGCATAGGTTATGGAATTAATCCGAATTGACCCGAGTTGACCCAACCCATAGCCGACCCGTTTACCCGAATTGACAGCTCTAGTTTTGGGGGTGGGGTGTGTGTGTGTGTGTGTGTGTGTGTGTGTGTGTGTGACAGATTGTAGCGGTATTGGGCTAAACCCAAGTGGATTGTGGCAGCAAGGCCAATTTCTATTCTATCATCTGCTATACATATTATTCCATAAACTGGAAACTTGTACTCTGGTTGCAGCTAAGCTAGCTGTAGCACGTATTTGTAATCATGTTCTCATACTAAATAGTGGGAACTACTATCTAATTGGAGAGGTTTTAGCATTCTGTTTATGGAATGATATGTTTAATCCTGATTAGAAGAAAGTGTTTCCCCCAAACAAAACACGTTTGCCAGTCTGGGACTTCCATTTATCAAACAAAAGGTGGAAATTAATTTTATGCCTACTCAAAGTTTGCCTGACAATTTTGTGCTTAGACTTGATAAATCTTGCCTTGAATGAACCATACCTGGAATCTAGCTGTCTACTTGAAAGGATTATAGACCACAGTATGAAATGTAGTAATTTTGCTGTCAATTGCTTATATTTCAAGTCACTGATTATTGCACTATAAATCCAGGTAAAAGAGATATTCAGCTTTACGCAGGATGATTTAACTACCGAGGATGTCTTCATTTTAGACTGTTACCTTGAAATATATGTTTGGATAGGCTCCCAATCAAATGTCAAATCAAAGCTACAAGCAATACAATGTGGCATGGTAATACCATTGATTATATTATAAAATTCCAGCTTTTCTGTATTCTTATGTGGAACTCTTTCTGTGATGCATCAGAAAATTGCACTTGGTGATGTTAGCCAATGTTGTATCGTCTCTCAATACATTTTTCCATCGAGTTCAGGATAACTTCATGATTCTATCTCATATATTTGTCCTGATGATCTGCATTCACTTTGGGTCTAATTTAGACTAAGCTAATCTCATAGTCAGTTGTAGAAACCCATGTAAGTTTATCACTGTAGCTTCTGTGAAGGACCGAGATATTGAGGTTGATGCATATTGAGTTATAGACTAAAGCAAGTATAACATCAGGGAAGGCGTCTTGTAACTAGATTCGTCCTGAATGTAACTAAAGTATAATCAAATACTTCTAGAGTTTCTCAACCTTTATATTATGCTTAAACACATACATATTGTTCTAAAAAAAACACATACATATTGAGCATTCTTGGTTTATTGCATAATATCTTTTCATGGAACTGTCCTTCTTTGTGACCTCTTGTGCAAATTTATGGATCATAATTTCATGTGGTCTTAATTTCTGCTGATTCAACCTGTGAAATTGAACATTGAGCTGTATTAGTTGTTTGTTACCTCGTAGGATCTACACTCGTGTTCATTGGATGCTCACAGCCTCACAGGGACGTTATTTTTAATAAATTTTACTTTTTGGTTGTTTGCACTTTCTCTACTATGGCACCAGTATATGTCACGGATACTGCTTGTCTTACAAATTATTCTTAAGTATTTCACTATATAATGCAGAATTACCTGGAGAGGGACATTTTAGCTCAAGGATTATCGTTGGAGACACCATTGTACATTGTTACAGAAAGACACGAACCAGAATTCTTTACTTGCTTTTTTGATTGGGATGTTTCAAAATCACATGTAAGGAATTAATCTATGCCTTTGTATCTGTCCTTATGTACTAGTTTGTTGTCATCTCACTGAACTTGCACGTGAAGCACAAGTGATACAAAAATGAAATATTTGTATTTTGCTGATATAGAATGTGCCAGACTGATGTACTATTAACGTTTTACTGCAATTTTTGTAGTCTCCTAAAATGAATATACAAAATGAACTTTTATTTGTGTGGCATATGACACTTTTACTATGTCCCTCTTTCAGATGGATGGAAATTCATTTGAGAGAAAACTCGCACTACTAAGGGGAGAAAAGAAGTTGGAGGTAAGTGTCCTAAAACCTTCTGGCTTGTCAATTATGCAGCCCAAAAACAGTTATTTCGTCTTAATTTTTACTCTCAATCCCAAACAATTGGTCCATGCTTCTAAAATGTCTTCTTTGTCTAGACACCTCCGAGGAGCTCATGTAGGGCATATTCCTCTGAATATTCCCAAAGTGGTTCAAGAAGCAAGTCTGTAAGTTCTAATAGAGTACCAAGAAGTGCATCTCCATCGAGTTTTTCAAAATCATACTTAACTTCTTCAAATGGTGGGGCATTTTCCAGTCCAGACGTTATTGCTAAGAAACTTTTTTCAGAACAATCTGCCGACCACAGCAGTACTGTTGGTGAGTAGGAGATCCTAATATTTTTTTTCCCATAACTTATAAATGCAGTATTCTGTAGCTGTGACAGTATATTAATTATATTTTAATTCATCAAGCCATTAGTATGAGAATTAAGGGTTTGTCTGATTTGATTAGTGTATCTTCATTATGAATTTCTCACATTGTGCAATTGTGGGTATGCATGTTGCAGATTTCCATAAACTGGACTTGGGCAATTCTGCTGAGACTGTCAATTCTTCACTGGTTGCTGAAAATGACGATGATGATGATTCTAACCTGCTAATATATCCTTATGAGCGCTTAATGCTGACTTCTGATGAACCAGTTTCTGATATAGATGTGACCAAGCGTGAGGTAACCTTCACATTGTCAGTGAAAATTGCACATATGATCAAGTTTCATTCGGAGGTCCATAAAAATTGCTTTAGACTGAAAACAGCAAATCTAGAAGTCGATGTTAGAACAAACATCAGATAAAGACATGAATTCAAACCTTACTTTTTTTTTAGTTTTACAGTGGCTCTATCTTGAACAAAGTACAATTTGCTAATATATGTGCAGACCAACAATTCATAATCATTTGCTGTTTATAGTTTTCACTATTCTGTCTTCATGATTATTAGGCGTACTTGTCCAAGGCGGAGTTCCAGGCAAAGTTTGGCATGACAAAGCGAGCCTTCTACACACTACCTAAATGGAGGCAGAATAATCTAAAGGTCTCTCTCAATCTTTTCTGATGCAAGTATGCAGCTATTCTGATCATTGAAGCCTTGGATATGCAATTTAAGTCATCCGTTGGTGTAAGAAATGAACTCAGTTGTTTTCTTCATTTCAAATATTGACAGGAGATATTCTTGTGATATTTCTTTAGCCTTCAAGGATGTCTTGTATTAGACAATCTCTGAACGATTGATTATAAATTTATAAGACTGGTGTGATTAATTCTAATTTAGGATTGTTATCACCTGATTTCAGGTGTAATTTCTTCTGTATTAAGTGCCTAATTGGCTATTACTTCAATAAAAGAAGTTATAGCTTGTTCTTGTCATCCCTTTTTTTTTTAAAAGCAATGTTCCTGTCATCCCTATAATTTTATCATTTCTTATGTTTCTGACTTTTTTCACAAACAAGAACAGTTTAAAAAACCAAATTCAGTGATGGCTCCTATTGATCGTATCAAGAATCAAGATATAGACCAAAAAAATTTAATGAACTTTTGAATTGTCCAATGTTGTTTCTGATGCAAGTATAAAACCTAAACTACCACAGAATATTCCATAATGTTTAACCTGTGTCAATTTTATGACACTGTTTATAAAACTTATTAGCCGTCCAAAAATTGGTGATAATATAAGTAGTACTATTAAAAACATTAAGAACTAAAAAACGACTCGTTTTTTATAAGAATATTCGTAACTCGATTAACTTATTAATAACGACCAAGAACAATCACCCTTTTGAATGATAGAGAAAAACAAAACGTTTGTTACACATCCATCACTCATTCAAATTCAGCCTTCAAAATGTCAATATCACTCAACATTTACATATATAAAAGTCATACCAACAAAAAACAATGGCGTGTTTGTATTAAACTTTTTGGTTAAATTATCTGCAAAATAATACAAGTGCTAGTCAAAGGTATCCAATTACTTTATCTTTCTCCCAAAAAGAGCATCCAAAAAATGTTCATTCCACTATTCTCAACATTATTCCACTAAAAATCACCGTATTCCGCCGTTCACCGAACTCCGGTCACCGGAAAATATGGCTCCTCCAACTTTCTCTCTCCTCCCCATTTTCTCTCTCCTCTTTCTTCTTCTCACTCCTCAATCTTCTTCCTTCCCTTTTCCCAAACCAAAACCAGAAATTCAATCACCCATCAAAACCATCGTCATTTTAGTCATGGAAAACCGTTCATTTGACCATATTCTTGGGTGGCTCAAATCAACCCGACCCGAAATTGATGGGTTAACCGGAAACGAGTTCAACCGGTTAAACTCCTCCGAACCCGATTCACCCCAAATTCACGTCTCAGATGATGCGGTTTTTGTTGACTCGGACCCGGGTCACTCAATCCAAGCTATAACCGAACAGATATTCGGGTCGACCCGAGTAATTGACCCGGCACCCATGAATGGGTTTGCTCAACAAGCTAATTCCATGTCAACCCACATGCCAAAAAACGTTATGAGTGGGTTTAAACCTGAGTTAGTTCCGGTTTACACTGAGTTAGCCAACGAGTTCGCCGTGTTGGACCGGTGGTTCGCATCGGTTCCTGCGTCAACTCAGCCGAATCGGTTTTATGTTCACTCAGCTACTTCACATGGTGCGTCAAGTAATGTAAGGAAAGATTTAATTCATGGGTTTCCACAAAAAACAATCTTTGATTCACTTGATGAAAATGGGCTTAGTTTTGGGATTTATTACCAAAATATCCCTGCTACTATGTTTTTCAAGAGTTTGAGGAAGATTAAGCATATAACTAAGTTTCATAGTTATAATTTAAAGTTTAAATTGCATGCTAAATTTGGCAGGTTGCCTAATTATGTGGTAATTGAGCAAAGGTATTTTGATAAGAACATATTTCCTGCTAATGATGATCATCCGTCGCATGACGTGGCGGAAGGACAGAAGTTTGTGAAGGAGGTGTATGAGACACTGAGGGCTAGCCCTCAGTGGAAAGAAATGGCTTTGTTGATAACATATGATGAACATGGTGGGTTTTATGATCATGTTCCTACTCCTGTTTCTGGGGTTCCTAGTCCTGATGGGATCGTTGGGCCCGAACCGTATTATTTTCGGTTCGAACGGTTGGGAGTTCGGGTTCCGACCATGTTGATTTCCCCTTGGATTGATAAGGGTACTGGTGAGTATTCTTGTTCTGTTTTGCTTTTTTGGTGGGTTTTGTTATCTGACTAGTTTTTGTATTTTTATGTTGTTATGTGACTTATTGAGGTTTATTCTTATTTTTACTGTGATTATGTTAGTAAATTTGTTGGCCACTAGATTCTCCAGTTATACTTCAATGTGAAGTTTGATAGATTGAGGTACATGTTAAGAATGGACTTTAACATTCTATCATGTTATAGTACAACTTAAGTGTAAGCATATGACAGATGTATGATCTCAATCCTTTATCATTTGTACCGCGGAGTAGGTGTTTATGATTTTGCCGACACTCTTCACCTTTTGATTTCATCACTTAATATGTTTTTTTGTACGTGTTAACTAGTGAATTTATGAGCAAAATTGTGACAGTGTAACCAACTGATATATTACTATATTAGCATGCTGGAGTGAAGATAACTGTTTATTTTAGAGTTGGTGTAGATAATAGGGTTGAAGTTGCACTTGGTAACGAACGAATTCGGACAAACTTTGTGGGGATAGGAGTTGTTTGTTTTTTATTAGAGTGTATATCTTTCTAAATTAAGTTCAACATAATCTGCGAATTGTTGATTAACGATGGCAGCATTTGTAGTTAATGTGTTTCATTAAGACCTGATCCAAGTCTTGCACTAGTAGAGTAGATTGGGTGTCAACTGTCAAGTACTGACTGTTGTGTGTTTAGATAGCAACTCCTTCCCTATGGTTCAGGCTATATAGTACAGAGTGTAGTTGTTTCAGGCCATTCCTATGTAATGTAAGGCTTTTTATAATGGAAGCTTTGCTGGATTAGTGGAGTGTGTAGTGCAGTAGATTCTGGCTTTTTTTTTTTTTTTTTTGGTGCTGAACAAAATTCTACCTAGCTCTTAGTCTTAGTCTGTTTGCGTCCGTGCTTGCCTTTTTATCCAAAAGAGTTTAATTTCAATATAGACTCTTTATTCACTCAAATGTCTTGTCTTTTATGTTGCCAACTAGTATTTGACTTGGACCCCCACAATGTAGTTTGAAAGTTAGCTTGTGACAAAGTTTTGGCTTCTTGCTAAAGTCATGACATTATGACAATTTAGTGTTGATAATACCCAGCAGCTTTGGTAATTGGTATTTGGTATTTAATGGTAATTTTTATTATGATTGTGTATTGTATTTTGCAAGAGGGGTGCCCTAAAAAATTGAAGGGATTTGGATTAGACGGGAACAGAAAAATAAAAATAAAGTTAAATTGTGCATAGTAATTCTTGAAATGATAGTTACTTGTTGCTTATTTTTGGATGGTTGCATTTTTCTATTTGAGAAGCATTTGCAATATGTCTTTTTTCTTCACATAATAGCTACTTTGGACTTTTGGTTGCTTATATATGTAAGGATTACATTACTATCTTAGCTTGAGTTTTGTAATAATGTTTGAATTCAAATTAGGTTCTGTATAAATTTGGCATATGTTATGATACATTAGGGCTGCCCCTAATAATAGACATGAACTACTGCAGCTTTTTTATATAGTGAAGCGTGAAACTGTCTTGAATTAGTGAATTTTATTTTATCTTATTCTCCATAGTGTCCAAAAATGGAGGAATAATTTGTTCATTATGGGTTGCTGCAGTGATCCGAAAGCCTGATGGACCTACTCCAACATCTGAATTCGAACATTCCTCCATTTCCGCTACTGTGAAGAGACTTTTCAACTTAAAATCGGATTTTCTTACTAAACGAGATGCCTGGGCTGGAAGCTTTGAAAAGTACTTTTATCTGCGTGACACTCCACGTGAAGATTGTCCAGGTTAGTTAGAATCCTTTTACTTTCCTCCTAATCAAGACATAAATGTTAAAAAAATATACTAATAACTATAGAGTTCAAGTTGTCCCAATAATTCATATAACTATGTTGTGGGCTTCTGTGAATTTCATATAACTAAAGAGTTCAAGCCTCTGTACTGTACTCGTGTTACGTGGTGCTTGATAAGCTGTGCCATTCATTCATAACAGAATTTGATGATGAGCCTTTCAGAAACCTAAGATTTTGTAGCTGGTGCTGTCTCATGTTTTGTTTTGACTATTGAGTATCTATTGATAACTTTCTAAATTGCAAGTATGTGTGGATCCCTAAAACAGAGAAACTGCCGGAGGTTAAGAGATCACTAAGGCCATTTGGAGCCAGAGAAGATGCAAAACTTTCAGAATTTCAGATGGAATTAATACAACTTGCTTCACAGCTTAATGGTGACCATGTTCTTAACACTTACCCGGATATTGGAAAAAATATGACTGTGAATGAAGCCAATCAATATGCAGAGGATGCAGTGCATCGATTTTTAGAAGCTGGGAAAGCAGCTATTAAAGCTGGAGCTGATGAATCAACTATTGTCACAATGAGACCGTCTCTTACCAGTCGGACTTCTGGTGGTAGCCTCAGCAGCTATCAATAGAACCATTGTTTCTTCTAAGTTACACTTTGTGAATATATTTTTATACTACGATCAAATGTACTTTTATGCAACTTTTGCTAAGAATTTAGTAGGAAAAGAGCATTGAAGAATATTACTATCATGTAAATATTACATCATATTGAAACAGTCTTCTTGTCTCTGGGAGAGGCATGCTTCTGAGTTCAGAGGCAATGGAGCATCTGTTGTGATTTGTCTATATATATTAGATTGAGATTTCAAGCTACTAAGGTAAGTTCCTTATAGACCTTATTCCATCATCTGTAATTTTCATATATCGTTCTCCAACTATAATGTCCTGTTGAAGATCATGAAAATGTATTTGATGTTCTGTAATTAACATATTCCAAAGCATCTTCTTTTGTTTGATTTCCTGTTGGCTCCATATGCAGTTTATAAGGTACTGAAGATCATGAAAATTTGTTTTGCTGGTATCTTATCAAATTTATTGGGCCCACTTGGTCCCTTAGTGTCATGTGGTTCAGTTTTACTTTATTTGTGTAAATATGAAAATGATATTATAAGTGTTGGCCACTTATAGCTCAATAGCTGATGCAGTAATCTGAGGGGGTTGATTATAGAGTTTCGCTTTTGTTTCTTGTCTATAATCTCTATATTCCCCCATAAGGACCTTTTTTTTTTCTTTCTGCAAGTCACTAAAACTGCCCCAAGATATGCAGGTTATTACTTTTATTTGCGATTTAAAGTCTGTCTTGTGTATTTGTCTATCATACCTTGTAGATGTGAAATATGCAAGCATTAGTTGTATAAAGAAATTAGGTAGCGCTGAGTTTGGTGCTTTCGAGTTCTGATGTATGAATGGTTTGATGATGTAAGAGAAATTATGAGGGTTAATTTTATCTGATTTTCCTGGAGGGTGTAGTTTCATACCCAAATTGGTCTTATAGTAGTAATTGTACACCAGCTTTACAAAGGATAAGAAAAATTCATGTTTGGGGCTCCAATGATTTTGGAAGTGGCCCCAATTTTTAGCTTTGGATTTACTTCCTTTTAACAACTCACCCCAAAGCTAGTGGTCAAGTTGCTGATATTTAACTGTCATTCTCACACTCTCCTATCAATCTTACATAATTCCTACAGCCACCATTCAACTTGTTGATCACCATAACCCCAAAAATGTAATCCATCTGTAACCTCATCATTTCTGTCTCTTCTAGTGCCAAATTCCTTTTATAGTTCCATACTTGAAATTCTCCAATCACCAATCACTTCTATCTTTGTGCAGTCTCTCAAATCCGTGATGGCAGTTTCATGGGAACAGAGTGTTACAAGCTCAATAAACGCCATATATCTCCTCTTCTCAGCCTACCTTGTTTTTGTAATGCAGCTTGGATTTGCTATGCTATGTGCAGGTTCAGTCCGTGCTAAGAACGCCTTGAACATAATGCTCACCAATGTTGTTGATGCTGTTGTAGGCAGCCTCTCGTACTACCTCTTTGGTTTTGCTTTCGCCTTTGGAACTGGCCCTGGATCCAACCCTTTCATCGGTACACATTTCTTTGCTCTCGAAGGTGTGCCTGATGGTGAATATGACTATAGTTTCTTCCTCTACCAATGGTCATTTGCCATTGCAGTTGCTGGGATCACCAGTGGCTCAATAGCTGAGAGAACACAGTTTGGTGCTTATCTCATTTTCTCTTTCTTTCTTTCTGGATTTGTGTACCCTATTGCAGCTCATTGGGTTTGGTCTTCCAGTGGTTGGCTTAGCCCTAGTTCTGCTAATCTGTTTCTTGGTTCAGGGGCTATAGACTTTGCTGGAAGTGGTGTGGTTCACTTGGTTGGTGGTATTGCTGGACTTTGGGGCTCCATTATTGAAGGACCGCGGGTTGGTCGGTTTGATGCATTTGGGAAGCCTGTTTCCATAAAAGGTCACAATGCAACTCTAGTGGTTCTAGGTACGTTTTTGCTGTGGTTTGGTTGGTTTGGGTTCAACCCAGGCTCTTTTGGTGAGATCCTAGTAGCATACCCAACCACCACCGACCAAGGTAATTGGACTGCCATAGGACGGACTGCTGTTACCACCACATTGGCAGGTTCAATGTCTGGAATAGTTACCCTGTTTGGAAGACGTCTGTTGATAGGTCATTGGGATGCACTAGATGTTTGCAATGGTGTCCTTGGTGGGTTTGTTGCCATAACATCCGGTTGCTCAGTGGTTGAACCATGGGCTGCTGTTATATGTGGGTTTGTGGCAGCTTGGGTCTTAATTGGACTCAACATGTTGGCACTGAAACTGCATTTTGATGACCCATTAGAAGCAGCTCAATTGCATGGCGGGTGTGGAGCCTGGGGTTTGATCTTTACAGGCTTGTTTGCCAAGGAAGAATTCTTAATCCAGGTTCATGACTCCGGCGTTGGTGGCATCTCTCGTTCTTCTGGCCTCCTGCTGGGTGGGGGTTGGGGCTTGTTCGGGGCTCAAGTAACCGAGCTTATAGTGATTGCTGGCTGGGTTAGTGTGACTATGGGCCCACTGTTTTACATCTTGCATAAACTGAGACTGTTAAGGATATCTATTCATGAAGAAGTTGCTGGTCTTGACATATCTAGCCATGGAGGCTATGCCTACCATAACCAAGATGAAGATGAACGTCCACAGCGTTATAATGACTATATACAGATGCGCAACTAGTCTTGAACTTGTTTATCAGAAGCTTATCAGCTCCTATCTTTCATCAATGATTGCCACTTGATTCTTATGTTTTCCCGGTCTTTCCTGCTGCAGATGTATATTGCATGTCTACAAGTTGAAATTGTGTTTAGTGTCTAAAAAGCTTGTTATTAGTGTGTAAGTGTGTAAATTTTGTAAATGATACCCTTCTTATATTTCTAAATAAATTTTACTCCGTAGTAAACAATATTAATTCTAGTCAAATTTTATAATATCACTTTGTAACATGCCATTAGATTGTTGTCCTTTGGATTGGTGATACACTGATACTGATTGAACAATTGTAAGCTTGAATTGAGCTCAATTGTGAAGTGAACTTACACCTATCATTGACTTGGTCTACTTACGGTAAATTACAAGGATGGTCCTTTACCCTATCACAGGAATAAGGGTTATGAGGAATCGAACTCCCATCACTTAAGAGGGAGATGGAGGGACTAACCATCCCTTCCATCTCCTCATTCCTCAAAGGCCAACCTCTTATTAGCAGTACAAGCTAAGGTCTAAGAGTATGAGCTTTATTTAAACAAATCGAACTTTCTTATTATGGTCTCTATTAAAAAAATAATTTTAAACTCTAACTAAAAAATTGATCAAGGACTGTCGCGTATATGATGATACATTATTGGGTGAAATTCAACTCCACTCGACTTGACATCAAATTTGATACTCCTAGCGTTATAGATTTACAGTACACATCGTCATATGGTGTTACGGAGTACGGAATATAAACTTATAAAGAGACGAAATATTAACATTTCATCGCGGGATTTGAGGTTTTAAAATTCACCCAAATTGAAAAACCCTAGAATTTCTCAACTCCGATTACTCTTCACTTCTCTTGCAATTTTCAGCTCTGAGAATCAATTGCAAGATGAATCCATTAACATTAGTGAAGAGAATTCAAAGTATAAATGCTAAAGAAGCTGATTTAGGGATTTCAGATGAAGCTTCATGGCACGCCAAGTACAAAGATTCTGCTTACGTTTTCGTCGGCGGCATTCCTTACGATCTCACCGAAGGCGATCTTCTCGCCGTTTTTGCTCAGTACGATTTTTATTTCATTTTTTATTTGAATTTTTAATTAATTTTACATTTTTGTTTGATTAATCGATTTGTATTGCTATTTTTTTATTTTATTAATTTTGATTTTTTTTTTTTTTCCGATTGGATTTTGTGAAGATATGGAGAAATTGTAGATGTTAATCTTGTACGAGATAAAGCCACTGGAAAATCGAAAGGTTTTGCATTTGTTGCATATGAGGATCAAAGAAGTACAACTCTAGCTGTAGGTGAGATTTTCTCTATTGTTATTATCGTGTTTCGAATTCGAGTGAGCTGAATGTAAGGTTTGAATGAGTTCAAGTGTTTAATTTTGTTGTTTTGGTCTGCAGATAATTTGAATGGTGCTCAAATTGGTGGCAGAACTATTAGGGTTGATCATGTTGCTAAGTATAAGAAAAAAGAAGAGGAGGATGAGGAGACGGAGAGGCAGAAGAGGGAAGAACGAGGAGTTTGTCGTGCTTTCCAGAAAGGCGAGTGTAAATATGGTGATGCGTGCAAGTTCTCTCACGACGAGCAAGTATGATTGTTTACCAAGTTTTATAAGTTCATTTCTGTTGGTTATGCTGTAAACAGATTGATCATTTATCTGTCTGGTTATTTGTGCCTGTGAAATTCATTGACAACTTGCTGAGCTGCTGCAATAAGATTTGATTTCATTGTTATATTGCGCATTCGTAGGATCACTAGCATGTGTGTGTTTGGGAGATAGTCCTACTGCATAGCTTGCTGTTTATTTGGGGCTTTCTTTTAACAGGTGAACCTGTGCTTCTTGTTAGCTTTACACTAGTACGATTAGCTTAAATTTTGGAAGGTTCACCAATCCATATGGATCTATTGGTAAAATTGAATCAATTGAGGGTGAGGACCCGTCAAAGATTATTCTAGAGGCCTTCTGGGGGTCGTGAACTTACTACTAACATTGAGTGACTAATGAATAAAGCCTAAAGAGGTAGGATGGGAGATTAAAGTATTAAGAGAAGAAATTTACTTAATGAAAGCTGTGTTAATGGAAGATCAGGGTATAGACAGAGTTTATATCAATTCACCAAGTTATTGTTTAGAAGTTAGAGAATAGGTTGTCTATCAAATAGATGGTTTCAGAAACATTAATGCTTTAAGTGATTGAGTAGGAGTAAGCTCAATCATATTAGACTATGTTGTTGGTGGTCTTTTGGTTCCTAACATCCTATGTGTCCCTTTTTAATTATTAGCAATTGATTCATCTGTTGCATAATCTCTCTTTTTTATCTAATTGCACCTTTTTCTGTAGAGAGCTGCAGACACTGGATGGGGTCACGAAGAAGATAAAAAGTCAAAGTGGGAAAATGACAAATCATCCTACCCTAGGAGAGAACGGGGTGTTTGTCGTGCCTTCCAAAAGGGTGATTGTACGTATGGAGATTCATGCAAATTTTCTCACGATGAGCAAGTATGTTTGTAGTTTTATCTTCAATCTGGCTGTTTGTATTTGTCTTTGAAATATTGCATGATTTTACTGGCTGGCTTTGTAGATAAAACAGGAACCCTTATCCAACATTGGAGACATCCTTCTGTAATTCCGTTAATGAACTCATCATTTACACTTTGTTTGGATGGATGGAAATAGAGGGAAAGGAAGGGAAGAGAAATTGAGGGATAGATAATCTCTCATTTGGATAGCAAATGAGGAAGGAAGAGAATTGGAGGGGAAAGAAATGGAGGGATAGAAATGCAAGAAATAATCTCTCCAACAATGTAGAGATTTGGAAGGAAAACTCATCCGTCTTCCCCTCCCTCCCCTTCTTTTCCTCCCCTCTAATCTATTAAAGTGTGTTTGGGTAATATTAATGCTATGTTTGGATAACAAATTAGAAGGGAAATGGAAGGGAGGGAAATAGGAGGAAGAGGAAGGAAGGGAAAGTGGAGGAAATGATGAGCTCCATTTTCCCTCCAAATCTCTCCAATTTTGAAGGGATGGTCTTTATTAAAGGAGGAGGGAAAATGGATCCCTCCCTCCCCCTCCCCTTCCCTCCCCCAACATATTACCCAAACAAGGAAGTTTGTCTCCCTCCCTTTCCCTTCCCTTCCTTTCCTTCCATTTTTTGTTATCCAAACATAGCCTAAGGGAAGGAAAAGAAGGGGAGGGAAGGGAAAGGAAGGGGGAGGAAGAAGGATGAGTTTTCCTTCCAAATCTCTCCAATGTTGGAGGGATCATTTTCTTAGAATTTAATCCCTCCTTTTCTCTCCCCTCCAATTCCCTTCATCCATAATTTGTTATCCAAATGAAAGATACTCCCTCCCTTCATTTCTCTTCCCCTCTTTTCCTTCAATCCAAACACACTGTTAGTGTTTATAATATTTCATACAATTTAGACTTCATGTGTTTCCTGATTTCCTCTGTTTCTTAAAGAAAACTTCCTGGAACATCTCAGCAGTTGCACTGATGAATCCTACTGTTTTTACTCCGTAGCTTATTGTTTATTTGGGGCTTTCTGTTAACCGGTGGGTCTTTGACTTTTTAAATATTTTGACTTGTGAATATTGTTAAATTTTGGTAAAGTGAACACCTTTCTTACCATTTAAACATATCCCTTGAGCTTGACAAACCTATTTTCCACCATCGAAGGGAAATTGGAAAGGTTGCTAATTCCAATGGATTTCTTGGTGAAATTGAAGTAGGGAGTGGATTCATCAAAGAAAATTCTAGATGCCTTCTAGTGGTGGTGTACTATTACGGGGCGTTTGGAAACAGGGATAGGGATGATGAGGATAAGAAGGTAGGATAAGGATAAGGAATTATTAGGTGGGATAAGGATAAAATTATGATATCCATTGTTTGGAATGAGTTGGGAATTAATTGGAATAAGTAGCAAATTTACTTAACTACCCTTACTAATTTTTCTCCTCTCTTCTCTTTCTTCCCTTTCATTAAGGGCAAATTTGTCTTTCACCTTTTAATTTTTATCCCCCAAACCTTATACTTGCCCCCTTTTGTTATAGAAATAGAGGGATAAGCCCCAATTCAGTCCCCATCCCTTTTATATGGAATGTTTTGTATCCCCTCAAACAAACAAGGGATAATGGGACATGAAGGATTATAAATCCTTATCCCACTAATAATCCCCACAAACAAACATGCTATTTAGTGGATATGCCTAAAGGAGTGGAATAGGAGACTGAAGAGTAAGTAGAGGACTTTCATCACCTGGAAGTTCAGGGCATAGTTCATCATTTTGAATGTAGAAAAAAGATGCATACCATATACTGTAGAGGATTTAATCAACTAGAACGATTTCATCAACTTTAGACTATGCTGTAGGTGGTCTTCTCCCTTCATTCCCCATGTGTCCTTGTCTAGTTTCAACTGCCAATTAATTTACTGCATACCTTATCTTCTTAGCTTTACTGGCAACTGGAATTTATTTATTTTAACTGCACAAATTTCCATAGAGAGCTGCAGACACTGGATGGGGTCCTGAGGAGGATAAGAAGTCAAAGTGGGTGAATGACAATCGTTCAAATGATAATAAAAGATCACGGGATGCTCCACCTAGTCATGGTCCAGAGCGGAAAAAACCTGATATTTATGGTGGAAGAAGTTCTGGAGGAAAGGAAATTGCTGACAAGAAAGTTGAAGATGGTTTTGACACAAGAGACGGGGGCAAGCGATCAGAATACAAGGATGATCGAGACAAGCGACCACTTGAAAGATCGAGGTATGAATCTGAATCAAAATCTAGAGATGATTATGACAGAAGGGGAGAAAAATGGTCAAGGAGGAGTGATACACAACCTTCTGTGAGGGATTCGCGTAATGAGAAAGACAGGGATAGAGATAGGGATAGAGATAGGGAGAAACGGTCATCCTATACTAGGGATTCTTCCCCTCAACGTCATAGAGACAGGGATGATGGTGATCAGCGCCGAGCCAGACGTGATGAAGATTACCATAGATCTCAGAGAAAATAGGAATTTTAACTTGTGTAAGCTTTCTAGGACCAGCATGATTTTCCCTCTTTTTCTTATGACGAGGATAAAGCATTGCTTCTCTGTTACATTGATGTATACATTGTACTGTTACTTACTTGCTTTATTAGTTTCTCCCTCAATTTTGGGATAGTAAATGCATCTGTTAAACCTAATGGCGTCTGCTATGATAAAATACTGACATAATTGATTTTCTGACATTTTCTCACTGTTGTCTAAAGCGCTTTTTATGCTTTTGGAGGAGTGTTTTTAGCACTGTTAAGGTTTCTATTGTCACCCACTTGACGAGAGGAATGCTAAAAATTAGTTTGGAGAAATGTTAGTTGTTGAAATTTGGAGAATATTTGCAGTTAGGATTCTAGGATCAATCTGCACACTGTGACATTGTAATTTGTAAACGTTATCAATTAATGGCTTGTTTCCTCATAACAAAGGGAAATTTTATTGCTACTAGTATTCATACTTCTTAATCAAAGTGGTACATCTGCAATCTGCTTTATTCTTGTCTCCAGGTGCGTCAGCACTAAATTATTCTCGGTGAGAACTAACTTTTAGTTTTTCTAAGCATTTTCTTCTTTAGAAGATGATACTAACTGAGTCAAGCCTGGCACAAGGACCGGACCTTCATCGAGGGGAACCAAATTCCCTCCGTCTCCTAGTTCAGCTGAATTTTTATCTGCCTTTGCCTGTCTTTCAAAACCTTTTCCCACTGCCACTTCTTTTGTTGGGGCCATATTGTCTGAATCTGGAATAGATGGTTCCTCCAATGTGTCAAGTATAAGTTCTTCATTTTCTTTGGTAGCTTGTTGCTCTTCACTTATATTGTGTGCTTCTGCATTATCCCATTCTTCAGTCACAGTTATAACATTCTTGGTCTCCCATGCCTGGAAACTCCTGTCTGGACCAGGTTGCCACATGATTTCACCCATGCTGTTCTTATGCAAGACTTTCTACTGGATAGGCTTCCCAACCGGCAATTCCTAACAAACACGGGAGCAGAAGAAGAAAATCTATCACAATTTTTTGGTTGCTAATTTGCATATGTATATCCAATTCCTATAGACTCTTACCAAAAACAGACTCCAGATGTGGCCTTCTGACCAGTTGAATGGTATGGCCTCTGATGGGTTCCATGACCCCAGAATTGGGTCATCGCCTACTATAAGAATTTGATCACCAAATTGGCACTCTTTCTCCACCGGAAATTTCACACAAACCGACTTGTAGAGCTCTGTTGTTTCAGCTCCTGCTCCAACCTACAAAGCCGAAGTTATAAGATACTTAGATTAAGTTCATCTCTCAAAAATGCTGTGCTTTTCTTTCATAAAATGAAAAAAAGTACACATCCCTAGTGTACTAGAATAAGGTACAAGAAGGAAAACAGTAATATTGAATTAGAGAGAAGAACTAACCTCTGACTGTAACAATGAGTGGCAGTGAAACAGTTTCCTAGTTGGAGATAAGCTTAGTTGAGGAAGATTGACACAATGTTGCATCATTCTAATACTGTCATTTGCTGCAAATTTCCTTGCAAGTTTTACAGTCTTTGGCAACAATAGGGATGTTCTTTGCTCATTTACGATGCGACGAGAATCGGCTCCAAACATCTTGGCAGAATAAGCAGTTTGCGATCCCATCACTTTCATTATGCAATTCAAACTGTTGTAGAGAAAGTATAGAGGGTTGAAGGAGAGGTTGCTTGATACTGTAGTTGCTTTCAGCTCAATAAAAACAGCTTTTTTTTCTGGCTAAAGATTTCTGGGAGTTAGTAATTTATCGTTACTTGAAAACTAACAAAGGTACAGCTTCAATTATTATGAAGTTGAATCTAGTACTTTCTTAAATACTACTTGCAAAATAAATTTCTTGGGAAACATGTTTCACGAATTTTGCTAAATCTACTATCTACCACAAATCTTAAAGTAAGGCACTGGTTTATTTTGTTCCCCACTTGAATACCACAATTTTGTTCCTTAGTTGAACTCCACTAATTTTTAGATGTATTTTATACTACCTCCGGTCCAAATTACTCGTAACTTTGGAATATTTTACATCTCACAAATAATACCCTAAAGTTGCGAGTAATTTGGACCGGAGGTAGTATTTATTTTAAAGACACTATTTTTAGCTTCTTCTGTGTTTTTTTTGTTTTTTTAACTGTATTTTCTAATGAATTATTCAACTTTGAACATGAATCTAGTTGATAAGAATTTTTATCCAAGTGACTTCCTTTTTACTCGCTATATAATTTTATAATAAGGGTGGAAAAGTGAAGAGAAAAAATTATTGTGTGTGTAACATTTGTGAAACTATTTTTAAAGATAATGAAAGATAAAAACATTTACCTAACTAAATAAAGCAAGCAAAATGGGGAACTTGATCATATGAAACGGTTAAGCTATATATCATTGTTTACTTTTTATTGAGGAATATATCATTGGTTACTTCACATTTGGAGGGTCCATTTATAAGTATAAATTATTAAAACAAATGCAAAGTGCTAGGGTATCTAGTCATATGAAATACTAGAGCTGTCAATTCGGGTAAACAGATCGGATTTGGGTCGAGTAAGAGTGGGTCGGGTCAATTCGGATTAATTCCATAACCTAAGCGGGTCGGGTTTGGGTTGGGTCATGCTTGGTCGGGTCACGTCGGCTCATACTTCTTATCGGGTTTGGGTCGAGTTAAAAACAGGTCGGGTTATATTCGGGTCGGGTGAACATTAGGTCGGGTTTAATTTAATTCGGGTTTTCACGGGTTGAAACGGGTTAGGGTAATTCTCGGATTCGGTTCAAGTCAATAATTTGCGGGTTAGAATCAGGTTGAGTCATTCTTGGGTTTGAGTCGGGTTCGGTTCAAGTCAATAATTTGCGGATTATAATCAGGTCGGGTCATTTTCAAGTCGGATCATTCTCGAGTTCAAGTCGGGTTCGGTTCAAGTCAATAATTTGCGGGTTATAATCAGGTTGGGTCATTTCCAAGTAGCGTCATTTTCGGATTCAAGTCGGGTTATGTTCAAGTCAATAATTTGCAGGTTACAATCAGGTCGGGTCATTTCCAAGTCAGGTCATATTCGGGTTCAACTAACTATAAATAGATAATTATCATTTTTATCAAGCTAATTATTTCCTTTGACTATAATATATATGGCAATATACTGGGGAACTATATTCTATAATTTAGGAAGATAATTATCTTCTTTGACCATACAACAAATATATACTATATTTAACTCTTAAATTTGAGGATGATGCTCCTTTCTTTTGCTGGCCTAGAATGAATTGGTCTCTCTAGACAAAATGCTTTCATCAACAATAATAAGGTGGTCTAAATTGCATTTAAGGTGATTTGAAATCAGGTTAGGAATAATTTGGGTTGAATTTAGGTCAGGTCAATAATAAGTCGTGTTAATTTTGAGTTGAGTTAGTAACAGATCGAGTTGAAATTTTGGATAGGTTAAGCAATAAGTCTGGTAAAATTCGAGACGGTTCAATAGTCAGGCTTAATTTGGGTCAGGTCAATAACAAGTCGGGTTGATTTCGGGTCATGTTTGTAATAGGTTGGGTTAAAATCGGGTCGGGTTTGGAACGGATCGGGTTGATTTCAGGTCAGGTTAGTAACAAGTCGGGTTAAATTCGGGTTTTGACGGGTTAAAACAAGTTTAGGTCAATTTCGGTTCAAGTCGGGTTCGGTGCAAGTTCATTAAATTGGCCGTTGTAAACCGGTAAATTGGTTGTTTAAAGGCAAATTAATGGTTCCACCCACCCAATTGAACTCTCGGAGAATGTTAGGGATCATGATAAAAATTTCGGCAATTTTTATTCTGGGCAAAAAAAGTCAAAAAATTCCAAAATTAAAGGCTAATATCCACGCTTTTCGAGAAATTTTGAAGGTTTCAGGGCCCGGTGTCGAAAAGTCTAAAGATTTTAGGGAATACATTTGGGGGTCATATAATGTCATTTGGAACCAAATATGATCATTATATGTTGTTATAGATGTTCGTGGTAGGTTTGAGTTAATGAAATCGGTGCAAGTTGTAAACGGGTATATTGGTCGTTTAAAGGCAAATTGGATGGTTTCTCCCACCCAATTGGACTCCTGGAGGATATTAGGGACTATGGTAAACACTTTGGCAATTTTTATTTTCGGGCGATAAAAAGTCAAAAAATTCCAAAATTAAAGGCCGTACGCTTTTTGAGAAATTTTGGAGCTTTCAAGACCCGGTGTCGAAAAGCCTTGAAATTTTAGGGGCTACATCTCGAGGTCATATAATGATGTTTGGAACCATTTATGATCATTATATGTTGTCATAAATGTTCGTGGTAGGCTTGATTTAATGAAAACGTTGCAGGTTGTAAACCGGTAAATTGGCCGATTAAAGACAAATTGGATAGATACACCCACCCAATTGGACTTTCTGAGTGTATTAGAGACCATGGTAAAAATTTCGGAAATTTTTATTTCCGGGCGAAAAAAAGTCAAAAAATTTCAAAATTGAAGGCTTATCATATCCACGCTTTTTGAGAAATTTTGGAGTTTTCGAGACCCGGTGTCGAAAAGCCTTGAGATTTTATGGAATAGATCTTGGGGTCATATAATGTCGTTTGGAACCAAATATGATCATTATATGTTGGTATAAATGTTCGTGGTAGGCTTGATTTAATGAAATCGGTGCAAGTTGTAAACTGATAAATTAGTAGTTTAAAGGCAAATTGGATGGTTCCACCCAGCCAATTGGACTCCCAGAGGGTATTAGGGACCGTGGTAAACATTTCATCAATTTTTATTTTCGGGCGATAAAAAAGTAAAAAATTCCAAAATTGAAGGCTAATATCCACGCTTTTTGATAAAATTTGGGAGGTTTCGGGACCCGATTTCGAAAAGCCTTGAAAATTTAAGGAATACATTTCGGGGTTATATAATACCGTTTGGAATCATATATAATCATTATATGTTGTCATAAATGCTCCTAGTAGGCTTGAGTTAATGAAATCGGTGCTATTATAAATCGGTAAATTGGCCTTTTAAAGACAAATTGGATGGTTCCAACCATCCAATTGGACTTCCAGAGGGTATTAGAGACCATGATAAACATTTTGCCAATTTTTATTTTCGGGCGCAAAAATTTAAAAATTGAACATTAATATCCACTTTTTTGAGAAATTTTTGAGTGTTCGTGGCCCGATGTCTAAAATTCTTGAAGATCTAGGGAATACATCTCGAGGTCATATAATGTCGTTTGGAACCATATGTGATAATTATTTGTTGTCATAAGTGTTCGTGGTAGGCCTGAGTTAATAAAATCGGTGCAAATTGTAAACTGGTAAATTGGCCGTTTAAAGGCAAACTGGATGGTTTCACCCACCCAATTGGACTCCCGAAGAATATTAGGGACCATGGTAAAAATTTCGGCAATTTTTATTTTCGGGTGATAAAAAGTAAAAAAAACTCCAAAATTAAAGGCTAATATCCACGCTTTTTGAGAAATATTTGAGGTTTCGAGACCCGGTGTCGAAAAGCCTTGAAATTTTATGGGAAACATCTAGGGTCATATAATGTCGTTTGGAACCATTTATGATCATTATATGTTGTCATAAATGTTCGTAGTAGGCTTGATTTAATAATTTGGGTTGAATTTAGGTCGGGTCAATAATAAGTCGTGTTAATTTTGAGTCAAGTTAGTAACAGATCGAGTTGAAATTTTGGATCGGTTAAGTAATAAGTCTGGTAAAATTCGGGACGGGTCAATAACAAGTCGGGCTTAATTTGGGTCAGGTCAATAACAAGTCGGGTTGATTTCGGGTCATGTTTGTAACAGGTTGGGTTAATTTCGGGTCGGGTTAAGAACAGGTCGGGTTGAAATCAGGTCAGGTTAGTAACAAGTCGAGTTAAATTTTGGTTTCGACGGGTTAAAACGAGTTTAGGTCAATTTCGGTTCAAGTCGGGTTCGTTGTAAGTTCACTAATTTAGCCGTTGTAAACCGGTAAAATGGTCGTTAAAAGGCAAATTAATGGTTCCACCCACCCAATTGGACTCCCGGAGAATATTAGGGGTCATGATAAATATTTCGGCAATTTTTATTCCGGGCAAAAAAAGTAAAAAAAAATCCAAAATTAAAGGCTAATATCCACGCTTTCGAGAAATTTTAGAGGTTTCGGGCCGGTGTCGCAAAGTCTTAAGATTTTAGGGAATACATCTGGAGAACATATAATGCCGTTTGGAACCATATATGATCATTATATGTTGTCATAGTTGTTCGTGGTAGGCTTGAGTTAATGAAATCGGTGCAAGTTGTAAACTGGTAAATTGGTCGTTTAAAGGCGAATTGGATGGTTTCATTCACCCAATTAGACTCCCGGAGGATATTAGTGACCATGGTAAACATTTCGTCAATTTTTATTTTTGGGCGATAAAAAATCAAAAAATTCCAAAATTAAAGGCTAAGATCCACGCTTTTTGAGAAATTTTGGAGGTTTCGATACCCAGTGTCAAAAAGCCTTGAAATTTTAGGGGATAGATCTTGAGGTTATATAATGTCGTTTAGAACCATTTATGATCATTATATATTGTCATAAATGTTCGTGGTAGGCTTGATTTAATGAAAACGGTGCAGGTTGTAAACCGGTAAATTGGTCGATTAAAGGAAAATTGGATGGATACACCCACCCAATCGGACTCCCGGAGTGTATTAGAGGCCATGGTAAAAATTTTGGCAATTTTTATTTCCGGGCGAAAAAAAGTCAAAAAATTCCAAAATTGAAGGCTTATATCCACGGTTTTTGAGAAATTTTGGAGGTTTCAGGGCATAGTGTCGAAAAGCCTTGAGATTTTAGGGAATTGATCTCGGGGTCATATAATTCCGTTTGGAACCATATATGATCATTATTTGTTGTCATAAATGTTCATGGTAGGCTTGAGTTGATGAAATCGGTTGTAA